ATCAGCAAGCGAAGGTTATGATTCAAATGTGGAATCATCTTCAGACGTTGTGTCATCAGCAAGCGAAGGTTCTGATTCAAATGTGGAATCATCTTCAGACGTTGTGTCATCAGCAAGCGAAGAATCGGATTCCAGCGAGGGTTCTGATTCAAATGTGGAATCATCTTCAGACGTTGTGTCATCAGCAAGTGAAGAATCAGATTCAAGCGAAGGTTCTGATTCCAATGTGGAATCATCTTCAGGTGTAGAATCATCAGGTCAAGATTCCGACTCAAGTGGCATGTCAAGTGATGGATCATCTTCAGTTAGTGAAGGTTCATCATCTAGCGAAGAATCATCATCGAGTGGTGAAGAATCAGATTCAAGCCAAGGTTCTGATTCAAACGTGGAATCATCTTCAGACGTTGTGTCATCAGCAAGCGAAGGTTCTGATTCAAATGTGGAATCATCTTCAGACGTTGTGTCATCAGCAAGCGAAGAATCGTCTTCTAGTGAAGAATCCGATTCAAGTGATGGATCATCTTCAGACGTTGTGTCATCAGCAAGCGAAGAATCGTCTTTAAGTGAAGAATCAGATTCAAGTGATGCGTCAAGTGATGGATCATCTTCATTAAGTGAAGGTTCGTCCTCAGCCGAAGAGTCAGATTCCAGCGAAGGTTCAGATTCAAGTGATGGATCATCTTCAGACGTTGTGTCATCAGCAAGCGAAGAATCGTCTTTAAGTGAAGAATCAGATTCAAGTGAGGCGTCAAGTGATGGATCATCTTCATTAAGTGAAGGTTCGTCCTCAGCCGAAGAATCAGATTCCAGCGAAGGTTCAGATTCAAGTGATGACTCATCTTCAGACGTTGTGTCATCAGCAAGCGAAGAATCGTCTTCTAGTGAAGAATCCGATTCAAGTGATGGCTCATCTTCAGACGTTGTGTCATCAGCAAGCGAAGAATCGTCTTCAAGTGAAGAATCAGATTCAAGCGATCTTCAGACGTTGTGTCGTCTTCAAGTGAAGAATCAGATTCAAGCGAAGGATGATTCAAATTGACTCATCTTCAGACGTTGTGTCATCAGCAAGCGAAGAATCGTCTTCTAGTGAAGAATCCGATTCAAGTAATGTTGACTCGAGTGAGTCGTCATCTGGTGGAGCTTCTAGTACAGATATTGAATCAAGCAGTTCATCGTCAGGTAATTATATTCTGAATAATTTTTTCATTTTATTATGATAATGTTAAACGTATCTCTTTTCTCGATAATAGATCCTTATAATCCGTGGGAACCTTGTCCTTACGGCAGCAGGGTAAGTGAAAGCACTCTTGAATAAATTTTTAAATTCATTATTTTTTCCCATATAAATAGTTTTCATGCCCTTCTGGATACTTTGTTCAAAAAGATAGAAGAAGAAATCTTTGCAGATGTATTTCTCAGAGACCTAAACGCTATCCAAGTAAACGACCAAGAAGACGTTATGGTCATTAACCGTCTTTCGCAAACAATTCCTAACAAAGCCTACAGAGTATGAATCAGCGATTGATCAAAAGGACATGACAATTTTAATAATGCAATTGACAATCTTTGACAAAAAAATATAACATATGTATATCTCTACCTTAATATATTACGTATTTCAAATTATTATTTCCTTCTTATATCTCAATTTTAAATGAGTCCACTCTTATCTAATCTTATCACTAATTTAATTATTTGCTTTAAATACAATTTGTATTTAGGATAGGCCTCAATGGATTTTTAGAATTTTAGAATAAACACATGCTACTTGCCCACATATTTTTATACAACCGCTTGTACAACTGACATGGGAAAGAAAACGCTTTAAGAATTTTAAGAATTGTGATGATAATAGTCGTTACAGAAACGAATCTATATTTTTATCGTTGACATCGTTAATATCGCGGCATAACAAAAAAAGTAAAAAAAAAGAAAGATATCTACAATAATTACACATTTTATATTGATAACATGACTCCTGGTTACGACCGCATGATTAAAGGATATGGAAAGGATTAAGACAAACCTAGATTAAGATTGATAACAGCAAAGTTGAAAATGTATAAGTTAAAAAAGATACAAAGACTGCTGTAGATAAAATCCTTTATGAAAATAAAAACATTTTATCTATGTCACCCTTTAAAAATATCTCGTGACGATCTCGAATATAAATTTTCAAACTGTGCTGTTTTCAAGAAATGCATCGGCATTCACTACAACGCGGCATTTACAAGAAAAACAACAAAAAAAAAGGATTTAAAATATTTATGATATATTTTATTCTGAATACCAGTATCTTTGCTAAAAAGGCATTATGTATTACTATTTATAAAAGCATAGAAAAAATGGTCATTTGGGTGTCAAAATGAAACATTAAAATTTAAATTTTATGATTTTTTCAAGAAAATTTCAATCATAAGATTATAAAATTTTGACATCAAAGTACATGCTTAATTGACCCACCAAAAAAAGCAACTGAAAAACGGAAGAGTTTTCGTATGCACATGCGAATAAGATATTTGATGTATATCGACTATGACATCGACAGATAGATAAGATACCTAATTATGTACTGAAAACAAATTTGTTTTGAAAATAAATAAATAATCTATTTAATAAAAAGTAAACTCAAGAGTTTTTAATCAATTTTGAGTATGGTGCTACATATATTTATAACAAGAATAAATTATTGAAATGGTTGAAAGTTTCTTTATCAACAAAAAATATTGACAGATTTCATTTATTAGAAAGTAAAGATTTCCTCGATTTTCTAGCGCTTCTTGTTAAAATTCAAAACACTCTCATATGAATAGTCGAAATTTGTGACCATCAAAAATTAGGCAACCCTAACTCGATTTCGACATGTCGAATACTTATTAGATTTCTCATGCTTGCAATTTTGCAATGTTTTTTATTTTCCATTAAAATCTCGTAAACTTAGATAAAAAGATATCATCAGATAGTTTTAAAATTTTGAATTCAGAAAAGATGAACAATCTTATGGAAGAAACATCAAACACCATAGAGGTATGCTTAGAAAATAAATTTAAAACAAGACACTCAATTTTTCAACTTTTGAAATAAATTATCCAAGTCTTTAGATTTAAGTGATGATGATGATGACTATTACGAAGACAATGATGAATATTATGAATATGATTTTGAAAATAACAAAATTAATTCAGTGGGACTTCATTCTAACACTCAGAACAGTAGTGAAAAACTTACAAGTTTTCAACCTCCAGAAAAGCTTTTTAAGAAATATGCAAACAAAATAAATGTTGAAAAGTATGAAGGTCCAGCTATTCCACAACATGCTGCAAATAAGCTTTTCGAGGCTAATCGAAAACAAGAAGCAAATATGGTTCGTTCAAAAGATAAACAGGATCGAGCAACAGCAGAATTAGGTAATGAAAAATAATTTCCTAATAATTTGTAATTTCACAATTGGCTTTTAGTTATGGACCCACGCACTCGTATGATTCTATTCAAGCTTTTAAATCGTGGAATGATTACGGAGATCAACGGATGCATTTCAACTGGAAAGGAAGCAAATGTTTATCACGCAACAAACAAGTTTGGAGAAGATTATGCGATAAAAATTTATAAAACATCAATTCTTACATTTAAAGATCGCGATAAATATGTGACAGGAGAGTTCAGATTTAGACATGGATATTGTAAAAGTAATCCAAGAAAAATGGTTCGTACATGGGCTGAAAAAGAATTAAGAAACTTATCCAGGATGTACAAAAATGGTTTACCAGTTCCGAATCCGATTCTTTTAAAATCTCACGTACTTGTGATGAGTTTCATTGGTACAGAAGGCTTCCCAGCGCCGAAGCTTAAAGATGTTGAGCTCACTGAATCGAAAGCACGAGAACTTTATCGTGATTGTGTGATTCTTATTTGGCGATTGTACAACATTGTGAAACTTGTTCATGCAGATTTGTCTGAATTTAATATTTTGTATCATAATGGATCAGTTGTCATTATCGATGTTTCACAATCTGTCGAACATGAACATCCATGTGCCTTTGAATTTCTTCGTAAAGATTGCACAAACATTTCTGAATTTTTTAGAAAGAAAAATGTGTCAACAATGACGATCAAAGAACTTTTTGACTTTGTTACTGATCGTAACATTAATGAGAAAAATATGGAAGATTGTCTTGAGAAGATTTCCGATCGAATTGCGAATCGTGATTTTGATGAATTAACAGCACAGGAAAAAATCGACAATGAAGTTTTTAAAAATGCTTTTATTCCTAAAACACTCAGTGAAGTTTACGATATCGAACGTGATATTATGATGCAAAAAAATTCTGATAAGAAAAATTCTCAGGAGCTTATCTATGCAACTGTTAGTGGATTGGATACAAAATTAAACGTCACAGACAAACCGAAGGTTTTGCAAGAAGATTTAGAAGAAGAGAGCGAAGAAAGTGAAGACTCCAGTGATTCTGACAGTGACGACAATAGCGAGGCTGTTAATGGCGAAACAAAAATCAAATCGCAAACCCGAAATAAAAATGAAACTTTAGAAGAGAAGAAAGCTCGTAAAAAGGCAATTAAAGATGAGAAAGCATCAAAACGTGAAACAAAAGTTCCGAAACATATCAAAAAAAGAAAAGAAAAAATGAACAGTAGAAAAAAATGAAAAATCTTTCTAATAAAAAATATTTTATTGTTTAAATAAAGTTTAATCAAGTTCGTCCAAACATAATTTCCCTAACTGTCCTTTTCTAAATGAATTAACGAAATATTTTGCTGCACTTCTTAAATTAGGTCTCACTTCCATTGTTCCACTAGCAATGCTATGCATTCTTAAAGTTGCTCCTAACTTTTGAGCGCCTGCAAACAAAACATGCGTTATGTCATCAGTAGGTTGATCCAGTCCCATTATATCAACGTAGTGAAATCTTTTATGTTTGTTCAACCAATAAAGAAGATAATCAGCAATAACATCCTCACCAACTATGGAATTAAAATTTTATATTACTAAATTAATAAAATTCTGAAAATGTCATACCTAAGTGATCTTGAAAGCATGAACATAAAGCTAATTTCATTCCCATTTCTACATTTTTTATATTCGGCATGAGTACACCAGGAGTGTCGAGAATTTTAATCAAAGGATCTTCACAAATTTTAATTTGGGTGAGAACGCTTCTTGTGATTCCAGCAACAGCTCCAACAGCTGATGCGCCTTTTTTATTTAAATGGCGATTCCTAAGGACATTGATAAGAGATGATTTGCCGACGTTAGGGACGCCTGAAATTATTAATCGAATTAACAAATTTGTATTGAATTGAATCACATTCTTACCAATAATCATTATGTTTCTTTCTTTTTCCTCTGCTCTATTAAATCTGTTTGAGTTTTGTATCATTTTTATCGCTCTTGGTATGATTTTTTTCAGTCCATCACAAGAAGGATCTTTAGCATTTGCGAGAAAAACATTTTCAATCGGAAATTGGGGATCGTTTTGAATTTTCTCAACAATTCTTCGATGATATTCCTTTTCTATAAGATCTTTTTTGCTCAAAACCATGATTGTGGGTTTAGCAGCGGTTAAAGTATCATGGAAGTTGATATTTCTTCCCGAAAAAGGAATTCTAGCATCGTGCACTTCAATTAACAGCTAAAAAATGATTTATATTTATTAAGAAATTAATTAAAGCACTAAAAATAACTTACATCGACTGTTTTTAACTTCTGTTGCATTATTTTCATACCTTTACCCATATGACCTGGGAACCATCTTATAGCTTCTTTGCTTGCTAACTCGAAATGTTTCCTAAAGTTTTGTATCGACATTGATTCTAAGATTTTTTATTCTTCCAAGTTTTTCGGCAATTTTTTTGTTTTCATTTGATCGCATTGAGGGTTGAAAAGATTTTAATGGAAGTTTTCGTTTGAGGAAACCCAAGAATTTGAAATTAAATTTTCCGTTATTTTTTTCTTGTATGCAAACCTTGCGAGCACATAGAAAAAAATCTCCATCTTAAGTATTTATTGACATGATAATTTAAAGGTTTTTTAATTCAGGTAATTTTATTCGTCAATTAATATAATTAATAGTAAAAGTCAGTTGTAAATTGGAGATGGGGAAGCTCCACATGGGGAGCTTCAAATTATGCTAACGCATAATTTTAAGTTACTCCGGCCGGTATGGAGTTTCAAGATACATATGGTGAACCTTCCGACTGTCCATGGACCTTCCGACTGTCCATGGACTTTCCGACTGTCCATGGACCTTCCGACTGTCCATGGACCTTCCGACTGTCCATGGACCTTCCGACTGTCCATGGTCTTCCACTCACTCTCCCACACGCGCACCGATCGTTCTATTCAAAAGAATTCTCGGAAATACTCTAGAAAGAATTCTCAGAAAAATTCCTGATAAGAATTCTCAGAAAAATTCCTGATAAGAATTCTCAGAAAAGTTAACAAAAAAAAAGTTACATACAGACAGACATACAGACAGACAGACAGGGTTGAAAGGCGACGGAAAAATGGTAGTCCATTTTTTCCACTTTTCTCGACGTTTCATGCTATTTTAAGCATATTTAAGCAAAAAAAATTTTCCAAAAAAAAATGTCGAATACAATACGGTGACCTCACCAAAGGTGGGCCTCCGTAAAAATTCTATATCTTTCAATCGAAAAATCTAGATAGGCAGAAAAAAATTACGATGAAAATGTATCCCTGTTGCTGGTTTAAATATTTCAAATGATATCGAAAAGAATAAGAATAAACCTATTGAAATCTATCAAGTTGTAATAATCTTGAATTTTTAATGACTTTCAATTTCGAATATGTAATACCTACAATTAATGTACCTTTACTTTTTAATTTTACTTTTTAATCTATTTCTTGTTTTCATAAAGAATATTAAAATTTCATTTGTTCCGGTAATTTAGGTCTTGGCTTAAATCTGTTAGTTTCCTCAAATGTAATCAATGCACACCTTGGATGTTCAATGTTCTTTTGATTCTGATAAAAAGTGTCAACATTATTATTTAATGCCTTCAATAAATTTTGAAATTGTTTGTTAATGGTCCGTAGCTTATGAACCACTTTACCAAACAAAATATTGGTGAATTTACGCAATCATACATTGCTCCGAAATTATCATTACACTTTTTTCCTTCCGTTATCACAATTCTCTCAAGTTTTACTCTCGTTGTTCTCTTGCTTGTCACTCAATGTGAAATTCCAAGCTAAATAGTTAATTCTGATGTGAAATGATTTCAGTTCTGCTATAAACGTTGAATGAGTAAGGTGCACGATAAAATAATCAGATAATTGTTGTTTTTAGATATAAAAAAATGAAGCTGAATTACTTCATAATATTCTTCACTTCACTGGTAATGATCAGTTCTGGATACATTATTGATTACGGTCCGGTGGTTAAAGCAACAAAAGGTTTGTGATGTGATTAAATAAAAAAAAATGAAGTTACGCTTGCAACCTAAAAATTATTTTGATTCATTGAAACAAAGAAAAACTTGTTGACACCCACTTATCAATCTACCCGTCATCAATTTACGCGATAAACTGCATTTAATATCTTCAAGTTCATAGAACGATTATTTTATCAGTTGATGTGACTTTTTAATGTGTTTAATATTTACAGGCGCTATATGGCCACATCCAAAAAGTCAAGCAAGTAGTGTAAATTTTAACACAATTCGTCCCACCGTATTTAACTTTGACATCGTTGGAAGCACGTGCGATATTTTAGAGAAAGCCTTAGAACGTTATAAAAATATAATTTTAATTCAACTAAGAAAGGTCAGGTTTCGTGTGACAAACACACCTCTAGACAATAAATGGAGAAACGTCCCGGAATATTTAGGTCACATCGATAGTGTCAAGATTGATTTAAAAACTAAATGCGAAAAAAATCCTTATCTGGGTATGGACGAATCATGTAAGTGATAAGAATAATTGTTTGAAATAAAATCTGACAAATTGAAATTTATTTCTCGTAAACATAATTTATGCAAATATTTATTCAACAGACAAAATAACAATTTCTCAGTCGAAAGGAACTATTGAAGCGTATTCTATCTGGGGAATGCTTCGAGGTGTAGAATCTTTTTCGCAATTGCTTTATGTTGCGCCTGACGCACGCTCGGTAATAATTTTTCTTTTAATTTGTGAAATTAATTTTTAATTTGTTTGATCGTTTAGCTTGTTATCAATGAAACACAAGTTGTCGATGAGCCAAGGTTTCCCCATCGAGGATTATTAGTTGATACAAGTCGTCATTTCGTCAGTATGCCGGTTTTGGAACAGATTTTAGATGGAATGGCTTATAATAAGTTAAACGTTTTTCATTGGCATATTGTTGATGATCACAGTTTTCCATATCAAAGTATTAAATATCCTGAACTTACTCAAGGTGCTTTCCATGAATCAATGATTTATAGTCAGAAGGATGTTGCAAGAATTATTGAATACGCAAGATTACGAGGGATTCGTGTCATGCCGGAATTTGATACTCCTGGCCATACTAGAAGTTGGGGTGCAAGTCATCCAGAACTTCTGACAAAATGTGGTGGGCCTTACACAGGCAAATTAGGTCCAATCAATCCAATCATTGACAGCAACTACGATTTCCTTTTCAATCTATTTGAAGAAATTGGTGAAGTTTTTCCTGATCTTTTCGTTCATCTTGGTGGTGATGAGGTTGGATTCGAATGTTGGGAAACTAACCAAGATATTATAGATTACATGAAAACTTTCAACATAACATCATTTGCCAATCTTGAAGAATTTTACATTCAAAAACTAATCGATAAGATATCGAGACTTGATAAATTAACTTCAGTCGTGTGGCAAGAAGTTTATACAAATGGTGCTCGATTGCCTAAAGGAACGCTTGTTCATATATGGACTGGTGATCAGAAGAAACTTCTCTCAAGGGTTAGTTATTTAATATTTTCCAACATCTAGGTAATTATTGTAAGAAATTAAATTTTCATAGGTCACTAAAGATAAACTTCCAGCACTTTTATCGACATGTTGGTATCTTGATCATTTGTCAACTGGAGGCGATTGGGTGAAGTTTTATAATTGCGATCCACATAATTTCCCAGGCACAGATGAGCAGAAAAAACTTGTTATTGGTGGTGAAGCTTGCATGTGAGTGAAACGAGGGTTAAACAAACAATGCAGAAATTATTTATCTTATTATTTTGTATAAGTAGGTGGGGTGAAGTTGTTGACGACTCAAATATCATACAAAGAATCTTCCCAAGAGTTTGTGCAACAGCTGAGAAGTTATGGTCTCAAAAAGAAATAACAAATGTTGATGCAGCTATGAAAAGATTAGAAGAACATTATTGTCGTATGAGACACAGAAATATTAATGCACAACCACCTAGTGGACCAGGTCTTTGTCTGTAGGAAAAGAAGTTTTTGGTGTTCAAGGAACGGGTTACAATTTTCAATTAAAACAAATAAAAATGAAACCAAGAAATACATTCTTATAAGATTTATTCAAAAATATTTTCTAATAAAGAAATAATATATTTTTCTCTCTTGCCAGCTTGTTTTATTAGAGATTCAAACTGTTCAGATGCAAGCGAATTTCCACCAGGTTGATAAATATAACTTAGTTGACCATCGCATGTTGCTATTGTTACAAATGTGTCTGCGATACTTTCTTCATCCGATGTTGGATCAGCCAACAAATATTTCTGTTCAAAAGTAATGAATGTTGTGGTCACTGGTAAAGCCTTGAGATTTATTCCCTTTTTAATTGTGTCATCAACTTTGATTACTTTTGTATCCAAGTCGTAATTGACTTTTGGCAATTTCAATGATTTTAAAGCTGTGATTAAAGCAAGACTTGCCACATCTAATACTGAACCATCATCATCCAAACATACTAAATCACAATAAAGAACCCAAACAAGCTTTCCCTTTGCAATACATAGTTCTGTAAGATCAACGCAACCCGAATTAAAGAGAATGTTGTACAACGTTTGATTCATGATTTGAGAATCAAGTGAAACACCAATAGCGCGATATTTGGGTGAGCATAGTTTTGTAAGCTCTATGTTGGGAACAATGAAGCCATTAGAAGGCTCTGAGGAATCTGGTTCAGCAAGTTCCTAAGAATTATTTCAATATTTTGAAAATATTCATCAAATTTCAAGCTTTAAACTTACAGCTTTTATACCGCAAATAACAGTAGTTGTGCCTAGTTTTATAATTGCTGATCCTTCTGCTGTTGCAATTGAGTCTTTGTTAATTATTGTTGGTCGGAATTCTAATAAATCTCTTCCATCCGGTCTCAATGATTTCTCCACAAAATTTCTCAGGTATTTAACTGGATTTATTGTCCTACAAATTGGTTGAAATTTAAATAAATGAATAAATATAAATTAAAATCGAGTGTTACTTGTAAAGCTCTTCTTGTGACATTGTAAAAATAAATTTATTAGCTTAGATTAAAGAAAAAATAATTTTTTAAAGAAACATGTGAGAACTTTTGTTTACTTGTAAACACTAGAAACTTGCATATAGGTACATAATGTATGAACCGGTTCATTGAAAATATCGAAAATTCAAAACTTTTCACACAAATCCGTTAAAAATTAAGAATTTCATGTTGAGAAAAAATATTTTAATTTATTCTTCATCAAAAAACTCAACAATTTTTCTAAATTCATTGATGATGTTTTCATTTAATTCAATTTCATCAAATGATTCAATTTCTTGACTCAATAGGAAATTCGCCAAAAATTCGATTGGTTTCTTTGGTCGCGTTTTTGCAACTTCAACAAGGCCTTGCATAATATAAGGAAGGATATATTTAGTTAAGTAATGACGAGTTGGAAGACAATGTTTTTCAATTTCCTCAATTTCTTTTCTCTTCTGTTTCAGTATTTCCTTTGTCTATTAATAAAAAGTTGTCAGTTTTGTTCTTACTCATATTGATGTAAACATAAAACAGAGAAAAGTGTGTAAATAAAAATAATATTCAAATGATTCATGAACTCACCCATTCATTAAACTTTTCTTCTTTTTTCTGTAATTCCTGTTGATTCTTATTCAGAAGAATGTTATCTTGTTTTTCTTTTTTAAACCGATCAATGTTTTCTTGTTCTTCTTTTGATAATCCATAATAACATTTCTTTCCAATTTTATTTTTGATTGTCTCAAATATTTCCATCAACTCTGATTTTGATAAATCGTGATCAATTGTAAATTCAATCGGCACTATTCCTCGATTTGAAAAGAATTTTCCAATTATCGTTTTATCATCGTAAGATTCACTATTGAGATTAAAAATAAAATTATCTTAGCTATTAGAATAAAATGATATTTACTAGTAATTCTTCAACAATCTCATCATTTCTTCGGAATTTTCTATAATTTCCTCTGAACTAGAACGATCCTCGGTGCATTTGTCACCTTGATTTAGTTCCCGGTTAATTATTATTACCAAATCAGGTTTGATGAGTTCATTCCAAGATGAACCGTCTAAGAATAGTTTTGAAGCATGGAGTGAAGTCAAACTGAACCCACTCATCACATATCCTTGATGTTTCGAACAATCAAATGATCCTAATCGATCTCCAATTAAATTTAAAAGTTCGTCAAATGTTGGTTCTGTAGTGTGCGATAAAAGATTTTTAATGTTTTCATGATTCTGTTTCCATTTGATGATCTGTATGGAAACTTTTTTGATCATTTCATCGTAAATTTCATTTTTATAGCACTTCAGTTTTGTCATTTTTTCGATATACGCTTCTGCTTTAGAAATTTTACGACTCTGTAATAAATTCGATAAATGAATGAAGTTCTATCTTAAATTCTCACTTACCATGTCTTTACAAATTCTCTCAAGGAATGTTTCGTTTTGAATCTGATGTAATGAATAATATTTTCCTATCATGTCGGCGATTTCAGAATGATAAGCAAATGGTGAACCCTCGATGAGAATTTTTAAAGGTTTTAATTTACGACTTTCATAAAATTGTTCTGCCAATATTTCACTTTTCAACGCGAGATTTAAACCTGTCATTGAAAATTTAAAATCTTTGCTTTCGAGATAATCGGAATGTAATTTCAGATTTAAAGTGAGATGGTTGCAGACTCGTTGCTGGAAATAAATTTTAAAATTAAGAAGAAATTAAATGATTCTATTTAGAAGAAACTTACCGATATCAAATCTGAATTCATCAAAAACACTTCTTCCTTTTTTGCACAAATGTTGATTCTAATTTCTTCTTGGTTCATAGCTTTAGCGAATATTTCAACGACACTAATGGCTGTTAAGGAATCAGGTTGAACAGCAAGAATGTAAGACAGATTAGGGTCGGGAAAATCGTTAATTATCATCATCATGATTCTCATAAAGTCTTTAAGATAAATTAATGGCAAAAAGTTTGTTCCTGGTTCAAAAATGTTAATTTCCAAGTTATTGAAATAGCACGATTTATAAATAAAATGAAAAATGTCTTGTTCACCACCGTAAATTATCCCTGGACAGACAATAATCGATGAAACCAAATCCGGATATAATTGTGCTAAATTTAAGACATTTCGTTCCAATAAAATATGATTAAAAAAGCACGGATGAGATCGTCGAGATGAAAAGTTTGAATCTCCTAAAATTTTCTCATTTATTTGATACGTTTCAGCCCATGTCATAATCGTCGTCAATAAAATGAGTTCTTTCTTCGCATGAATCTTTGAATTCATCAAGAAATCTTGAAAGATTTTTATAAACTGCTTTGCGGTGGAGAGTTGAACAATATTTAGAGAGACATCAAAGATTATTATGTCACAAGCGATTATCGAATTGAAGTCATCAGAATCCACGAAATTCACTTCAAAATCTTTTTTCTTTACTTCATTTCCATTGTGCATACTGAAAATTTCAAACATCTTCCCATCATCTCTGCCAAGTGACTTTGATTTCTCATTCGATTTAGAAATATTTTTCATCAATTCTTTTCCATGATAAGAGAAAACATTGCTTATGAAAATATTTTTCTTTATCATCTTTTTGCACTGAAAATTTTTCGTCGTGTGGTTTTCACAAGATACACTGAGGAAATTGAGACAAATTCGTGATGTAAGTAATCGTGTAAAACAATTTACTACGCTGACTGAGGAAATTTTCTGAAAAGCAGTAAAAAAAAACAATAACAAATGTTTTTATGATTTCTATTTCATTCATTTTATCGAATATTTTTTTATTAAAAAAAGACGAATGGCATCGGAAAATACATTTTTTAAAATTTATCATCATAAGTTTTCATTGCAATTGCATAATTTTTAACTGTTTCTTTTAGCAAAGGATAATTTATTTAATAATAAGCGAGCTTTGTATGTTTCTTCGTAGCAAATGACGAGAAAAGCAGGAAAAAATACTTTTCCTTACAATCTGTTATCGAAAAGGCACAAATGGGTGATCATTTCTACTAAACTTTAGATGATCACCGGCACATGTAAATCAGCAAATAAAAATTTAATTCCAAAAACTAACTTGAAAGAAAAAAACTTTTAAAAATTGTTGGTAAGTTTTGTGTAACTTTTATTATTTTTCCTGTCTTATGTCAATGTTCTTTCTTGATTCTTTCTCATTATATATAAAATGTAAATAGTTTATTCATATAATAAGTTGTTTTTACTCAATTATCTCCTAATTGCGATTATTTAAATTATTTTTTTTCTTTTTAAAATCTTCTCTTCTCAAAATATTTACTTCCGTTTTATGTTTCTTTTTAATTTTTTTGGTAGAAAAAAAATGGCGACAAAGAATTGCGTTATCAAAAAAAGTATCATAGCAAGTGGACATCTAAGCGCACAATACTACGACACTTAATGGGTTTCACTTATTTTGCTTTGATTTTTAAATTATTTAATTGTTTATGAAATCACAACGCCATTTTCGTAATAAAAAACACGTTTACATTAGATAGAAAAATAGATAATGAAAAGAAAGATACTTTTTATGCTTGCAAATGTCCGCTTAAATATTCATTAAACTAAAAACTCATAAATTGATCAACATAAGCATTTAAAATAAAATATAAAAGTATCGTTTAATTTAACTTTTTTTCTTAGGCTTTGCTTCCAAACTATCATACTTTTGGAAAGAAAATGATATCTAAACGGATTTAAAAGAAAGATGACTTAAATTTCTAATTTAAAATAATTTTTAATAAAATGTTTCTGACTCGTTTCATGTTTCATCATCAATGTCATCATCATCATCATCATCATCATCTTTATCATCATGATCATCATCATCATCATCAGCGCTACCTCAAAGGCTCACTAACTTTGAAGGTTCACTTGTTGGTGTTTGCAACATTTCCATTGGATTGCGATTTTGTGGGGAACATGGAACTAAAGGATTCACTGGTGTTAAGCCAGTACCACCTTCCATTAGACTGTCAAAATTAAACATTCCAGCTGATGGTGTGTTAACAGAAACGCCAGCAATATCTGCCACATTTTTACGTGCAAGCAGATCAGAAGGTTTGAGATTTGCCGGCACATTAAGCGATGATGGACGACTCGGTTTGACATTCTTCATGAAAGTCGGTGTGTTCAATTGAGGCATGTATGGTGTCGTTGGTGTTGTTATGTCAAATTCTTGTCCTGAGAGCCTAGAAATAAATACAAAAAACGTTAATCAAATTTACAGTTCCCAAAAACACCTTTTTTAATTTAACTCACATGTCACATTTTCGTTTTCTTGGCGGTTCATCGCCATCATCGTACAACTCATCCAAAGGCTCTGCCTTGATCTTCAATGCCAGTTTATTTGCATTCATCGTATTGTTATTATTATTATTATTATGGTTGTTATTGCTTGCAGCAGATGTAATGACAAAGTTCGTTGGACGTTGCAGAGGAGCGGCGGCAATTGTTGAGATTGTCGATGGAATCGTCACAATTTTTCCATTAACACTTGGCTTCACATCTGGTGGGCTTTGACGATCACCAATAACACAACGATTTAATTTTCTATGCTCGTCAATAAGTTCGTAAAGTTCGTCACGAAGTTGATTCATTTGTTGAATTTCGTTGGTTATCTGACGTTTCTTGTCTTCCAGGTCATCAACTTGTCCCTGCAATTCCTGTGTATGATCTTCACGTCGTCTACGACAACGAGCCGCTGCTTGCTTGTTTCTTTCACGACGAACTCTTCTCTTCTCTTCTTCTTCTGGTGACAAATTTGACGATTTATTAGGTTTTCGTCCACCAGCATTGCGACGAGTTGGCTTCGGATTACTGTTTGATGAAGATGATCCAGGCGAGGCATAACTACTACGTGGACGTCCTCTAGAATTTCCATTTAAATCATCCATGACGGTCGGTGGTGGCGTATGCCATGAACCTGAGTCTGACATTGAGCTTGAGTCCATTGACTCCATACTATTTGGTTCCAATTCATTTAAAAATGCTGGGATCATTGGCGCTTGCTGTTGTTGTTGCTGCTGCTGCTGTTGTTGTTGATTACGCATAGGAGGCTGGTATGGTGGTAACTGATTGGTCAAGACTGTTAATTGATTTTGATTCTGATTCTGGTTGGTTGGTGCTGGTGGTGGCACAAATCCAGCGGAATATGGACCCGATTGTGCAAGGTCATTTGTGAGATCTTGGAAGGTCTATAAAGAAAAAGAAAGAACTTAATGAGTTAAATTATTCTCTTATATCCAATCATTAATAATTTACCTGTTCAATATTCCTTAATGTCGTAGGCGTTAGTGTTGATGTCGTTCGTGTTGGGACACCGCTGATTCCGCTCATTCCACTGTTAAATCCACCATCATTAACGAACTGCAATTATGGAGAGGGAAAAAAAGGAAAATTAAAAATAATTGTTGATGCCGAACAATTCACAATAAATATATTTATTCAAAACGAATTAACTTCAAGTCAAATCAAAAAAAAAATATAAATCGATGACTCGTGTCGCTAACCTGATGCATGAAAAGTTCACTGGCGAGAAAGTTTGCAATTTCACAGGCGTCCATCGATCGATTGTTCGATATGTTAATTGATTGTTTTGTATCGTTTTTATCCGATTGGATTTCTTTCTACAAGGATTTTATTTTTCATTATGATTGGCAGGTGAGATAAAATTCAAAAAATAAAAGATATCTCTTCGCATTGTCACACGGTTGTATTAAAATCTTAATTAATTTAAATGTGAATGGAAAAAATGTGTGAAAGTGGCACACGAAGCTCAAATTAAGGCTTAAAAAAATCATCAATCAATATCGCAAACTTCTTCACAGTCAATTCAAGCTGAACCAGAAAAAGAATGAATTTATTCAACAAAAACAACAAATTTCTTCTCCTCGACTCTTTAAAACTAAAAATAATTTAATTTAATTAACACTTCTAAGTGTACAAAGTGAGAGAGCCACCCACGTATCACCTTGTGTTTTGTCGTAACGGCTGAGCCTTCTCTAGACTGTCGATCATCAATATTGATGTCAGTTTCTAATGCAAAAATATGATGGAAATCTGAATTAATTATAAAAATAAAGCGACTAAAAAAGGGCGCAGTTAGGTTGTAGGTGAAACGAAAAAGAAAGAGAAATTTCTTATTGTGTGCTTTTATTTTATTAAGACATGTTTGCTGTTCTTTTTCACTTCTTTCACTTAAATAATGCATTTCCGGAAATACCATAATAGTGAAATTTTAGGAATGAAAAACAATGTCTGAGTATATCCAGCAAATAATATTCGACTCGATAGGTAAATATCTGCACTCAATACTCGGTCGCACACATAAACGATAAACATTTTTGCGTTTAAATAAATAAATAAAGTTTACTCGAACGATTACGTCATGAAATACAATAATAAAGCAACTTATTTTGTATCTAGATATTTTTCCTCGCAAATTACACACTTGAGGAGAAAAACTCAAGATTTCTATTTTCTTTCTTCCACCGAAAGAAGAATCAGTAAAATACTTTTAATTATTGCCGCGCGGAAATATTTATTTTTAAAGGTTAGAGAGGAAATGAAGAATATTTTTGATTCTCGTGTGCAATTTTCCAATAGATATTTTTATTCTATCATATTTTTTGTCCTACAACTTACTACACAATAAAAATCTTTTCGACTTTGTTAACTCTTTTTTATATCTCTACACAATTTGTGATTTATTTATCCTTTCACTATCCTTCAAGGTTCGTTCGTTCGATAATATCTTCACCCGCATGAAGTTGAAGATTAAAGGAGAAAAATAATAAATATTGTTATTAAATTAAAATTAATTATTCACTACTCCCGCTAATCCATTTGATTTCAGGGTTCGGGGTCGACTGAGAGAGGAAAAATGGTTTCATTTTTTATTCATGTCTCTTACATTTATTTTATATTACGTCGTGCAAAAAAAAATAAGAAATAGCGAGCTCGAATACTTTGCTATTTCTCAACTTTAACTTAAGTGTGTTGTGCAGAAGAGAGAATCTTTTAATTATAGAACAGACGAAATTTTCGGCAATCTTCGAGGCAAAGAAATGAAAAGATAATCTCTAAGGAAAGCGAAATTATTTAAATATCCACGTTTACATTCTCTTCTCATTTGCCCTCGGATCGTTTAATCGCTTAATTGTATTCACCAACCCTAATCATCATTTGCTTTTTAATTCTCCAACAAATGTTTCGAAGTGAGAAGATTGAAATGAGAGAAATAAACTTTTTCAACACTCAACACTATTTTGTTTTGAAATTTATTTGATTTGCACTTCTGTTTTGATTCTAAAAGCTTTTCACTGAAATGTACATATCTAAATCCTGTTTTATTTAAATGTTTCTTTCTTTCTAATTTTGGGTGTAAAACTTTAGGTACAAAACAATTTTACGCCTCTCAACGGCTGTTAAGTTCTAAAGCGACTGTCGGCAAATGTTAGAAATTATCACAATTAACTCTTTTTTTATCTCGCAATATGAATTGTCGTCATGTGTTGACGCAAGAAACAACACATTTTTTCCCAGTCAATAACAACCACGTGGAAGCAAATTCAAAAGCCAGAATTTATTTCATCAGAAGAGCGTTTGTGAAAGTTTACAAATAAAATTTTATTTCAACTTGTCTCGAGACTTGAGACGATTCACTGCATGTGCTTTTCTTTCATCAAAAGATTATGAATAAGTTAGTGTCAAAATAGGGCTTGTATGTCATCAAAAATATTCAACATTCACAACTGATAAGAATTGCGTAAGTGTCGAGTGATTAAGCAAAAAAAAGAAACTTGAAAAACTTGACTCTTTATCAGAAATCATTTGAACTTTTTTATATTCTTCCCGTCAACTTGATTTTCAACAACAAATGATTCATCCTCTTTTACTAGAAGGTATTTTGGCTTTTATCAACTTGAGCTCTTCACTTCACATGGTGATGAATCACAATCTGGATTCTACTAACAAAAATAAATTCTATTTTTAACCTTCTCCATGGCTCTTCAACTGGTTTTCATTATCACCTTTGAAGTATGAAGCTTTTAACCATTTAGTTTGTGATTATGGAACTTAACAAAAACTCTAAAACCATATAATTAATTTCTTTCTACTGTTTTGTGGAAAACTCAGCTGTTTTATTCCAATATTTTTTCATCAGTTTCCACGAAAGCAAAAGTTTTTCATCATTCTTCTCTACAATGACATTTAAATAAATAATAAACACATACGAGTTGATGATCATTCGTACTGATCATCTTGACGAAAGAAACAGACTCGATAGGCAAATTGCCAAATTTATTTGCTTCTTTTTTACTTCTTCTACTCCCGCAAACTTTTTGCGGGAAATTTGCATGATGTGACAGCAGTTCAGAGGAAAATTCGTTGACGAGATAATTTTATTATAACTTTTTTGTTTTCCCTTTCAAAAAAAACTTTCAGTTCAATGTTGAGTGCGAGCATTTTTTTAAAATTTATCTCGCATAGATCACAGTTAAAAGATTGATGTGGTCGCTTTGAATGAATGTTTGAACAATTAAAATATTGGCCAAGGCCTTTGCCGCTGGGCTTTTCCCTCAAACAGCTGTGCAACAACCTCTTAAACTTATCCGCAAGCGAAGGAGATTTTTTTATTCCGTGTGAAAGATTTCTTACAAAACATTTATCGGCATTGGTCTTAATTGAAATACGAGCATAAAATATTAATTCTTCACACTGAAAGGGTAAAGGTTTTGATAAGTTAAGCTTGCGTAAGTAATGAACTGAAAATTGTATTGCTTCCATTTCCCATGCAGTTTATTCGCAACTTATACAAAGACGCTTTTTACCTTAAAAAATAATATTTTCATAAAAGGAAATCCCACCGATAAAAGTACGCAAACATAGACTTGATGTGCCTTTTATATTTTTGCCTAATTTCGTTCTCGCGACATTACGAAATCAACGGGCTGGCACTCAATTCAAAAGTTAGCGTCTCGCACGAGGTGTGTCCGCCTTTTAGAAAACTACAAAGCTTAACTCTCTTTCTTGAGCGATATTTCTTGTGTACTATTTCGCTGTTTAAACAACGCGCCGTGTGGTGTTAAAAATGAATATGAATTTTACACTTTATTTAAATAAGATATACTGAAGGCACACAATAAATTCAGTGCTTTGATGCTTAAGTGAACATTTTTATATGGCAAGAAGATTGATTTTTTTTCTTTCTTGTACTTGCAAGCAATGAGTGAAGCTATCATAAAATTCGTCGATAGGACTGATGTATTTTGACGCCAGTTCAAGTTGTTGCAGCGAAAATATTTACAAATAAAATTTATTGTTTACTGCTTTCAGTTAAACTGGGCAAATATTCTCACAAAATGGATATGATCATATATCCAATGACGACTACAATAAGAAAATATTATGAGAAGCAAACTTCCATGTCTGGCATTTAGATATGAAGATTGAAGCAAGAAAAAAGTATGAAAATTTGCACTTTTTATCTGCTCATCGAATTAAATTCAAATCTTTTTCTTTGACTTCAAATTAATAACAAATATATTCCATTGATTTCGAAACGTTTCAGGGGAAAAATGTCCAGTTATTTTATTTGCCTGACACCAAATATAAAGTTGTAAACAACGACATTGGTGTTGTGGCGTGTTTCTCGATGTTTCGCAGAAATAAAAGACAGAAAGAAAAAAAAATTAAGAGAAGAGAACTGCAAATAATTCTTTTTTTTTCATATGAATATTTATGATGAAATTGGAAAAAACACACGAATGAAGGCGACACACGTCGATGCTCCCCGAGACCTAAAACAGAAACCGTCGATTGTTGATTGTTTCTTCGAAAAGTAAGAGGTGAGAGTACTGCGAAGACTTTAGCTTTTCTTTCGAACAATCAAGACACAATGAGACGGTATTTTTCTGTTTATGGAAATAACTTATCTGACAGGGATGATTGTAAGGTGAAACCGACCGACCATCCTGGAATCTTTCATATTAATGGCTTTTCTGGTCTCTGTTGATTATCCCCACTGTCACTTGACAAACGTTCATACACTAAATAAGTGAAGACGCCTACATTCAATTAAGGACTCTTTTTTTTCGTTTCGATCGGCAATTGACCTCTTTTTTTATTTTTTTTAAGAAAATTATTTCGTTCCACAATACATCGGACTTTACGCTTTCATAAACTATACAAAACGACAAAGACGTCCAGATAAACTTTGTAAGTTTGTAACAGTTAATGTCCCTACTGAAGCTGACGTTTATTTATTAAATCCTATTCATCTTAGTTCAGAAGGCCGTAAAAAATCATCGAAGCGCTTTTCAATATATTGTTGCTACGTTTTTAAAAAACTTTACAACTCACAACTCATGTTAATTAAATTAAATAATTAAGTAGAAACTTTTGTCATAAAACCTTTACTCAGATATAGATTTAAATGGATTTGTGCATATAGCCGAGAACGACAACTTTGCTTTAGTGATTGTTCGAAAATGACACTAAAAAGAAAAATTGCGTTGCAAGTTGAGAGAAGAATCCTCGTTTTGAAGAACACTGTATGCAAATATAAGTTTCAAAGTAATTTAGGGCACAAATAATCAAGCAGTGTTTAATTGCCAAGCAAAATAATTTGCAATTCCGAAAAGTTTCCAATTTGAACTTTAGTGATTTATTTTTCTTTCCTTATTTTTTGCATTTCATTTAAACTTTTTCTTTTCTGATTTTGTGTAAAGCGTTCTAGAACGTCGTCTTGTTTTCATGTTTATACAGAATTTATGGCACAATTCATTAGATGTTTAAATGAGAATAAAAAAATGTCTGTTTATGAAATCAAATGTCACTTAAATTCTCATTTACGTTTAGATGATTTTGGATGAAAAAAAAACATGTGCGGTGACCATGAGAGTAGTAAGCGAGAGAACGATCAGGAAAAGTCATTGATAATATTCGTTTAAAAACTCAATAAAGTCACATTTTGAAAGCGATTTTGCAATGAAAATAATAAACGTCGTGCATAGAATTCGTGCGGACATTCGTCAATGTTCAATAACAAATCCCTTGAATCAATAAATTAAATAAATATTTATGAAATCTAAGATGAAAATTAACGGAATAATTACCGGCTAATCTTTCACTATAATAACATTCTTTGTTCTCAATTACAACAGTGGAGTTTCATCGACTTTGTTGTGTCGATGGACGATCACTTGTTAACATGTCACTCTAAATGAACCGCAATTAAACTCGCAATACAACAGGAATGGTGCGCAAAAGTTCTTTGTTCCATTTGTTAAACCTTGTATCTATTCCTTCTTGTTTTGTTCTGCTGAAGGCACATGTGACAATGTCTGTAGCGATTGTGAACTTCCGCTTTAAGTTGTTTTTACAGAATGCAAATTTTTACTTTTTTTTTGTTCTCATTGGATTAAAGTCCTTTTTTTTTGTAAATTACGATGCAGAATATTTAAATCAAAACAATAGAAAGACAATTTCCTCTCATAAAAATATCTCCAAGACATTTTAACGAAATTGTCTTAAAAAGCTCTTAAATGATATAAGAAAACACGAAAAGAATTTTTCTTTTTCTTTCTCACTTTAAATTGGTTTGACTTACGGTAGCTTCAATAAAAAGTTGAAACTTTCAATGGTAATTAAATGTGTGTGTTCTCATGCTTGACCATTACGCGAAAAATAAAAAGAAGAATGATCGAGAGTTGAGTTCAAAGTACATTTACACTGCAATAAAACAGCCCCGTCATAAATAAATCCTTTTGTTCGCACGATCACAGCACAAAGACTCCAGTGGTTAAAATGCATTAATTTTTATAATGCACAGCGACCCAACAAATTGTATTTCTTTTCTGCTTTCGTACATTTCATGCAAATGATTATCATATTTTAATTTTTATTGTCGTTGCAGCTAATTTCTTGCTGCTTTCGTAAGACCGCCTTCAACAGTCGTTTAATCTCGAAGCCGAGCATTTCTTTGTTAATTTCTCAATATGTTCTCTCGTTATTCATTAAACAATGAAAGTCGATTTCTTGTTTATTTCTTTCCTATTTATTCTCAAAAAAATATTATGGAGAAAGAAATATAAAAAAACTAACTTCGACGAAGGCGAGTAAGACACACGTGCGTCGTTTTATGTTTTTGTCTTTCATACAAATTACAAGAAATAACGAAATTGCGCTTAAAGACACTGGAGAAAAATAATAATTTATGTGCGCATATGTCTTTAATGTTTAATGTTACAAATGATCTACTCGATCGATTTGAAAATATGTTCCTTACCTATTCTAAGGTATCAACGACTTGATCGATTTATAATTTTCGGATAAGTACAAATTTTTTTAGAGAAGTGAAAAAAGCGCGCCAAGGAATTATGATCACATGAAATATGTGTAACTAAGTTGCACAATTGGACGGTCATGAATTTTTATGAACAGTATGAGAAAGAGTTGATTGAACAAGGCAGTCTGGCACGAAAACTGGAAATCGCAAATATTTCTCTTGATGTAGGCTTTTATTCAATTGGCCCTTGAGATAAACATACTTCTGACTCTGATAACAATAAACTCTCGCTATTCTAGTTTTTTATTCTTGTAGTATTGTCTCATAAAGATTATCTAATTGAAAACGTAAATAAGTTTCTCAAAACAATATATCGCAAAATGTTTCTGACTTGTAACATGCTCCCAGTATTTTTTATTCATTCGCGATCGAACATAACATGAATAAAAGTATAAGCATGATGAAAACAAAAAGAGAAGTAAAAAAAATACACAACTTTGCTATTCTATCTTTCGCTGTTTCGATTGCGGGAAGGTGAAAGGAACCAGTCCGCGCACAGTTGTTTAATATCGTGGCAACAGCAAATAATATTTAATTGAAATTCCAATAAAAATTCATTTAACACTTCTTATGGCGCAACGACTCGAGAAATACAACAAGCTTTTGTTATCATACTCTGATCGACCCAATAATTTGAAATTTGAGAGCTTTATGAAAAATTAAAGCAACGAACATGTAAATTTTACAATTTTTAATTAATTCGTAGATAGATTGGAATGTTTTGTTTTTTTTTCATGGGATTCAATTACAGCTGATTGTCAGCTAATTCCCTATTAAATATGTTAACTGCATAGAGTGTGTGAAATTCTAGGATGTTTGTGGTCTATCAACAAACGTACAAGAAGCTACTACGTTGTGGTTATATTCAGGTCTTTGGTATACATTATTTTCACATCAAATTTGCTTTCATGGTGTGATCCACGCAGTTTAAAAAAAAAGAAGAAAGAAAAAACCAAAACTCACACATTTTGGGACAGAATTTTAACCGACAGTGTCTGAACACACCTCAATCTGCATAAATAAATAGCGCTTTATTAATGGTTCGAGAGAAAAAAGAGACTTCATTGGAATCAGAAAAAAAATCATCAAGACTTATCGTGAAATATAAAATCAATTGGCGCTACTTCAAATTAAATCTTTTATATGAGCGAAAAAGAAACATAAACAAGCAATTTCATAAAGCTAGATCCTAGCGATATAATACTAAGAAACTAATACGTAGCTCGCTTTCAGTTCCGTTTTGTGACGTCACGTATTAGTTTGGATTTTGAACAAACTGTTGCTTGATTTGCGAATTGAACAGCAAAAAAAAAGAAAAAGAAAGAAATTAAAAAAGACTTTTATGGGATTATGCAATGTCTGAATGTTGTAACTATTTATTTTAATTTTAAATATTATAAAAAATTTCTAGGCCATCATTGAGGATCCGGGAGTAAATCAAATTCCCTTAATCATGCACGATGTTGGAGACTGTATGTTTAAAAACATTAAATTAAAACTGATAATAAATCTCTTTAACATGTTTTGTGAGCTATGGGATGAAAGGACGAACCCATCGTTAAGAGACATGAGACGCCGTCGGTAATTTACATTTTTATTCGGTACGTGACATTACAGTGTCAATCAACTTCTCAAGTGGATCCTCCCATTAAGTCTTAAAGTGTACTTTTCTTTTAATTTACGAGATGCTACGTGAGATGATCTCTTAAGGAGCGATGATGAATTTCAAAATTTAATTGCACAGCAATTCGCTCATAAAATTGAAACAATTTATGTATTTCTTTTTAATTTAGTAATTTCTTATCATACACATCTTTTAATTTCTGCATTTTCTTGTTAATTTGTCTCAAAAATTAATAAGAATCAATAAACTCCAATAAATATTATCTTAACCTTGATCGCTTGAAAATATTCACAAACATCTCTGATATCTTTAAGTTGTAAAACGCCAAAGACGTCAATTGCTTTGCTTGCCTTTAATTTTATTTTTCTTTCGAAATGATAAGAAAAACATTAATTTTTGGATTTTTTTCCGAATTCATTTTTTTTACTCGCATCTACGGGTTGGGCTGATAAGAGTTCAAAAGAAAATTAAAAAATTTGGCGAATTTAAAAATTTCATTAGATAATTGTTTGAAAATGTCGCTAGTCTGATTTCATTTGAATTCATAAAGTTCTATAAAAAACTATTTGTGGAGATAAAAAGCTTCTGCATGACTTTAAATTTACTGATTCACAGGATGTTTTATCTTAAATTCGCTTGCGCATTTTGAATGATGAGTTAAAGGATGAAACTGTGAGTAAGGGAAAGTTTGATCAGATACGTGCATAAATCATTGTGGCATCAATATTTTTCACAACTTTTTTGATTGAAAGTTAAAAATAAATAAAATAAAATAAAAGTAGAACGAAGCACTTGAACATTTTTACATTTTAAAAGCCAACATACGACCTTGTCATAGAACCAGAATGAACGCAAGTGTTTTGACATTATTCAAATTATTGGTGAAAAGAGGTGAACTTTTTGGAATTTCACGGAAATTCTTTCATGTGATAGAATGAAAATTCCTCGACGGATTTTCCAATATTTTTCCGAATCAGGGAAATTCCTATACACATTGCGTGAGAAAAAAAATCGAATTTACACCGAATAAAATCACTCTGTAGAAGCGTATAAAGTCACCAACAAGTGAGTTTGACATTCATTGATTAATATTTATGAGTTTTTCAAATTGTGACCTTTTAACTCGAAGCAACTTGTTGCTGCGACGACACCACACCGAAGATTTAATTGATTATAACTCGGAAGTTTATTTAATTAAATAATATCTATCACAATCACTTTTGAAAGATTTTTTTACTTACCATTCGATTGTTATTGTTATGGCTATTGCTGTTATTATTTAAATTATCATTATTGGTATTGCTACAACTGTTATAACAACTGAAGTTATAGACCGGTGTCAATGGGGCATTATATTCCATCGCGTATGGGTACATGAACGTGTCGTTTATCAATGAATTGTCCAAAGTCATTCTGACTTAATTTTATTTATTTTTTAAATATAGTGTTTTCTTGTCAATTCGCGCTAACTAAAATTAACTCGAGCACGAATGACTTAATTTGTGGAATAATATTTATTGTTCTAAGAATTAAATTCTTTTAAGTTTTTATTTTCTTTTAGGATAACACTTTACAAATTTATCACGAGTAAACTTTTTGCAAATATTAAACCGAATATTTCTTTACAACTTTTTTCTTTCCTCGAGATCTTTACTGATTGAATAGTTTCAAGCGACAAAACAGAATTCGTCATCGCTACAAAGTTTTTATACAAACATCTCTTTACTCTCTGTTATTCTCTTTACAACGAGAGAATATTGTGTTAGTGTGAGTAGGTTTCATTTATTCGCTTATGACGTCATGACGTCATAGATTTCTCTCGTATTACGATGTTGAGAAAATTCAAAAATAACTTGATGTCGTCATTCTTTCAGCCAATCGAATTTACTCTTCGGCTGTCGGCAGAATCGTATCATGTACCATTATGTTCACGTGATTCCATTCTTATTTTTATTATTATTTTGTTATGCAACGATTCCTTCGGAAGAATACTTCCGAAAATATTTCGGTTTAATGATGGGAATAAGTGATGACAAAAATTTATCTAATAAAAGGTTATTTAAAAAATATTAGCAACGTTCATGACTCACACAGGCAGTTGTTCAATTGATGAATTGAAAGCATGTTGTAAACAAGTGGAAGTCGGGGGTTTTCTTGGAATTATTAAGCCATAATATTTGAACTATATTCGAATGTGACAGAATTTTTGACATGACAAGTTCATACTGTTTCAGCAATGAGAATATCTATGGAATCTATTTTAATAAATAAGAAGATGTCTATAACAATTTATGCTTGTTATACAAACGAAAACATAATAAATCTTATTGTTTTCGCTACAAGTTTCTGAGCATGCCCACTTAAATAAAACACGTCATCGTTTTCCACGAAAAGACTCTCGATTTCCAAGAAATTTATTACTCAAAGCTAACTCTACAACCTTAGATAAATATTTTTTTATTAACTATAAGAAGTGAGAAAATTAAAGTTGTTTCAAGCTTGAGCACGAGAGAGCTCATGAGAGATGACGTCATGCTGTTCGAAAACTACTGTAAGCTATTGAAGCTAAAAAACAAACACCAGAAGAGTAACATTGAGCATTAACCGTGAAAAAGTTTACACTCAAACGAATGATCCGACACTGACGTCATCTCTATTATTGTTTTCTTTTCATTCTTTCTTCTTATATCTCCTTTAAGTAGATATCTTGTCCCAAATGAACTTTGCACCTCTACACAAAGACCCTGTACGTGTTTCATCGTGTCTTTGTTTTTATTATCCTTCGTTTTCTCTTCTCTTTTAAGTTAAACCAAAAAAGAGTTTATGGCCCATTTTCAATGAATTTATTTCAATTCTTAAAGTTTTGTTATGTTCTCTTATCTCGGCTAATTGTAAGGTATTTAACAATAGAAATTTGCATATTCTTTGTTTTTCATTATATCTTATCGTTCAATGTTCAATTGCCTTAATTTTAAGCAGGGCAAAGATCATTCAAGTTTCTTAGAAATTAAACTCATTTTATGATCTTTCTTTGAGTGAAGAACAGAAATTTTTTAAAATGTTTCCAAAAAAAAATTCATTTTCATATTTTAAAGTTTTGGTCCCATCATCATTGTTATGTAAATATCTTATCAAGCCATGTTTGAAATTCAGTCCATAAAAATTACTTTTAGCTAAATTAAATTCCACTCTTTGGGCTATGAAAATGTTTTCGCATTTTAATGCTTTCATAACGAGGGGTTGAATTCTAATTGTAATATCTAAATATATATGCGGCTGAAAACAAATCTTAAGAAAAAAAAAAGAAGTCATTGATATCGATTTTTTTTTTCATGGCAGTTCTTATTCTCGCATGAGGCGACACCAAGTTTTCGCCCTTCTTCTTATTTTTTTCGGCAATAAATTTTCTTTTTGGCAAAAAAAAACTGATGGAAAGGAGCATGCAAACTTCCCCCGACTGCAGATTGAGAAATCGAACCCCTTTTTCAATTGTTGACCCTTCTTATTATGAAACGAATAGTTAAAGGAAAGCGAAAAACAGAAAAATTAATTCTGCAATTTTTGTGAGTTTAATCAAATTGGAAAAAGGGGAAACCAAAAATGGTGAACAAAATATTAGATATGCGTCTCAAGCTCGTAAAACGACTCGTTCTTAAATATTCAAGTCAGGTGTGCCCTGCAAAATTTATTCACTAAAATGTAATTAAAGAATCGTTAGGAGAATTGTCCTGCAAATTGTGAATTTGAAAGTACTCCGGACGGGAAACTACTCGAAAAGATATCATTGCAATCAATCTAGGTTCCTACTATTTCAGAATTTTAGCTGAGAATATTTAATGTTTTTGATAACTTTTCCATCTGTTGTTGGAAATTCAGGAAATTATTCTAAGCTATGCCTACATTACTTGTAAGTTTTAAGCACTAAAAACAGAAAAACAAAGGAACGGTAAATTTACATATGTTTCTTCATTAAATTCTAGATATTAAAACTATTTAAGGTCAAAAAATTTTCACAAAAATAAATAAATTGATATTAACATACTGAAAAATAATCGCATAGCGAAACTTCCAGAAGAAAAAATTAATTATCACGTGTATGAAAATTGGTAAGCGGAAAAAAGTTTATTTTTCATTTTTTATGGACAAGCCATTTTTTATCATGGGAACAATGCCATGGTACAAAATCATGTGGTATAAAAGCCACTCTAGCATGTCCAACGCAGTGGGGGGAGGATTAGAGGGCGCTACATTCATTAGTTTGTTGTTTTAATGCTACAGTGAATACTCTTAGTTACGTTTACTAGTTTTGTTTATGAAAATGGATGTGAAATGTCAATAAACTGTTTACAATCTACTCAAAGTGTCATTGCATTGAAAAACCATAAAAAACTCTAGACACAGGAAAGAAGTTTCAGAGAGAACGAGATTCTAATAAGAATATGACGAGAAAAAGTTTGTATTTGAAAGTCGCGACTGTAATCGTTTCGTTTGGAAATGATTTTGTATATCAAAGTCAATTTCACTCATACTAATTTGAAATGTATTTTTCAGTGATAAGCTGAGGGACATTTTTAGATAAAATTCTCTTGAAGTTACATTCGATGCGTTTTTAGTTATGTTTTGTTTTGTGTTTATCTTCACAACTTTAACCTTGAAAATTTCATTTTCTTAGTTTTGTTCATCGCGGATGTTTTATAGAAATTTCACAACATTTAGAAAGTCTTGCAATATCTTCAACACTTACCGAACTTGTTTTGACTGGCACTTTATCTTTCATTTGTTCCTGAGTGGAGGAAGAATCAAGATCCGTGGCCGTCGATGCCTCCTCGGTCTCAGATTCACTCGACTCCTCAACTTTAATCCGACGTGGAATTCTTAGTTTCATTATATTAGGGCACTTGAATGAATACTTTAGTCGAAGAATAAAATCCCCTTTGTTACAAACTGTTTAATGTCACAAACAAAGCTTTCTGCCAACACCCAAAAATCTTATGCAAAAAAGCTTTTAGTTGAGTTCTCACCACTTTTATTGGCTTTTTATCTGATTGCACAGTAATTATCGTCTTAAATTTAAATTAAATACACTATTTTGATCACAATTGAACAAAGAATGTTTGATTTTTGTGGAGTTTAATTTGAAAATATATTTTGCGTTTCCGTGGAATATAAAATGAATCACCAGACGCACTAACACATTCTTAAAATCTTCTCTTAAAATTCCAAGTTTACTCGCACATCACAAAACAAGCTAATAAGAAGTAAATACAAACTTTAAGGTTATGGAATTATGATTGTGTTTCTCTCTTTATCAATTAAATAAATATTCTGATACTAAAGTCGACTCAAACACAGAACAAAATGGAAGTATTTAATGTCGATCAACTTATTGGACGTCTGCTCTTATTTCTTCTTAATGCAATCGAGCCAAAAACACCTGAATAAAAAGCGTCTTGATAATTCCACCTTCGTCACACAAATATTTTCATAACTTGCACAATTTCGCGTTCATACTTCCATTGAATCAAGAGAGTTGTAGCGAAATATTCTCTCTTTTCCATTCTCTCAGCAAAAAAAGAAATACCGATGACGGCATCATTTTTCCTAGAATTGGAGATGTTTTCGAATGTTGAATTAAATTGGCAAGTTTTTTTTACTCAATTGGACGAAAAACAGACAATTCATTGGAAATCGTAAAACATATTAAAGTCTCTCAAATTTAGAGGTTTCGAAAGAAGCATGTTCGTTGATATTAAAACATTTCAAACGCACTGCACAAGAGCTTACTTAACGTCCATGGTTTTATATTTATTTTAACGCTGGGATTTTCCCAGCTGTGCCGCGTAAGATATATTTCTTGGAAATTGAAAGCAGGTCTCTTTAAGTTCGATAATATGCCGTTCATTTCCGATCGCTTCTTACTACCAAGGCCATGTTTAACGTAAAAAAAATTAAACTCGAATTTTATTGTTGCAAATCGGATATTTGTATTCACACCTCGAAACGGAAATTCATAAAAAAATATTTTTTATCATTTTTTTCTCATTGATAAGAAAAATGATAACCGTGATATGAAATTTTAGTTCTTTGCTTTTACTTTTTTTTTCTTATAAATTTAGCCATAAAAGGCAAATTATTTTTGTTTCATTTTCAGTCGTCTATATTTTGACCCAGTTTAGAAGTTCAGATTATTCTTACCGTTTTAGGAGAAGATTTTAAGCTGTTAGCTCAAATTATCTCACCTTTGATTTCTTGCATCAAAAATTACAAATTTGGGACCATTTGACTCAAATTCCTTTTGTACGCGATAAATTTTTTTCTTCCACTCTTATTAATCAGAGCTTCAGGTCAGAAATTTAAGATATTTTCTAAGGAATGTACATATCTTTATGTTGTTATCCGCATGAGCTAAGGACAGAAATTCATGAAACAAAAAAGTTCGTAGTAAAAAGAGGTTCAAAAAAAAAGAATGAAAAGCGAAAAGCATGTTGCTTAAATATAATAAAAAAGAGAAAGACTGGCTTTTTAATGTTGTGTGGTATAAATGAGTCATCATCTGAATTCTTTGAAATTTTATAGGTTGATTTGTGTAGCCAAGACTTCAATAAAGCATTTAACAAGTGAGTGAACATCAAGGTGTTTTGTTCATTCATTAGCATGATTTTTGCTCTCACCTCTTAGTCTGCCGTTTCTTTAATTAAAGATTATATCATTTATTTGTTAAGATGATCACATTTCTTTCAACACATCACTCATTTTGCATTGTGAATTCTTTGAATTTTTCTCACCTTCACTACTCTGTTTATTCACCTTATCAATGATATCATTTTCATTTAAAGTATTGTACTAGATATGTAGTTAAGTTTATATTTTCAGCGAATATTTTATAATAACGGTATTCATTCCATGTTTTCTATTCAATTCGCTCTTGGTTTAGCATGAACAAATACAAACTGCAACAAATATTTGCAATCAATTATAAATAATTGAACAAGGTTATTGTCTAAGCTATTTACCTTTTGTTCAAAGCGTGATCAACGAATGCAACAGCATAAGCATTAGCAACATTCTTATTATTTATTCATCTTTTAAGTTAATTAAACATCATCTTGAAAAAATCATCTCAATATTGAAATTATTTTAATTTTTTCAAATTATTGAGAGTCTCATGAAGAATGTTTTCATTAACATTTCATTTTCCTTTCTTTCAAATACACTTTGTTTGAATAAATGCCGATCAATTAAAGAAAATTATCATCAAATGAAAAACCTTCATAGAGCAATGAATGTAATCAATATGAAAAAAGTTTCTGACATTAATTTTTTTATTGAAGCAGGAATGACACCTAAACTGAAATTAAAATTGCAACAAAGAAATAGTATTGTAATTAAGTTACAAAGAATACGGAATTTATTTCATCTTACCTAATGGTAAGTGTTTTAAAAAAATCTCTGGAATTCCATTTTAAACAGTCGATAACAGCTTCAATAAATTTACGGATTCTGATCAATCTTTTCGGTGGTATTAAATTTGGAAGCGTTCATAAAATAAACCAAACTATCAACACTGTCGCCAGTCTAGGGTTCCAAAAAAAAATATAACAAGAAGAAAAAACACTGAAATTGTGGTGTTGAATTTTTTTTATAGCTTCAGCTTTTTTAAAGCAAGTGTAAGAGTAAGAGCCAATATAGAGGGTAACCAACCGCAAAAAAAATCAAAAAGAAGAATATTCTGACAAATATCGTGCAAAAGCAAATAAGAAAATTTCCGGAAATGGATTACATTCTTCTATAATTTTGTTTCGCGTGTGCTGTGATCGCCGTGCGCTTTTTCTCTCTTCGTGATGATTCATCGGTTGTATAAGACTTGATATAAAGAACTTTTCAAGCAAGAATAAAATAAAATATTTATTTAAGATTTTCATAAGCCACAGAAAATAGATATGATAATTAAGTTAATTTAATGATATTTGCATGAATGATGCTTAAGAGAGAAATGTGTAAACATTTTGACTTGCGTATGATCACAGTGCTGAATCATGGGGAAAAAAAGATTCTTCGCCAGGGATTTTTTGAGCAGTTTATTTTAACAGTTTAACGATAAATTTCCAATAATAGAAACTAAACTGAGGTCCACGTTGGTAACCGATGCTTTTGGCGTGCCCCCAATATGACTCATATCAATGAAACAAGCATAATACAAACAAGTTTTACTGCAATTTTTATTCTGATCTTTTTATTTGTTTTTCCGTCAGGCTGCAAACAAAGCAAAATGCTGCAAGAAATATTTTGATCAAAAAACATGAATGAAAAGTGTGTTGCACGTGGCTTATTGACTGAGTCAGAACTATTAAAAATTGCACAGAAATTTTAAGCGATCTACATGTCTGCAATATTAAATCTCCCAATAAGAGGCGATTTTTCTTCTTTGAAGTGTTTAAATTTGTTTTGTAAGGAATTATTGTGTCTCGTTAGAGACTCCCAAAAATTGCGCTGCGGACTGTTACGTCCTCAGCGCGAGGCATTGGTTAAGTTTTCAATTCGCAATAATCCCATCTCAGTATAAACTTCATCGATTCAGGATATTGCCCATGCACAAGGTTAATCTGAATACCGAAATAGAACACATCTGATAAAATGATTTCTGCGAATTATTGTTTTAAGCAAGTAAAAATGCGTGTAAGGAAATGTTAGTGTTACTACGTAAGATGAGAGAGAAACTGGAAACAAGAGAATAATTGAGAGAAAAGAAACTTCAAAAAAAAAAGTTCAACGTACGAATGAAAATTCACAGGATTATTTATTATTTTATTTTACTACTAACTATTTTAAATGAGATTTCTTTAAAAAATATTATGTCAATTCATTGGGGCATTTAAAATTTTCAGTATTTTCTATCAACAACAAAATAAGTTTCATAACGTTCACAACAGTTCCTGAATATATGTGAGGAAAATGCAAATCCTTTCCGATTTTATAATTAAACAGTAATCGTTTGCTAACGTAATCGCCGTAGTACGAAAAATTACCAACTTCAATGTATTTATTCTGACTTGGTGAAAACATCTCAACTCCCAATTTACAGGATTCTGCTTTGTTTAGTTCGTGAGCTGGATAATAATAAATCCTGAAGTGCTGACCAAACATCTCAAAAAGTTCTTTAAAAATTTCAATTTGTTCGTCCATGATATCGTTAAAGGTTGATCCATCAACCGTCGATACAAATGATTGGCAACAAGTTGACTGAACAACTTTATACAAATCGTTATGTTCAAAATGATTTTCTGCATCATATTGTTTACCGGTACAAATGAATTTCATCGGGAAAAGTGTAGGAAATGTAGAAAGTTTTGTGATAAATGGTAGGAAACTAACAAATGAACCGTTTCCAGTGAAATGAAGCAAATTCAATTTATTTTCAATATCGACTTCTTTCAGGAGAAAAAGTTTTTTCGAGTCAATTCCAGCACCTTCGGCAATGACACTTCTTGAAAAATCTGGATTACTAAACTTCATGAACCCTTTGTCTTGATGAAGATCCAGTACATGCATGGGCAAAAATAAATCAAATTTTGCGGCTTCACCTTTTAGAAAATAGCAAGTTGAATCATAAAATTCGATAAATTCATCAAGTAAACTTTCGCTCAAGTTTGGTTGCTTCTTGTCACGTACTTCTTTGAAACTGTAAACAACTTTCTTATCATTGTCAGGAGTCACATTATGAATGTAGTTTGGTAAATCTAAGTAACAATGAATAAAGCTATCTTCCAGATGATAAGAATTTTCCTTTAGCAATCTAAGATCCTCCCGAACTTGAATTCCTTGAAGCTTTAAGCCTTCATTTGGTGCTTCTCTCATCAATTTAGAAATTTCAACTCTACGATTAGCCAATGCCTTTTTACGTTCCTTGAAGCTTTTGTAAAGATCATATTCATTTCGAAAATCATCCAAATTTAATTTCATTTTCCTTCTCTTCACGTTTTCCTCAACTTCAATATAATTTTGCAGTCGTTCCTCATAATTCAAGAATGGTGTGAGAACGGCAAAATGTTCCGATGCTTTATCACCAGTAACATATAAAGCTGAAACATGCCTTTTGAATATTGTAAATGATCCTCTAAAATGTCTCAACATTTGTAGATTAACTAAAATAACTTTTTTTAAAAATGTGATTTGTTTACAAAATTTTTATTCCAACTGAGTAGAAACAAGAAGGAAACAAAATTCAAGAGAGATTTATGTGTTAGTAGTGGTACCTAATCTTATTGGAATTCAAATTTACTCACAAATTTTTATTTCATTCCAATAAAAAATCTACACAGGAAAGATTGAAATATTTATTGAAGTTTATATTTTTTTAACTTTTAATTATAATGGAACTAAAGCCATCTTATAGCAACAGACCATTCCCGAAATTCAGCTTTCCGAAAAGAGAAGGATTTTTCTCTGTGGACGAACGAAGAAATTATCACAATTCAATGTTCAATCTTCGGTATTTGAGTGCACCAAGGGAACTAAATTTTTCCTTAAATGATGGAGATGATACTTACGTTGAGAAATTAACATCAGCTGAAGATGAGAAATTGTCCCATTTGTTAACATACATCATGAATAATAAATCTGTGATATCGCGTGAAAATGCTCCAGAATTTGTTTGCTTTCGAGGATTGCTCCGAATGATTATGAGTACACCTTATGACAACAGAGAAAGTTGGATTGTATTGGCAACATATTATAAGAGAACAATTTACTTATGTGCTGCGGAAACTGAATCAAAAAAGGCTGAGAAAATGAGGAAGACTGCTCGAGATGAAATGTTTCGTCGTTATGGCTTTAAATTTGAAAACTTTGTTCTTTCAAGTCATCCACACAAACCTCCTCCAGGTCATACAAAACCAGTGAATGAATCAGAAGAATTTTGTATCATGTTCAGTTCAAAGCTCAACGGTAAAAAACTTCTTTATGGTGCTGAAATTGACGGGTTAATTGCCAAAGAGCCTTGCACATCTTTAGAATATCTCCGGAAAGTTCCTTTAGTTGAAGTTAAAGTGAAAAGAATAGAAAATAATGAACGACAACTTCAAAATTTTTATCGCTTTAAGTCTCGCAATTGGTGGCTTCAATCATTTTTAGTTGGGATTGACGCAATTCATGTTGGATTACGAAATGACGATGGAATTGTCGAAGGTTTAGAACAAATTTCTTTGAAAGATCTTTACAATGAAGTTAAGAACAACGATTACTGGAATGGAGCTGTTTGTGTGAACTTCTTAGACGATTTTCTTGAGAAAGTTAAAACTGACATGAGATTGTTGAAATTAGAAGGCGATCCTCGTGTTGTTTTTCGCTATGAATGGAATCCCTCAAAATCAGATTGTGTCACGTTTGAAAAACTTCCTGGTTTTAACTCCATGTTTCTTACATCAGAATACATAAATTTTATTGAATCACTTGACGATAAATAATTTATTTCTGGTATATTCCAACCCATTTTATTGATTTAGAGTTGGAAAAAGACATAATTGAACGTAAATAAATGAAAAGTTTCGGAATGATTTTACAATTAAAAAGAATAACAATTTTTTTTCTTTAATGTTTAAGAACCATAAATTATAGGATCAAAACTTAATCGTCGTAATGGACACCGCTAAGCTCTTCGTCACTATCAGAACGTCCAAAATGATACATAAAGTAGATAACTGAGATGAATAAGAGAATACCAACAAGAACAAGAAACCAAGTTCGACGCCAAGGAGGTCGCGCCGCTGGTGAATAAAATTGCCTGAAATAAAAAAGGTTTTTATTAAAATACAAATAATTAAATTAATATCACAACTTACCTCGACCATCTTGAAAATATTTCTTGTGGAGTTTTTCTCTTATATTTATTGTCATCACGATCAGAACGCCCTAATGGTGGCTCACGTAGCAATGGCCTTGACTCAATATTTAAAATCGAATGTGGACTTTCAGGACGGAAATTTTTTTCCGGCACATTGGTTCGATGATGACCTGACAAAAGATTGCTGAATGGTGCAGCTCCATTAACTCCAACATTTTCCTGTGACTTGCCACTTAATAATGGTTTGGAAGCGAATTCTTTCTCTTCGGTGAACTAAAAAATAAATAAAAGGTAAAAAAAGTTAAAAGATTGTAATGTTGGCATTTTTACCATCGGTATATTTAATTCATTGCGACCCCAACTGACTTGCGACAGCCACACGCGCAAAGCATCAGCAACTGGTGAGACCAGATTCGGTGGTGGGAAGATGCAAGTATTACAAGATGGACAACAGTGACCTGAATTTATAACATTAACTATCATATTTAATACAATTCATTGCAATACGAACCTGAAGGTGCGGTATTAGATGGAAGTGCTTCTTGTCTCTCATTCAAACACTTTTTATGATATAAATCGTAGCAAATAAGTCGAATACAATCTTCATCCTCTAAATTTCTCCCACACAAAGAGCAAGTACTATCAAAATCGGAATCTTTCAGCCATTGTAAGTAGGATTGGATCACACACTGGTAAAATTCAATGATTTTGTTGAAAAATTATATTTATTGTCAAACACCGGAACTCACTTTTCTATGATTTAGCACCAAACAGCTTTCACAGACTGTCACACGATGATCAAAGCAGAAGAGATTGCTTACAACTTTCTTTGGACACTTGCACAAACCCATTTTACTTTACGAAACTCGAATTAATCAAATAAGAAAAGGTTTTTCAGAATTAATCTGACGTTGCATGAGAATGAGCTGCGCACCCTTAAAAATTCAAATATTGAAAATCCGTTGAATTTTCTTACAAAAAAATCTTCTCTTTATTGAATCTTTATGAAGCGTTTTATGCATTCACATTTATGATAGATGCAGTTTTAGCATTATCTGATGGATGAAGTTTTGAAGAAGGATCCCGAGAATCCCCTCGATCAGCAATGACATCAGTCGAAGCATTAATAAGCATATCTAAAGCTCCTCCAATCTCAAGAAATTCAAATGTTAGTTGTTCTTCGATTTTTACACGTCGACTTAGTTCAATGATTAATTGTTGAATATCAGAAGTGAGCGTTAGAAAAGACTTTTGATAACAATCCAGGAAAACGTTAATGATGTCAGTGAGCGTGATAGAGAATCTGCTATCACTGATGTACTTGTTGAAGAACGTAATAATTTTTGCTAATGATTCTTGACTTCTATTGCTAAAAGCACTCACAAGACCTTGACGACGTAAAAGTTCATGCATTACAGCAACTGTAACTTGTGGTGTTTTGTTCACACAATATCTTGTTAGAACACTGTCCAAAGCTTTGGAATATTCAAACTTTCGCAACAAAGCATCGTGTTTTGATTGCTTCTCCAATTTGAATACTTCGACAACTTCATCAGCTAAACGATTGTTTCTTTTCTCCCTTCGTTTTTCTCGAAGTTTTTCAACTCTTGTTTCTTCATATTTGTGTTCACGTTGGTTTACCACAAGAGTTCCATCAACTTGTCCCACAGCTAAACAATTGTTGTCTTTTGAAATGCCCAAACTCAAAATAGAATTTGTGTAATCTTGACTGTGCACCATTTGATAGTTTAGAGTGTTGAAGAACTTCACATGACGATCTAAACTGCCAGAGATTAAATGCTGTCCATTTGATGTGACTTGAAGACAAGTTACAGCTTTAGTATGCTTTGTGATGGTTGCTAATTGACGACCACCAGAAACGACGTCCCACACTTTGATATCGTTTCCACCTGCACTTATAAGAATTCCTCCTGATGGTAGAAAGACTAATGATTCCAAAGGACTATTGTGATCCATTGTCATTACACATTTGTCTAATCTTGTATCTAAAAACAGAAAATTTTAGGATTTAATAAGTCTTCATGTCAAATTAAATCTTTACCATAAATCTTGATGGTGTTATCATAACTTCCTGAAGCAATTGTATTATCACTTGTTGGATGTACAACACCAGCTCTGATATAATCCTCATGATGTTGGAAAATATTTGTTTCCTTCTCTGTTGCGATATCCCAAATACGTACCGACTTATCATCACTGAAACTTGTTAAATGAAGATTGTCGTTTGTGAAAAATGTTCGATGAACAGGTGCAGAATGTCCTTTGAAAATTCGCAAAACTGTTTTTGTATTGGCATCAAATAAACGTACGCTTCCATCTTCATCACCAGCACATAACAAAAGTCCATCCTTACGAAATGTTGCTCCATATGCTTGTTTTTGAAATGTGGAAATGTTTTTAAGAACCAATTTAGTTAAAGGATTATAAATTTGCACACGAACAGAACATGTTGCAGCGAAGTTGAAGGGTGGAAGTGAACAAAAATCAATGTAATCAATAGCTCCAAACTCTTTAATAATTGATTGATTCTGCAAAGAGTAATGAAGATTTATATTTTTTATCGTTATAATGTAAAATGTTCACTCACATCAAGTTGTTTCCAATAATTACATTCTTCTGATGTTATATTTGCACCTTTTGTGAAAACTTGAATTGGAGTTTTCTTAAAGCTGTTCATTTTTCAGTTTTTATATGATTTTTAAGAGGATTTAAATTTTTTGTAAACAAAACTAAATTTAACTAAAAACGAAACTTGTTTCGTAATCGTCTCGATATACACTCTCCACCTAAACTAACTCGGAGAGACATCTCACATGGCAAAGGGGTGTCTAGAATGAAACCTTTTTAAATTAATATTCGTACCCCCTATGAAATTACACCTAAACCTCGATAGTATGATGTAAACAAAAAATTTTAAAAGCGCGAAACATCAATTTTAATTTTATCAAATATTTCAAAATGTCTAAGAATAATTTAAAATTAAAGTGTGTAAATTGCAAAAGTTCCGAATTCTACACTCAAGATGGATTGTATTTCTGTGAAGAATGCAATGTACAACATGAAAATCTCGTTGAAATGGAATACGCCGAATTCGATGAAAATTTGAAGACAAAACAATCCATTTACATTGGTAAACAACGAGAAAATGAACAAAATAAGTTAAACAATGAACGTCTAACAAGTTTTGAGGAATATAATCTTATTTTAATTGGCCTTGTTGATCAAATTCTTGAGTTTAAAAGAATTCCAAATTTCAAAGTAACATGTCTTCAACTTTGGATGGCATATCTGCAACAATCAGAAACAGCATTTTTTGATAAAGATCATAAGGTCGAACCAAAACTATTCGCATATTACCGACAATCGTAGGTACTTTAATCTAATGACAAGTAATTTATTATAACCTTGTTTTTTATTGTTTAGAGATGCAGAAATTCTTTATAACAGGAAACCAACCAAAAAAGTAAAGAAAAGAAAGCGTAAGAAGGAACCAAAAAATGATTCAAATGACAATGCTGATGTTCACAGTAAAAATAAACAATTGCGAAAAAGTGAAAAGATAATTTCTCAATCCCTTAGCGAATCAATGAAATCGAGTAGTTTAAATAGTTCTATACTTGCAAACATGTCAATTCAATCAATAATATCAGAACATGAGCAAGCAGAAAATTACATAAAATTTTCGAAAATTGCAGCACAGCCAAAACTAAGGAAGAAAAGTGAATATGTGCTAAACTTAAGAAAAAAAGTAAAGGAAGAAGATGATGACACTGATAAAAGAGTTTTGTATAGAGCTTTGAATCGAAATGACAGATTGCAAATACTCAATGGCAACACGATATTGTGTATCATTTATTGTGCACTAAACATTTGTAGATCTGACATAACATTGTCTGATTTGATAAGATTCGTTCGCGAAGGCCATTTATCATATTATAATTTCCATCCGTTTCTACCCGAAAATTTAATTGAACATGGTGTTAAATTAAGTTTCCATCAATTTCAAAGTTGTCATATCATTTATTATGAGCATATTCGCGATCACATCAAGTATTTTACAAGAATCATTCCTGATTTACGTGAATCGATAAGAATGCCTGATATAACAGAACTAAGTCTGCGATATGTCGATGAACTTAATCTTCCAAATGACTTTAAAAAGTATATTGAAAGGCTGATAATGTTTTCACAACCAAAAATGGAATTCGAAACCACTCATATTCCAAATTATGAAAGTCGTGCGATGGCTTTCATAATCTTCCTATTAAAACTTCTTTTTGGCATTGATGGATATCGAGAAAAAGAAATATCAAATGCTGCACTTAAAATAAATAAAAAATTGCAACAAAAAGAGTGTCAGAAAAGTCTTTTCGTGTATGAAAGTTGGAGAGAATTTATTGAATATCGACAAGTGGTTTTAGAAAAATTTTATCATCCAACGTTATTGTCTCGTGGAAGTAGAAATGAAAAACCTTATGAAGACTACAACGCTATGCTTCAATCATTAAATATTCAATCTAAACACACGGAATCAACAGCAATATCTTCAAAAATGGATTTAAATAGAAGAAAACCAAAAATGAATGCACAGGAAATAATCGCAAATCTTATAAAAAATCGAAAAAGTTTCGATCCAAAAGGCAAAATTCAATTTCCAATGTCATTGACTCCTTTTCAAGATAACATAAAACAAATTTTGTCGAATGATATCGAATGTGACTTTGATGTGAACAAGGAAGTTATAACTTTAGACTTTAGCCTAAATTCGTGTGATTTTTATTTGAAACCTGAAGCTTTATTAGAAATTATGAAAGAATATTCAATAAATTTGAATATCAAAAAAGCGACATTTCCAAAGTCTTTTATTTTCTTCAAACATAAAATTCGTAATTTTCCTGCAAGCGATAGAAACACTCGCATTTTAGAGTTTGACAATGGATCAATTGATAAATGGCGAAAAAGCTTCAAGGAAAGGAAAAGAAATGAAGAAGAAGAAAATATAGAGAAAAGCCAAAAATATCATACGAAGAGGTTGAATGAAGTTTTAAGAGACCGAAGTTTCTTGAAGGAAACAACAACAGCAAACAAACTGACAGACGATAAAGTCAAATCTCATATTTTAGACATTTTAGTTGCAAGTTCTTCATCTGAAAGTGAAGATGATTCGCCAGACAATGACGAAATTATTTTCAATAAGGAAAAATCTTTCAATTCATCTGAGATGGATTTGTCTTTTGTGGTTCCAGATTTCAATATGTGGGAGGTAAGTTTGCTTCTTTTTTCTCTTATTGTTCATATAATAAATTTTAATTTTTACAGCATATAATTCCGGTCCAAGAATGTTGCGGAGGCCTCGACAAAGCTTATGGAAAACACATGGAAAAGCTTCCTGAAAGCTTCCTTTGGTTGCTCAATCACTGCGCAAATTATATTCAACATCATCCAATGTCACTTTATACTCAAGTTTTATGTGTCGAAAGTCATTTTATGAAAATCTGTAAGAAAGGCAATCGAATCTCAACATTCCATCGAAGGCGAAACGTGGTCTGGTAACTACCGGAAATAAAATTGATATCTAATAAAAGTTTATTTTTAAACCGAAACTTTTCTCTATCTCGTCCAGACAATCTTCACGTGAATGTTTTTTCCAGACCGTTTTTTATTTTAGTCTCTACACTCAGAAAAAAATAATTTTAGACACTAAACGCATTTCACGCTATAACGGCGTGTTGTCTATGGATGATGCCCATAATATGATGCCCATTATAACTGAGACAAGGTCATCTTATTGATAAAAAATGCACCATAAATCGACACGTCGTTCTAGAGTCAAATGCGATTTTTTAGCTGACGTATTTTTTTCTGAGTGTAGATAGTTTTTCTTGACATTTATTAGCTGCTTGAGCTTATCATTATAGGAAAACGTTTTGGTTGTAACGTTTTTTGATAAGAAAGTTTATAAAAAGGCTCAAATCTCCTAGAAAACCTGCATTACCTGTGAAGACTCATAAGTTTAAATAAGCTTGAGTTTTTTAATTAAATATTGTTAAAATGAATGGAGCAATGGAAGTTAACATTGAAATTTCAAGAAGGCCTCTCGATCAAAAGAAGCTTTATAGTGAAGCAATTTTTAAGAAAAAAGAACGAAAATTCTGTAAGTTTACGATGGCTTTTGTAAAGTTTAATTAATAAATTATTATAAACAGTTTCCTGTGATGAAACGTCAATTTCCGTGAAAAAGTTTTTGGTAAAAACTTTTCCGATTTTCTCTTGGCTGATAACTTATAAAAAAGATAAATTCATCGGTGACTTTATAAGTGGCATCAGTGTTGCAATGTTTCATTTACCTGGAATGGGTCACGCTTTACTTGCAAATTTACCGCCAGTTGTTGGAATCTACATGGCATTCTTTCCTGTTCTTATTTATACAATTTTTGGGTCTTCTCGTCACAATTCAATGGGAACATTTGCAGTACTTGCGATCATGATAGAAAAATGTGTCAATCAACATTCTAGACCAATTGAACGTGATTTATTCGTGAATGGCACAAGTGAAAATGATTTTAATGATAGTTTTGAACATGATTACACTCCACTTGAAGTCGCCACTCTTGTTACATTCATTGTTGGATGTATACAGGTAAATTGATCACATTACTATTTTTTCTAGACTTTTTTCTTCATTATTGCCGATTAACAGCTCATCATGTATTGCCTTCGCCTTGGAATTTTATCATTTTTATTATCTGCAAGTCTCGTGAGCGGACTTACATGTGGTGCTGCATTTCATATCTTAACGGCTCAAGTTAAAGACCTTATTGGAGTTAGAATACCTCCAGTTGGTGCTACTTTCAAAATAATAAAAGTAAGCGCATGTTAAAATGTAAGGAATTTGTAATGTAACCTTGAGATAATTTACATTCCTCAGACTTATATCGAGATTTTTCGCTCAATTGATAACGTCAATTATGTTACTTTTGTTATTTCAATAACAACAATATTGATTATGATGTTCAATAATGAATATCTGAAACCACGAGTTGCGAGAAAAACCAAATTCCCCATTCCAATGGAACTTTTAGTCATTTTATGTGGAACTTTGATTTCAACATTTTTCGAATTAGAAAAAAATTTTGAAGTCATTCCTGTTGGTTTCATCCCCAATGGACTGCCAGCACCAATCATTCCAAAGTTTGGGATATGGAAAGAGTTGCTTGTAGACTCATTTGCAATTGCTGTTGTATCTTATTCAGTTAGTGTTTCAATGGCTATAATGTTTAGCCAAAAAATGAATTATGAGGTTGACTTCAATCAAGAACTTCTCGCCATGGGATCTGCGAATATTATGGGATCTTTCTTTTCATGCTTTCCAATATCAGCAGCTCTTGCTCGATCATTGATTCAACAATCTTTAGGAGGTAAGACGCAGTTAGCTTCATTGGTGTCATGTCTGACGATATTATGCGTATTGCTTTGGATTGGATCGTTTTTTACTGTTCTTCCGAGGGTAACTATGAAAATATTTAATTCATCTAAATTTAATTTATAATTTCTCAACAGAGTATTCTTGCTGCAGTGATTTGTGTCGCACTTAAAGGCCTTTTAATGAAAATTGGTGACTTTTTCCGATTTCAAAAGAAAAGTAAGCTTGATGGTTTCGTCTGGGCAGCAACGTTTTTAACAGTTGTGATTGTGGCTATTGATATTGGTTTGTTAGTTGGAATAGTATTAAATTTATTAACTTTGATCTACACAAGCCTTAAGCCTGATGTATGCATTCTTGGTAAAACTTTCAACGGTGAATATTTCTTAGACGTCGATAAGTTTGAGAACGTTCATGAAATACCTAAAACTAAAATATTTCACTATGGTGGAGCTATAAACTTTGCAACGAAATCATTTTTCAGGACATTGCTGTGTAATAGATTGGAAATTAATTTGAACAGAGAATTGAAGCTATTGGGGAAGAATAATAATTCTGACATGAAAACATTCAATCATTTAATACTCAACTTCAGTGCTTTAACTTATATTGACTCAGTGTCGATAACTGCACTTTCAACTTTAATATCAGATTTTAATAAATTAAATGTTAAGGTTTCAATAGCTACATGCTCATATAAAATTTATAACACTTTTGTATCAAATGATTTCAACTTCATGCACATCTTTTTTCCATCGATCAATGATGCTTTGTTAAGCAGCTAAATTTTGTAATAAATATCAATTAAAAACTAAATTAGGATCCAAAATATTTTTTACCATGGTAAAGATATCTATGTACCTCAATAATTTTGAAAATAAAATTGTGAATTTTTTAAAATTTATATTATATGTACTGCGTGTTATAAGATATTTAGATACCTAACATTAATTTTTTATAAATACATGAATCAAAAAAAAATTAAACTTTAACAAATATTTAACGGCCGCTGAAAATTCAAAAGGATCATTCAGAAACTTTATACCCATTCGGGGTAACAATCACCAATGAGATTGCAGAATTTAAAAAATATTGAAACTTTCGGAAATAAAAACTCAGATTAGTTCATTAAAAATAATTTGCTGACATGGTAAGTTGAAAGAATTAAGTTTTGTCTTGTCTGGAAAGATGAAATTTCGTGTCTACCTTATACTTAATATAAAAAATAAACTAAATTAATGTTTAGGGTCAAAATCAATCATCTGGAAGCGGAGGCGATAAAAAGGATGACAAAGACAAGAAGAAAAAATATGAACCACCAATCCCAACCCGTGTTGGAAAGAAGAAGCGCAAACAAAAGGGTCCTGACGCAGCTTTAAAACTTCCTCAAGTTACTCCCCATACTCGTTGTCGTCTTAAGCTTTTAAAATTGGAGAGAATAAAGGATTATTTATTAATGGAAGAAGAATTCATTCGTAATCAAGAGCGTTTGAAGCCTCAAGAAGAAAAAAATGAAGAAGAACGCTCAAAAGTTGATGATCTCAGAGGAACTCCAATGTCAGTTGGTAACCTGGAAGAGATTATTGACGACAATCACGCAATTGTGTCAACATCAGTTGGGAGTGAACATTACGTCAGCATTCTATCATTTGTTGACAAAGATCAATTAGAGCCTGGATGTTCAGTTCTTCTTAATCACAAAGTTCATGCTGTTGTTGGCGTGTTGGGTGATGACACAGATCCGATGGTGACAGTAATGAAACTTGAAAAAGCTCCTCAAGAGACTTATGCTGATATTGGAGGATTGGACACTCAAATTCAGGAAATTAAAGAGTCTGTTGAACTTCCCTTAACCCATCCAGAATACTACGAAGAAATGGGAATTAAGCCACCTAAAGGAGTTATTTTATATGGTGCACCTGGTACTGGCAAAACACTTCTTGCAAAAGCCGTAGCTAATCAAACTTCTGCAACTTTCTTACGTGTAGTCGGATCAGAGTTGATCCAGAAATATTTGGTAACAATTTTTTAATTATATAGATATTTAATAAATTGTAATAATTTTCATTATTCGTAGGGTGATGGACCGAAATTGGTTCGTGAACTGTTTCGAGTTGCTGAAGAACATGCGCCATCGATTGTCTTCATTGATGAAATTGATGCTGTCGGAACAAAACGTTATGATTCTAATTCTGGTGGCGAGCGTGAAATTCAACGTACTATGTTGGAATTGTTGAATCAATTGGATGGTTTTGATTCTCGTGGTGATGTTAAAGTTATCATGGCTACAAACAGAATTGAAACTCTTGATCCAGCTTTAATTCGTCCTGGTCGTATTGATCGTAAAATTGAATTTCCACTTCCGGATGAGAAGACGAAGCGTCGTATCTTTAATATTCACACTTCAAAAATGACTCTTTCAACTGATGTGAATCTTTCAGAACTTATTATGGCAAAGGATGATCTATCTGGAGCTGATATTAAAGCGATATGCACAGAAGCTGGTTTAATGGCTTTACGCGAACGTCGTATGAAAGTCACGAATGAAGATTTTAAGAAATCAAAGGAAAGTGTTTTGTATCGTAAAAAAGAAGGAACGCCTGAAGGTCTCTATTTGTAAACGACAACATTTCACGAATATAAACTGCGCTTGTTTCTACTTCACAAGTTTTAATAATAATAATAAAAGAAATTCTTACATTATTGCCGTTCTTTCAAAAAACACTTAAATTTATAAATTAATCGATGAAACTTCCTCATCAAACTGTTTCCGGTGTATCTCACGAACTTCCTTTTCTGGTTTTCCACGTAATGTTGGATCTATACAAATTCTACATTTGCCTCGACTCGATTTCTCTTTATTTGATTTTCCTAATAAAAATCCTATTCTGAATCCATCTTCATATCCATTATCGAAAGAGTTTTGAAATATTGAGTCACGTCCATCACTTGTGCCTTCACGAAAGCCCGACTGTGAAAAATTAAAGTGTGACGTCATTTATGAAATTCACCATAAGAAAAAAAACAAGAAATAGAAGAAAAGAAATAAAATTTTACTTTTTCAAAATTTTCTGCGATTTTCTGAAAGTTTTTATCAGTTATATCAAGCACTTCATCTTCCTTTGTATCTGACATTGTCGGATAAAATCAAATTAAATTGTAGCAGACAACTTTAAAGGTAATTTAAAAAAGAAATATTAGAAGAAAGAATGAAATCACTTTTGTTTATGTTTTTCTTTCTAACCTACAAATAACCGAAAATTTTTATTAGAATTTTAGTGGAGAAAAGAAAATTTAAAATGTCGGAGGAAGCTGTTAATGAGTGTACAACACAAATGATTGCATTAGCTAAAACCAAAGCATCAGGAATATCAAATGATGACATAAAATCCAATCTGGTTCATATTAATCCTGAAGTTCGATTGATGGCACTAAACAAACTGATCCAGCAAGAGATTCTTGAGATCCTAAAGAAAGGTGAAACGTTGATTTATCGTCTGAAGGATCCTGCAAAGAAGTCAAGTGCGCCAAGTGATATGGATAATGAGGAACGTATTATTTATAATATAATTGAGGAAGGTGCAAACACTGGCATTTGGATTAGAGACATTCGAGTGAAATCAAATCTTATCATGACACAACTGAATAAAATCTTAAAGAATCTTGAAAATAGAAAGCTCATAAAAGCTGTAAAGTCTGTGAATGCCAGTAAAAAGAAAGTTTATATGCTTTACAATCTCGAACCTGATAGATCAGTTACTGGTGGTGCATGGTATCAAGATTCCGATTTTGAAGCTGAATTTGTGGACGTTCTCAATCAACAATGTCTGAGATTCCTTCAAATGAAACGAGAGAACGCAAAGAAACAAAGTGGAGGACCAATTGCTGTTGAAATGAAAATGCTTTGCACGGTGTCTGAAGTTCACAAATTCATCAGTGAACTAGGAATTAGTAAAATTAAACTTGACGAAGAAGATCTTGAAACGATTCTTAAGACAGTTGTTTATGATGGAAAAGCTCAACGTGTGCTTCAAGTTGATGGCTCCTATTTATATAAAGCAGTTGAATCTTTACTTCCTCCAGTTGGACTGGTGCAATCTCCATGTGGAATTTGTCCTGTGATTAAGAACTGCAGCGATGTTGGAAGCATCACTCCTAAAACATGTGCTTATATGACTGAATGGCTGGAATAAAATTCGACATTTTTCCAGATTATGCGCAATTCTTTCATTCTTTTCTTCCATTCATCTCCCACTTACAAGGATCCGTGTATATGTCACATGGTTCCCTCCAATTATTTTCTTTTCTCTTCTTTTTCTCGCCTTCCGTTTATCGATTATTTAATGCTGCAATTTTTTATATCTTTTCAAGGGAAAATCTTTTCTTTTCCGCCCTATAAGAGTATTTATTTTATCGTCATTTTTTCTTTCCTTCGCTAAATTATCGCATTAGAAATGAATTATTGAAGCACTTCAGACAATAACCAAAATCAATGAGCTTTATTTACAGCCGAAACAGCTAATAAACTTGATCGTTAAGTAACAGTAAAAAATTGATGTAAATGTTCTTAGCCTAAATTTCCTTTAATTAAATATATTCAGTGATCAATCTTTCGCCTCCTCTTGCTTCGGATATTTAAGATAAATTTCCAATTTGAATTACCCAAAAAGCAAATATATCAGTAACGTATCGTGTGACTTTTGGTCATTTGTCATTCTATGAGTGTAATCGCCTTCGGATATTATTTTTTCGTGCTTAATTATGTTCGACGTCTATTCGCTCTCTCATTATTATGAGGAAAAGCTTTGAAATGAACAAATAATCTTTTTTTTCTTCTATCATCCCACGCATAAGTTTCTGAGTATCAATACAATGCGATAAGCGAAACAAGCTATCAAAAGCACATTTCAATTTGTCAAGAAACAATATACTGTTTCATTCAATGAAGGCAACGTTGTTACCAATTCCAACATTCTGCGAAATGAAAATCATTCTCATTATTTTCTTATTTTTTATAAGTTCATGGAAATCATTTGCGAAAGTTAATGACGATATCATTAGAGTCGTTAGCCAGATGTCCTTTTCATATAAATTTGTAGAAGAAATTTCTATTCTTTGCTATTTATAGCATGACATTAAAAGCTTTCTTTGTCCATTCGTGTTTGTGATTCTAAGATTCGTTAGAAACTTTTCGAATCTGTTCTTTTATGGAAAGTCTACACATCCCCATGTTAACTCCTTTGAATGGTTTCAGTCAAGGTTTCAATGTTTTCAAACCTCTAATCGCGAAAATTAAGTTCTCAATTTTCACATTTGTATTATTAAAACAATTCGGTATTCAATTTGAAAGATGCAAATCAGAATATTTGTTACGGAAACACTTCACAAAATGTCTTTGAGAAATAAAATAATTTAAGATTAATTGAATTATAATATTAGACGAGATATCTTATCAATTTCTATTTTATTTTTTGATAAAACTTTTGTTTTTTATTCTTCAAGCATCATTGTTGATGAATCATACAAAAAATGTAAAAAAAGTCAAAATGAACTTTGGAATTAATGGAACGTTGATTTTTCACAAGAAAATATATTAATTCAAATAAATAATCGAATATTCAAGGTCATCAATATCAACGATAAAGAAAGAAAAACTGGCTCAAACTTTGTTCCAGAGTTTGGGTAATCCTTGGGGAAATCTGACGATAAAACTTTGTTTATCCAATCGGCATGGTCACTGACTGAGTGATAATACAATCTGTTGTCATCCTTTGATTCGCAGCCTGATTCACTTATTAGAAATCCATTTACAGTATCATCTGATCCACAAATAACTGGAGAAGCTAAATTCGCTTCACACACTGATGAGTTTGATGATGCTGAGCAAAAGACTTGAGGATTTCCTGATTTACAATATTCCTGTCCATAAATGTTAACAGACTTAGAAGGTGGAATTACTCTCGCACCACCCCAGCCTATTAAATTACAAGATGTATTTGTTTGGAGTCCACCTAAAATTCTTGGTTGTTCTGCTTGATGAAAAACTGTATCAGAAACCTAAAAAAATATTGAATTAATCAAGAAATTAGTAGTTTTTGTGAATAACATACTCGAATAATTCCAACGTTATGTTCATTGTTTCGACCGATTATATACTTGGGATGGATTATGACGTTTTGTGCGCGTGCTTTTCATAGTTAGAAAAATCTTTCATTACAGGTTTATTTAGAATTTAATTAATTAATATCTAATTACCAAGCATAGCTCGAATTGTATCTGGTCACATCGTTAGAATAATAATTTCTAATTTGGAAGCTCTCGTAAGACAACTTGCTGTTGCTAATACAAATCTAGGGGAAATAACAGTTCCAGAACAGAGTGTTGATTGAGTAGCTCTGCATCAACGATAGTAACTACCAAAACATAGTCCATTGGTCCAAAAACCAGTTCTTGTTGACCATTAATGTTAAGAAATAAAACAAGAAAAATCCCGAGAAATGAATTGAATTTCATTTTCATGCGTGTATCAGTCGAACTTACTTTTAAGAATGAGAAAGATTTTATAAAATTTGTTATTCTTAAAGTTTTATCTGATAATCAGATAAGAAATAAATTTCTTATCTTACATGACAATTTCTATTTTTCTATTAATATTTTTCTTGAATCATGCAAAAATCCTACATAACTAATTCGAAGTGAACTTTGGATTTGATAAAGCGTTGACGTTTTTGGATTAAATTCCCAAGAGATAAAATATGTCAATGGCATCAACTATTAAAACATTCGCTTGTTGACCAGTATTATGCAAAACTGAATTCACTTTTTGATACGATTTTTAGGTTGAATTTGTTTATCTCCTTTGAATGGTTTCAGTCAAGGTTTCAATGTTTTCAAACCTGTAATCTAGAAAATTAAGTTCTCAAGTTTCATATTTCTAATATTAAGTAAATTATTCAATTTTATTTATTTGGAACAATACAAGTCAGCATATTTGTTACGGAATACCTTGAAATGCCAAGTTAGGCTGCATTATATGGAAGCTAATTTACTTTCAAGGGCTCTCATTCATAGCTTTCTAAATGAAGAAATTTGCAAGCAACCACGTGAGTTTCACTTCCCCAACTTTACAAGCTTCGACTCCTTAAAATTTCCCCTCATTCGAATTCCAAGAATGTTTCTTCTCAACTTTCCACTCACTGGAAATATCCTTTGACTGAAAATTATTTTACTTTTCCTCAAGTCATTTGCGTTAAATCGTCAAATAAATAAGTCACCGTTTTGATGAGTTCTGTAAGTTTAGCTGAGAAAAGTGCAATAACATTTAATTTGTGAGTTCTTTGGATGTTTGCAGTGATCGGTATCGAGAAAGTATTGCATTGAAACAGTTTTGAAGTGTCTGAATAAAAATAAATAAAGAAATTCTAATCACAGAATGTTTCAAGTGAAGTAGAGCTATTTTCGACCTCAAAAAATTTTGCGGTATGAATGTAAAATAAATATAATGAAGATTTTAGATTTATTTGTTCTTTTTTATGCTCGTTATTATATAATCTTTAAAATAAAAATGTAAAATTCTTCAGCTTCTATTACCTCATAAAACTGAGCGAGAATCCTTTAAAGTTGATTGCTTAAAATACATGAAGTATCCGACTCGTAAAAGTGACTTGTTTTCCAGGAAAATCTCACCCCAAACAAAAAATTAAAAAGAAAAAAGATTTTCTCCCAAAAGAGAAAAGAAAAATCTGCAGTGAATGGAGTTAACGTAAAGGGAGTGATGAAAGAAGAAAAATATCCGCTGCATGTGCGTTACGAATATTCTCGATCCATTCTTTTTTCCTCTTTTTATTATGAAGCTTTAGCTGCCTACTTACCTAATCTCACTTTTTTTTTGCCGTTTTTCAGTCGCGCAACAAAAAGAATTTTTCTTGGTTCTTTTTGTTTCATTGTTAACATAACGCGCGTGTAAATATGTACTCATATCGTTCATCTTTTTAAAGTTAGGGTAATTTTTTACATATTCTCACCATCATCATGTGAGTTAAATAAAAAGAATGAAATTAGTAAAATGTGTGGGGTTTGTTTCTGTAAACTTCCATAATTTGTTGTTCTGAATTTTTGTTGCTATCTAGTGTCATGAATGCTGATGAGAATATCAATATTGAATCGTCATGTTGTCTTTTTCCTAAAATTGTTTGTGAAACGTGAATATAGCTATTTTACTGAGTATTTTCTACAGCTTGATATTAAAATAACAACTGTTTTGCATGATGTATTCAGAGATCTACCTACCGAGTAGAAAATTTGAAGAAATGGGGAAAAAAATATTGTTAAGGTCATACAGGAAATCGATGATGGAGAGGAAAAATTCGCTTTTGTTTTGCTGAAGGCTTTTTACGAGGAAGAAGAAAAAGAAAATTGGAAACTTGACACTTTCGGTTTATCAATATTCAAAACAACCGCCACGTCCTTTACGGATATTTAAAACTTCCGCTCGTCTTTAAATAGAATTAAAAAAGAAACATTTACAAGAAATATTCTTGCTCGTTAACGCCCAAAAGTTTTCCATGTTTTATCGGGCTTTCATTTAATGATGTGAAAATTTTTTTTCTGAGATTTGCTTGAAGAATTCAAAGATTAATTCAAAATCTTCTTATCGTAAACATAGTTTTGTAATATCTTAAAACTGTTTCAATAAATCAATAAACTATTTAATCTATTTCAATGATCTATTAAAATTTGATATCTCATTCAAAATAATCAGTGAAAGCTTTGAAAACTTAACAAGATTAAGATAAATAAAACTTTTCATACTTCATTAGCTTCAGAGACCATATTTGAATGAACTGAACGAAAACTTGTAGAAATCTTTCATTTTATGATCAAACATGAAGATCTGTCGGACTTTTATGTTATCTTAATGACTTATTAAATACAATTTACGTCCGCAAAGTATTTAGTGTCACAACTTTGATTGATATTAATCATTAATGAGCATCTTTTCTTTCATAATAAAGTTCATAAAAAATTAATGATTAAATCGAAACGTAGACAAGCGACAAGCTTTGGCTCTTGACATTTCCTTCCTCTCAAGAAGACATGACTTATTCCCTGTTGGATATTCTTACAGAGATGTTTAAAAGGTATTCAGAATTGGAGTGACAACTTGAAGTATGTAGGCGAATGATGTAATAAGTGCTCATGTCACATGTCTGTGAATATATCAAGTTAAATTTGTAAGAAAAACTTCAACTTTTCACAATCTTTTGAACAATTTGTGGTTTTTGACAATATAAAGCACCCACAAATACATCATTTGCTTACATGTATTCAACTTAACAGAGCCAAAAAAATCTCATGAAACATTAAGTACCATAAATTCATTCATGTATTTATTTCCCTTCTTAAGATTCTTCCCCGACATTCGTTATGTACGTTCCTTGTTGAAATCCATCGAGAACTTCATTCAAATATAGAATGAATAATGGTTGAGAAATGGATTTTCCATTTATCAATTCAAGAAGTTGAATAATGAAAATTAATTCATTTCTTTAGCCTCTTCTCACCTAAATATAATCGATTTCTTCTACCTTTACCCATTTACCTACCTAATTTAATTACATCACTTTGTTACGCAGTTCAGTCTTCCTAAAGGAAAGAAAACAGAGATCACGTTTAAAGGTGATTAAAACACTCTTTACCGAACAGTTAAAGTATATCATGAAGGTCTAATGAGTAAAAGTAATTCAATTTGAACTAATCTTTGCGTGAGCTTATTTCAGATTTATGCTCATTTTCTCGCTCTCGTATTTGTCAGACGTCACATGTAAAACCGAAGAAAAAAGAAAACTCAAGGAAATTAAATCTATTTTTCTCTGCGTCTGAGGTTAAGCTCAAGTCACATGAGAGTCTGAGAATCTCTTTTGCGAAAGAGTTTTTTCATCTTATGATCTAAATAATTCAATTCAATATATTGCATATAAGAAAAGAAAATCAAGCGTTTGAGGGTGAAAAAAAAAGTTGAAAGTAATCTTCTTTATATTCATATCTTTCTTTTGTCGTGCAGGTGCGCTTATTTAATATATTAAAAGAATAAATCACATGAGAGTGATATTAAAGATTATCGAATTGTTCTCATGCGAGTGATACCAGAAACCTGTCCAAAGTCGATGTTTAAAATATCAATCGCCAATAAAATTTTATTAGTTTCGCTGTCTTTGAAAAAAATATAAAAAGTGCCCAGAGGAAAGAATCGAAAGAAAATAAAAGAAAAACTGACACAAAATAATCCGAGAGTGAAAAAAAAAATACACATTCGGAGCAGTTCGAAAATGATGAATACAAAAACTCTCGAAACAGAATCTAACGAGTCGATTACAATAACGAGCACAATCAATAAACAAATTAATAAGTTTACGACCCCTCCGTGGAAGGATATGCCGGATTTGTTGACATGGAAGGATATGCCAGAACATTTGCAATTCAATCCTTATGTACATACAGGTAAGAAGGATAAATGAAAAATGTTGTAAATTACCACAAAATTTAATTACAAATATCCTTTCCCTTAACAGGATATCGGCCGCTTCAAAATGTCAAGGGATGTTTGAATAGTCTCTTCTACATGCACAACGAGACAATTAACATTTTAACCCATGGTAAGTTGATGTTAAATAACAAAAACAAAAATCCTTGCTATCCTTGACATTTCAGTAGTAAATCATGATTTAATGTATGCCTCAATAATGACATTTATGTGACGAGCATAATATTTTGTGCAAACATAAACTACTATGAATGACACAAAGAGACACAAAAAACGTTTACAATCTCTTTTGTGTTATTTAAATCACGTACTTCTCTGAGTAATGAATGAAAAAATGATGTAAAAGAAATCTTTTGATTTCGTAGATTTTCTTTGAGCTTTATATAAATCAGAATAAATAAATGAATTATTTAATGGATGTTGACATAATAATGTTTAATGGAAGTAAGTTCAAAGAATTTTCTGCAGTTATGGAAAATGTAATGTGAACATTCTTGTTAACTGATGAAGAAAATTATCAACATATTACTTGAGATATTCGAAGAATCCAATTAAATTTAATTTTGTAAATATTTTTATGGAAAAGAGCAAAAGGTGTAAAATTTTACAAAATATTTTTACTGCTAAAAACTTATCAAGTTCTAAATATGACGTAATGTTCTTAAATTATTAAAATTTTGTATTTAAACTCTTACAACACAAATTATTCCAAAGCAATTATTAATGACATAAATATTAAAATATTCTAACTGAAAATGGAAGCAAAACTTTTTAATGGGTAATAATTTAAACATTTATTAGGGATTGTTTCCATCGTTTTGAAATGAATCTGCATTAATCAGCAGTGTTTACAACTTTTTTATTTCCTGTAAAACAGAGCGGAAAAGTTTATGGTGATCCGCAATCTAATAAGTATAAGGTTGATGATCTACATCCATACGTAAACTTTTATAATGTTTTGACGATTTAAATTAAAAATGCAGTTGCAGTAAAACTTAATTCTCTGTTGCAAGAAGCTAATTAAAAATTAAACAACATTTTTATTTTAGTTCCAATATTGAACTTCCTTTTCCATTCATCAAAATGTTTTTTTTTCTCTTTTATTTACCAAGTGAAAAAGGAAAATGAAAAATGGAAGAGTTTTGACATTTTATCTTTCATAACCTTCGAAGTTGGAAAATAGAATAGAAAACCTTCAATGTAATATGTATTGAAAACCATTTCTATACAGCTGAAAACATATTTGAGTTATCTTTGTTCATTTATTATGCTTTCATGTTTAATGAAACTTTCATGTTGCGAGTACTATTGAGAAAGGTTGAAGTCTTATTTGAAGTGATTGAAAAGAAAACGCTGGTTTCTTCTTTTCAATTTAAATATTGTTTCCTGGTTTTCTTTTTATAGAAATATAAAGCATCTAATCACCGAACAATAGGAAAAAGCACAAACTGAAGTATGTTTGTATCAAAGCGAATTCAATTTACTTAGCTATACTTGTGAATTCGACAATAATAACGTTGGTGGGAAACACGATATTAAGAGAGAAAACAGCTTTATTTACCAAGAGTTTAGGCATGAAAGTAAACTTGTGTAAATTTTATTTTATTTCTGTTTTCATCGAGAAAACTTCAAGACGATTGTGTTACTTCAACAATTTTATGTTTGAGGGTTCTTTAACATTGAAGTAATCATTTCAGAGGAAGATTTTCCTTCAATAATAAATGATTTTCAAACATCTCATATTGTTTTCAAGGAAATCAAGACAGTGTAACTGACATTTGAAAACGAATGTATCGATAAAATATTTTCATCGATTTTTATCGTAGTTCAATCATTGAACACAGCAAGATAAACGAATTGAACGTTGGTTGAGACATGTATAAGATTTTTTTATTACAAAATGCTAAAAACTGTTGATGTTTGCTCATATTTTATTTATTGAATTTTGTTTTTGGTTTACAAATTTAGCAATCTGATGCTCCATCAAGAATTTCATACAATTGAAATCTGAAATCAAAACAAAAAGGATCTCAAAATATGTAATTAAGTTTGAAAGGTACATTTCATAGTCATTACAAAAATCAGGCATCTTATATCACGAGAAATTATGTCTAATAGTCTCTGAAATTTGGGCTATCAAACGAACATAAACTAAATAGTAAAGTTTGTTGTTTTCCTTTTGTTTTTTTTTCTTTTTTGCTTGATTAATGGCCTGAAGCAAATTTCTTTCTCTGAGATATGTCAAGAAAATATTTCTCCTACATTAATTCACATTCGAATGAAGAGTTTTCCTTCTATAGAATGAATGAAAAAAGAAATTTCATTCATATTTTTTTTCTTCTTAATTTACTGAAAAAAGTTTATATTGTTGAGCTTCAGGGAACATTGAATATATTTATTAAAGATACAGACGATTAAAAGTCTAAAGGATAAAAGATCTTTATAAATAAATATTTAATACAAAATAAGCTTTTGAATCATTCAATATAAAATAAATATTCGAAAAATCCTCAACAATCTTGGGATTGTTGAAAGTTGTTGCGTCATCGAATTTAAAGAGCATTTTCTCTAGATTTTCCTTATACAATTTTAATGGAATTTTCTTTTCGTTTTTTTAACATTCCATTGTTCGCAAAACAATGCTAATGAAATTTCTGAAACACAAAGCAATTTTTAATTAAAAGCAATTTACGTCACCATTAGAGTAAAAAAAGATTTCTCTACTTTAATAATTTGTAAGTCTAATTGAATTTCCAATTTTACGGCAATGAAAAATACCACAGACGGCAGTCTCCCAACTCAATTACAACTTATGAGCAAAACAGAATAAAAAAATCCTAAACGTTTCCGTACTCATCTGGGTGCAATAAAAAAAGCTGCGAGGATTACGAATCAATTAAATTTTTGCCCATCACAACAAATGGATTTTTTATGTCTTAACATTTTGCACAGAAAAAGCCTTGGAGCGTTCCCTGCTCTTAACAACTTTTTAAAATAAAAAATAGAAGACAAATCGTCTGTTTGGCAACTTCAAACAGAGCGTTGGGTTGTAGGTCTCTATGAATATTTTCAAGGGCGTCTTAGATGTTAAGTTTTTATGCTGATTTTTCTTTTCATTCTAGAAATTCTTAAAAGGAAACAGCATGAGTAAGCATTCTAGTCGAATCAGCAAATCCCTCAAGGGCTAGCCGATGTTTTTCCTTCCCTCTGTTTTTCATTCTTTTAAATAAAAGACAGGATATCATTCTTTGACTATGACCATGATTTAAATTCTGAAAGATTTCTAACTTAGAAAACATCTGAACATCGAATTAAAATATTAATGCTTTATAATCCATGGATTTATGCTTGGAATTTCATGATCCCTGAAACATAAAACTTAATATTTACTTTTATAATACATAATGCGTAACAATATTTCCTATAAGATTGATCGAATATCTTTTGTGAGGCATGAAAAAATTGTATAAAAAATAAGATGAAAAACCTTTTTCGATTATCTTCTTATATACCTAACAGGAAAAAGTACGGAAGGTTTCCTTTTCCTTTTCCTTTAATTTCATTTTCACTTGAACAAACGAACAACGTAACAGATTCGATATTAACAATAACAGATGAGTGAGAAAAAAAAACAAGAATACCAGAAGTTTATGTAAATTTTCATACTTAATTGCATTCTAGAAGTTGCCAAAATTAATGGCGCTGATACCATATAACTCAAGTGGTAGAAGGAATTACGAATATAAAACCGTAGATTTCACCCAAACACAAATATTGTTTTTATCTGAACTGCACAGCATGTTCGAAACTATTCAAAAGTCAAAAGCTTCGAGGTTTGCAGCTTGTAAAAGTTTTTCTTATCAATAAGAATAGGAAACAAAAGCGTAAAAAGGAAGTCATAAGTTATAACTTATAACTTAATGCTGTGGAGATTTTGTGTTGGGATTATAAAGTAGGACGTACAATCATAAGATTTCTCTCCTTTAATGTCATTCTAGGAATTCCAATCGTCTACATTCTCGCAACAGTGCCAACAGTGCTTTTTTGGGATAACAGTTTTCGCTTCCTTTCTTGGTGTCACCTGGTAAGCCTTAAAAAATTCAAATCAATTTTCTTTTCTGCTTCAATGAATACTTTTTTCAAATAAAGGTTGGAGCAGTATCACCTTGGTGTGGCAGTTTTGTTTATCATTTGTTTATGAATTTGGAACGTGGAGAGACTGTTTATTACAGACTTTTGCAGTTAGATATGTTTGGAATATGGATGAGCCAAAGCTTCGGTAAGATTTTAATTAACTTAATCGAAAATCGATCTTCGCAATAATTTAAGCAGTTTTTGTGACGTGTGAGTAAATGAGCTTTTGAAGAGTAGAAAAATGAGATCCATTTATAAACAGCATAGTTAAAGAAGTGGAAAGATTAATGTCATTCGTCTCTTGACGTATGACATCAGAACTTAAATACGAAAACAAATTGAAGTCCATGAAATCACTTCTTTTTTAACAACAGACAGACAGTAAACATCCCTTCACTTCTTAACGTTAATATAAAACGTTTATTTGCTGTCAGAAAATGAAATTCATGGCTTTTCTCCTTTTAACAGAAAATAATATTTTCAGTCAAATCAAGATGAAACTGGAAGTTCCAACAATTGTGGTTCTAATTTAAAAAAAGAAAAAGTTTTAAAAGCTTTCACAAACTCATGAATGAAATGTGAACCTTTTTCAAGAGTAAATTACTGAACAAAATTGAGCAAAGTTGATTTTTTGACTTTAATTAATGAGTTTTCATACCTTGTGACATTGAAAATTGAGCGCTTTTTATCTCCCTTTTCTGTTTCCTGTTTGTTTCTTCTCTTCCAGGTGCTCTACCTTTCGTGACTGCGAGTGTTTTCTGCCTAAGCGGCTTTTTGAAATGGTTAACAATTATATCCTATTGTATTTTATGTCTTTGGGGCCTACATAAAGCACTTACGGCATCGTCTCCATGGCAACGAAGACTTTGTTTTGCTTTGCCTTTTTTGATGCGAGTCTTGTTGACAATATTGCGAATATCGAGATTTGGCGGAGGAAATCCAACTGCGATGGTTCATGTTTTTCTACAGGTGAGTCGAAAAACTATTTTTAAGGCGTGTTTAATGTCACTCACGAACGCTCCCATAGGAGGTAAATCAATTGCATGAAGAAACATCATACGTAGATATGTTAACCGCGCTCATAAATTTATGTCAACAGAAAATAAATTTATTATCGCCAATTCCTTCGTAATTCTATGTCCTTGACAGAACTTTATCGTAAGCGATTTATTGTATATAAAATTTTATTTATTTAGAAAGTTTCACAATCACATTTGCTATTGAAGAGGATTTCCTTTTTAAAATACTTGAAGATTCTGCTCTCAATAATAAAACGAAGGTGTGAGGGAAATAATCGTATCAATACCATTAAAGTTTTATTTCATGTTTTCATTTTTTCTCTCCCTTCATTTCTTTATGAATACTTAATGAACAGCAACATCGGAATCATTGATTTTCCTTTTCACGCTTTCGCTTTGTATGCTTACAAAATATTGCGTGATTTGAAAGAAAAAGTCGCTTTGAATCGATACCAAATATAAAGTTGTTTGCTTTTGCTATATAAAACCAAAGATAAGTGAAAGGTTATAAAAATTTAATACATTTGAAAGCTGCCTACGATAGCAGATGGTAATTTTCAATTATCATAGCAATTATGGGACGTCAAAGTCGAAGTTTTAATTAAATTATTTAGCAAAGTTTGCTTTAAGCTCGATGATCTGTTTACGGCTTTTTGCTCGGTTACCAACGCTTTAAAAGCATTCAATATGAATATTCATCAGATTAGGGATGGAAATAAATTCACAAGCAAACCAAATATTTACTAAAAAAAAAGATTTTCATCAATTTTTTTCCATTGCTAATTTTTGATTTTATCAAAAAATTATTTCCTTCTTTTAATGACTTACATAACTATGAACATCATATTTCCTCATAAATACATTTCCACGTTTATAAAACCCCATCATGATGCATTTTGTAAACATTCTCATATTATCATAAATTGTACATAAATTTTTCCAGCTCGATTGTAAATTTTGCAAATTTACGAGCAAGTGAAGTGTGAGGAAGTGTTGATCGACATCGATTATTTTACGACCAAATATTTCCACTTTTCACGCTGAAACTAAGTGAGAATAAACTACTTAAAAAATCTTAAAATTAAGATTGAATTCCACCGCTTTGGAGATCGAGTTTCGTTTTTATAAGATTTTAAGAAGAAAATTATGTTTGAATGTAATTACATAAATTTCCTTGTTGTTCAATGGATCATGAATAAGTAAAATTTTCTCTAAGCTGAATTTATTTTTTCTTTGTCATGAGAGACATTATTTAAAGATTGTTGACGCGACGTAGCGGTTGTGAACATAAACGAAAGAAAAACATTCTCAACAGTAACTTACAGTGATGATGACATGTATTTAGGAATAATGATGATAACTTCATCGTTCCTTCTCTTCTTCCAATGGAAATCACACAATTGCTTACGACATGTATAATTTGATGAAATTCTTTTTCTTTTTGTTTTGACAAAAGTTGAACTTATTTGATTTACAATAATTGTAATATTCGACTCCTTCTTTTGTTTCTTTTCTAGGATGGAGTTTCGGTTTTTGGTGGAGCCATTGGTGCAATGCATATACCTGAAAAATGGTTTCCTGGACTTTTGGATGTGATTGGGAATTCACATAACATTATGCATATTCTCGTCGTCGTGGCCGTTTATTCAATGCATCAGGTGAGTGATACCTTCATAAATAAAACGGGCGAATCTCCCCTATCGGCAATGATTTAAATCGATTTCAAGTCAACCAATTAACTTTAATTGACTCGTTTTTCAACCGTTACAAGTGAATAATAAATATCGCTACTGACGTTGAAACAAGGTCGTGCAAAAAAGCCTTTTTAACCTCCACCGGGTGTCTGTGTTTATTGATCCACTCCATTCTGTTGTGCAATTTGATTCGCTGTTTCAGTTTTCTTTGTTTTACTTTATTTTTTTCAAGGCTAAAAGGAAGAACAAATGAAAAATTTGAAGTGATAAAACCAAAATCATTTTTCCCGCTGAGTAAATTCCAAACACCAAACCTAATTGTTTAACCCTCGTAACTAAATGTTATTGAAGGAAGACCACAAATTATTCTAATAACATGTTTTATCATAAATTTTTTATGACTTTTCTAAAACTTTCTCACATTTCTGTAGTTCGCTTTCATAAACTTCTTCATATTTCATGTAATTGTGTTTATTCTCATTCAATTTCCTTTTCAACGAGTGGACATCATGCAAACTTTCAAGTCTCTTTTCCTGTTTAAAAGTAGAACGAAAGGAAATTTCATTTAAAATTTTCAATCAAACTTTAATCATTGACGCTAGGTAGATAAAGAAAGTTGAAGATGTTGGTAAAATTTTCATCGTAACGACGAAACCCATCAAGTTTTCTTGATGTCGAAACTTTCTGAATTGAAATTATTTGAAAGAGAAAAACTTCTTCTTCCGATGTTTTTATTATTCAAATCGTTCTGCCGCTAGAAAGTTATCGAGGAGGTATTTCTAAGGATATCTTTTGCATATTCCACTCGGATGTGGGAGAGGCGTAAACGTTTTCCACTTGAATGGATGAATTGTAAGTGTGTAGCATTATTTAAATATCTATAAGAAATCTAAAAGCGTTCACATTTCTGTTGTTTTCCCAAAATAAATCTCACGATAACAAATTTCTTACAACTAAATTTTGTTGTGGTTTACGAGGAATTCTCCGACAAAGAATCGGCATGCCGTAAGTAACTTCAAATCTCTCGACAACATTTTCATTTTCATGTGTTTTTCTTTTCTCAACTTTAAGTAACTTTATCAACTACTTAAATCACGATCAAAGTGAGTTCGTACTTTTGTTGGGCTATTTCAAGAAGAGAGTTGAAAGCTTTGAGAATGAAATTACTTTGTAAAAGTTATCACTTTCATCATATTCGCGATAGCATTTTATTACAGTCTGATCTAGTAATGCCGGATGCGGTTTATTTTCCCTTCATGATATGAGATTAAGCACTGAATATTTGATAACTTCCGTCGTCAACTTCTTCCTTCCTAAACAAACAATCTCCAAAAGTTTGAGAGTAATTCGAAGCGAAAAGGGTTTTCCTTTTGTAATTGTAATTTCAGAGGCAATGTTCTTCCGTTTCCCCTGTGGACTTAACTAATATCTTGTTGTTGATTTGTGAACATTTAACGTGATATGAATTAATAATATTATAATAAAGAGAATATTTTGCTGTTGGCTGAAAATTAATTTTCCATCTTTCTTCTTCTTTTTTTTTGTAGGCTACAGTACGAGATTTGGAATGGATGTGGACAATGTCAAACTCAAAGTGTGGCACATCAACAAATCACACCTTTGATATTCCCTTGATCAATAACTTTACGACAGACTCCCACTCTGAACTATGATTCCAAGGCGTTTCTAACGTTGAACCATTAATGATGTTTTCAAGCTTAGTTTATGAAACAATTTCATAGCTTCGATCATGAATGATAAAGAGAAAAACGCTTGTAATCAGTTTTTACTTAAACTGGGCGTTTAATTGATCAATTTAAGAAATTAGTAGAAGAAAAAATGTCGCACATTCTTAAAAAAAGACTCCATTAATAATGTTCATCATTGATCGGCTAAATTTGATGACACATCAAACCATTTCAACCTTGGAAAAGAAAAATTAGATTCGAGGGATGGAAGTTAGAGAAACTTTGACTCGAGTAAAATTAATCGAATCGAATTTTAAGTCTTTATCATCGACAAATAAAAAGAAAATTTTGTTCATCATATATTTACATAATTATTATAAATAACTTTAAGCTTGTCAATTATCGAAAGCTTTCCTCAACTTTAAATTTTTAAATAATTTTTAAAGAAACTATTTTTTGAGTTATTTGATGTAGTATTCAATCTTATAAACTGTACCTTTTAAAAGAGAAAAGAAAATTGTTAATGAGTTCTCATGTGATAAGAAATCATAACGATTCATTTTAAGAGAAAGTTCATAAGTGCTTTAGTTACGCAAACTAAAATAATAATTTCACCTGTAATGGCCTAAAAACGGTCAATGCTGCTGAAAAGTTTTCGAATTATGCATCTGAATCAATGCTTAGTTAAGTTGATGAGTTTCGTGATGTCCTAAACGTGATCTCATCAAATATCAGCATTTCGATTTAATGCTTCTCTCATTGTTAATGCTGTCTTGTCATTCAACTATTTGCTTTTCTTCTTTTCTTTCACGACAAGACAAATTAAATACTTAAAATTCTTAAACAAATCAAGCAATAAATTAAAGTTTCAAAATTACTAAACAAAAAAAAAGAAGAATTAAAGTGATAAATTAGAAATGGAAACAAAATGTGAGACAAAATTTAAGTCTTGCGGTACAATCACAATTGTGTGTAAAATAATTCGACATCTAAGTTCAATTAACTTTTATTTAAAACGAATTTGAATGGAAAAATGATTAAAAAAATTAAAATTTAACGTAAAAGTTAAATTTGTGATATTACAAAGTAATAAAGGTGAAGAAAATATTAATTTATTTGCTGAGTGTTTGTAGGCTAGAAAAATTAGAAAGTAAATTATTTATCGAGATTGGAAGGCTCACGAATGGTTTCGACGATGTCGGGAAGTTTTGTGAAACCTTTCGTGACCTGAGCGCTCTTAAAAACACAGCGAGAATGATCTCAACAGAAACCCCGATATAAAAGGCAACATTATGTAGAAATTTTTGAGTGAAAGCTCATAACAGTATTAACTAAAAGAAAGATAAAAAGTTCAGCTTCTTAGGCTGCAAATTAATTAAAAAATTTAATTGAACAAGAAACTTTGAAAATATCTTGAAACATAAAGCATAAAAATTGGGTTTTTCATTACTATATGAAACATAAAAAAGGTTCCAAGTTTCAATATCATAAGTGAAAAAGATTTTTTCTCAATCTTTAATTAAAATTTTTCCTGATACAAAAATTAATAAAAATGATTAAAAAACCACTAAAAGTTTTTTTTATAAATTAGAAATTGTTGGAAAAGTTTACAGAATTGCGGACTTGTGAAAGTTTAGCTTTCAATCAATCGAGAAATGTAAACAGAAAACTCAACGCATACATCGAAAGAAAATAAAATCGGAAAATGACATCATCGTCGCACCATACGATATTTCATAATAAAGCGAAATGAAAGAGAATAAAATGCGAGTTGAGTGAGTGGATATTTCAGTCGTCTCCTCGGTTTCACTGATGGAGCTTCTCGCTGAGACAAAATGTAGCAAATTAAATCATCTTTAATTATCATTCTGCTACGCAGTGATATCAGCAAGACACAGAAAAGTCAAAAAAGTGTTTCAAAACATTCATCTTCAGTATGTCGCGTATACATTACGTAATAATTCAACTTCAGAACTCGGAGAAAACTTTTGCCAAATTGAAACAAAAGACGCTGACATTTAAGAGCAGAAATTAATCAACTCACAGTGACGTGTTCGGTATTCCATGGATTCACATAGTTCTCCATTTCAAAAGGGAAATCAGACACTTTTACAGTCTGACTCATCGCCAAGTGAAAAATTTTTGTGTCCAGAAAAAAATTTCTAGTCGAAAGAGAGAGAAAAAAAATCTTCTGCCAATTCATTCGGTTTTATTAAAACATCAAGCGGCACAACGCTGAACATTTAATGAATTCATCCCAATGTCTGCCTGACGGCCATTTGACGGCTAAATAAATCTGCAGATGGAAAGCAAACAAAATGAATGAATTGAAGTTATTTGAGAATAAAAGTAAATTTATTTTGTTCTTCAAACAAAGCAAATTGTAAAGACAACCTTGAAACCAACTGGAAAGGGCATCGAAACACACACAAAAAAAGAGGAAAAAATGAATTTCTGCTAACTGATGACGTGCGCTTATAAATATGAGTGAAAGATTAAATGTCTCTCCAAAACATGATTTGCATGCTGAGGAAAATGAAAGACGTGATAAATAAAAAGTCACGCAAGGTTCCTAGCAATCCTTTGAGAAATTTGCTAACGAGATGAAACTTTTCATAAAAATGAAAGCAAAATGAATGCTTCAAAAAGGTTTCATTTCATCAAAGACGCGGGGGGTAAATCAGAGAGCAACCCAACAGTTAGCTGTGGTAATTGGAATGATCAGCTTAAAGAAAATGGAAAATAAAAAGCGATCAAGAAATATCCAAACTGCAATGTGAGTTACAGTTCAAAATGGAATAAAAGTAGTAAAATCGACGTTTACATATTTACTTTAAAAATGAAAGGAAAAACGGATTTTACTAGGAAGTCAAAAAGAACTTCCAACTGTTACAAGCCTAACTGTGTTCTCTGAGAGATTCGAAATGGTTTTAGGGGAATCTGAATCATTCATTCAGAACCCTTAAGCTTTTTTGACCTAATTCAGAGGGAAATGATATTAAAGCATGAAGCAGGAAAAAATATAAAAAGAAAACTTCAGCAACATCGGCCCAAAAAAGGTCTTTTTTAAGATAAAAAATTAAAAATCGTTTTGAGTCAACCCCCGCGCTATACTTCAAGTGTACACTTGAATATTACCTGTTGATAATAAACCCTTCGTTGAAAGGATTCTCAGGCAATAAGATAGTGTTTTTGAGGTATGATTGAACTCTTTTCAGTTCAAAATGATTTGGTTCAACTTCGAAGTATTTCGATGCGAACTGTGCTTATGACTAACGATGTTGGTCAAACATTTTTGAATGATTTTTAATCATTCATAACTTTAGCCTTATGGCAACCCAAAAAGTCGTTGCATTTCAAGCCTTACGATACCAGCCTCCTTCTACTCGTAGCTTTTCAAAGCAAGAACAAGTGGAATGCAATAACTATAAAAAAATTTAATAATTATGGTATCAAACAACATCAACCTACAAGGCCTGTGACCGTCATTAACATCATATGACTCAAGAGTAGAAAATTCTATCAACAGGAGAAGATTTAAAAGGTCACCACATATGGTTAGAAGACAACTTGAACCCCAACATTTAATGGAATCGTCAAGCATCGGTTAAGGATTGAGAAATGTAACAAAGATAATTTTTTGAATAAATGTTGATATTGGCTTCTGCCTGAAACAATAAATTTATCATGTGTCTCACTATTTAATGTTACAGTTTCATTTCAGAGAACATCAACTAAATTATTTCTTCAAAGACAATTAAAACTTTTTAAACATTTCCCGAGTCATCTCAGATTTTTAATATTTTTTAAGCTGCAGTCTGCCAAAAGTCTCAAATGTTTTGTTTGTTTAAAAATATTCTTTTTTATTTCATTTTTTTATTACAAGTTGCAGCTTGCAACTGAATGAATCATTCGTAAACTTGAAATTGAAATGTTAAAATAATTTATGTTCATTCAACTTTAAGTACAGAGAACTTGATTAGTATTCATAATTAGATTTTTTAATTTTCTCATTGATGAGAAGATTGTTGGTGGCAAGTTTGTTGCGCAAAGATTTTCCGAAAGATTTAATGTTGAGATGTTTTTCACGAAGCTGAATGTGTCGGGATCAACTTTAATGATTTTATTATTTTGTAGATTCAATTCTAGAAGCGAGGTTTGCTTTTGAAAAACTAACGCTTCAAGTTCACTAAGCTCGTTGTTTCTTAAATTCAAGACTTTGAGATTCGTCAAGGCTTTGAATGATTCACTGTCGATGTTTCGTAACCGATTACCTGACATGTCCAAGTTCGTTAATTTAGACATGTTCTGAAATAAATCTGGTGAAAAGTTCGTAAGTTTATTGTCCTCCATTTGAAGTATTCGAAGATTTTTTAAATTCATCATAGCATGTGGGTGGATAACGAATATCTGATTTCGACTTAAACTCAACTCTTCTAGACACGATTGATGGTAAAACATTTTCTGTCCGACAACGCAGATGTTGTTGTCATTCAAAAATAAAAACTTCAACTTTTGTAATGGACGGAAAGTTTCCCAATGGAGATTCTTAATTTGATTCTTACTCAAAGTTAATTTTTCTAAATTTCCGGGACCTATGAAAGCGTCTTTATCAATGTCAGTCAATTGATTGTTTTCTATTGTGATCTCTTTTAATGTCAATGACTTTCTAAACATTTTAGGCGGAAGTGAAGTCAGTTGATTGTTGTTCAAATTCACATATTGTAAGTTTTCAAATATCGAAAGAACATCAGATGACAATTCGGTCAATCCCGCACCTTCTAGATTGATTACGGCTAAGTTTTGGAATCTTTGAATGATATCACTTGGAATGGTTTTAAATTGATGATCTTGGTTCACATGTAAGTATTTAATGTTCGCGTCCTGAATGTTTTTATTGTTGATAATGACAACTTCAGTCCCGATTGATATTTTGCACGAGTCACCAAACTTAGCGTGCGAATAATACCTAAATGGAATGCAATTTAAATAAATAAATTTGGAAACACAAATGTGAACAGGAAGCTCATAACTCACCAGTAAGTTACACGAAAGCCTTTGAGTTCTTTTATATTTCTGAAGGTTTTATTAACGCAAATGTTGTTTGAAACGTCAAGTTGCTTCAGGTTTATGAGAACATCCTTGAAGTCATCATCGACAAATTGGATCATATTGTTAGAAACATGAAGGTATTTAAGTTGTAATAAGTTTCTAAAAGTTAACGTGTCGAGTTTAACTAAGTCGTTGTTTTCTAAGTTTAAAGCTTCAAGTTTCATGAGTGGTTTGAAAACTTCTCGAGAAAGTTCTGTTATGTGATTATCGCTCAACACGAGATCTTTGAGTTCCGTTAAAGAATCAAAGGCATCGTCGGGTAATTCAGAAATTAAATTGTTGTTCAGCTCAAGTTTTTTCAGTTCAACCATCGCTTGGAATTGAAATGGTTGAATTTTCTCGATGTTGTTCTCTGCAAGTCCAAGATAAATCAAAGCTTCAGAGTTCTTGAACACATCTTCATGGATCTCTGTCAAGCCATTTGAGTTCATATTTAAATATGCTAAGTTCCTCAAGTTGTTGAAAGCTTCAGGATGAATTTTTTCTATTCTGTTGTCACTCAAATTGAGTTTCTTTAAACGAGATGTCGCCTCGAATGTCCCAGCCATGATTTTTGACAGACGATTTGTTCCCATATCCAATTCTTCCAGAAACATTAACGTTCTGAATTGCTTCGAATGTAACTCTTCGATACAATTCTCATTTAAATTGATTCGTTTTAAAGTGTTTGCAAGAAGAAAAAGATTTTCCGGAAGAATTGAAATTGAATTCGCCGATAAATCCAAAGTTTTAATCACGCCAAGACCTTTGAAAGCTTGTGGATGGATTTGTACAATTTTATTTGATTGCAAATACAATTCACGTAATTTAGCTTGTTGTTTGAACAGTTCCGCCGGGATTCCTGCGATTTCATTGTTGTTGTTCAGATACAGAATTTGGAGATTTGCCAACGTAGTGAAGGCTAGCGGGTGAATTTTTGTGAGCTCATTCTTCGATAAATTCAGAGTCTCCAATGCGATTGTCGTTTGAAAAAGTTGCATCGGTATGTTTGTAATGAGATTCTCTTCCAAATCAAGTGACTTCAGATTTGACAGATATTTGAAAGCATTCGGATGAAGTCTGAAAAGTTTGTTGAGTTTCAACTCGAGCTTTGTTAAGGACGTCAAGTTTCCGAATAACTTATCGTCGATATAATAAATGCTGTTTCCTTCCAGTGCAAGCACCTCAAGCTGACTTAAATGTTTGAACACATTGGGATGAAATTCTGTCATCGAGTTCTTACGCAAACTTAATCGCTTTAAATTCTCTAAGCCAACGAACGCACTCTCGTCGATCTCCAAAATCTGATTCGAGGTCAATGAAATATCAACGAGATTTTCATTTTCTTTGAATAATCGCCTCGGTAATTTTCTCAACTTATTGCAACTCAAGTCAAGATATTTTAACTGCACGAGACTCTTAAAATGTCGATAAGTGACGGTACTTAAATTTACATTAATCAGATTAAGTGTCTGCACGTTGATGAACTTATCGAAGCAATCACCAGGCAACGAATTTATTTTCTGTTGGGTTGCAAATAGAAATTCAACTGCCTGTCGTTTGATGTCACCACTTCCTTTATCATTTCGAGTCTCATCTTCAGGCTTAAGTGACAATTCACAGCAAATTCCATGAGCTGTTGAAGTGTAGAGTCGAAATGATAATCTGAAAACAAAAATTTCACGTGAATCGTGTTTCACTATAAATCACAAATCACTCACTTTGTATTGTTTTCTGTCAATTTATTTTCCATTAAGGCCACAGATATTTTCTTCTCAATGTCCACGATTCGCTTTTCTATTCATGACCAGTCTACACTCGACAATCGCAATTCTGAGACGAGACTGAAACGGTTTTTATTATTTTTTTTTCAGAAAAGCATTTTTTGTGTGTGATAAGAATAACACATTGACATATGGGCGTTCGATCTGGGCAATTCGCCAACATTGGCTTTTTAGATATCTACAAATGTATGTTTGAATGTTCACGATGTTCACGAGAGCTTCTTTCTCCACTTAACTCTTCTTTTAGGTTTAATGAACCACACTCGATAGCTTCGATCACACTGGTCTATTACAGCTGACGATTTTCTTTCGTTGTACTCCTCGTTTGTGAATGAGTTTGGTGAGCGTAATGAAAATTGAGAAAATTTTACAGCAAAATAAAAAAAAGTTTCAATGTTAAACATTCCCAATTCACGTTCGTGAAAATCGTTTTGAAACTGTTTTTCATTTACTCTCTCGCATATGTATAATCGTTTCTTTTTCATCGGCAATCAAATAATTTTCCTGCCTGTTCGTTACTCGATCCAAAAAAATGTGAAAACAAGCGAAAATGAAATAAAGAAAGATTTTTCCTTCGTCGTTCAGGAAATATTTATTTGATGATTTTCCGATGTCATCCCTTCTCATGTCATGAAATGAAAAACTTTGTGACCTAATTGTGAATTCATCAGACGATAAAGATCGTCTGGTTTTAAATAATCAACGAGGGATCATCATCAAGTGATGAAGAGTTCTGAAAATTTATCTTGAATCAAGATTTGGATCAAATTTCACTTTGTAAATCATTGCAAAGTGTCAAAATGACAATCCTGACATTAACTTGACATCATTTTCACTTTCATTCACTGATCTTTTCTCTTTTTCTGGCGCTAAGATTAATCAACAGCAGCAGAATCATTGTGTGAATGAAGATCATTAATAAACATGAAAAACAATTTTTTAAAACTATTAAGAAAACAAAAAATATTGAAATTCCTTTCATAAGTTTTATTATTTAAATTTCTTTTTCTTGTTGTCGTGGCATTAATTCTTATTACACTTTCAAGCTTAACTTCACTTGAAAATTAGTCATGAAATTTATGGCTGCGAAATTTCAAAGATTTTTGACATTTTTATGAGAAAATTTTGACTGTTCATGGGCCGATACATAAGTCACAAACGACACATGCTAAATTAAATAGAAAATGACAAAATTTTCAACATTCTTTGTCCCTAACTTTGTATTTAATATCGAAAGTAATAATGAACATAAAATTCTTCAAATTTTCTATTTTTATTATTATCGTTCAGTTAGATAATTAAATCCATTAAATATTATTATTTATAATTTTTCAAATGAAATTTTTTTTGTTTCTTGATGATGAAAATTTGTGGAAAATTTTGTTTAGTGACAGTTGTTAAGTATAATTAATTTATATGTTTACTTATTCATTTAGTATCAAATTTTGATCCACGAATATTCAATTTCTCACTTAGATGTTTTCTTCATAAAATCTGTGCCAAGTCTAATCACCATTTTAGGATTTTTTCTTTTGAAACTAAATTGAGATGGAGAAATACTTTTTAAACTGTTGGTTTATCAATCATTATAATTATAATAATTACTATATTTGTAATCATTTGTTGATTTGTGTTTATTATAGAGAAAAGAAAGCAAGAGGGAAATGTCACAATTTAAACTTTCTTAAACTTTCTCAAGCTTACAAGAGCTTTTTCCCTTAACTTCTTTTCTAAATCTTCATTTACCTCTGACACTGGTGACTTTTCAGCAGCACTTTCTGAATCCTTCTTATCCGACGACTTCTTCTTCGACTTCTTACTCGATTTCTTATGCTTCTTGGACTTACTTCGCTTCTTTTTCTTCTCAGAAGACTCATCAGAAGCCGATCCATCGCGATTCTTCTTCTTTCGTTTCTTCACAATTCTCTCCGATGTTGCTTCACTTTCCTCACCACTGTCGTCAAATGTTGACTTTTTACGAGATTCCACAACATCATCAATCGCCTTCTTCTTAGCTGATATTTCATTCTTTTCAATTTTCCTCAAATCATTCTTCAACACTTCAACTTTTCTTGTAGCTTTAACTTTTGCAATTTCAACACTTGACGAGCTGCTACTACGTCGACGTTTCAATTTTGTCTTCTTAACATTATTGTCATCACTGCTGATGTTATGTGTCACAAGTTCTTTCGCAGCTCCCTTTGACTTTTGCTGTTGTTGATTGACTTCAGTCTTCATTGTTGTAGGTGGAACATAATCCTTTCTTTCATGAGGTTTAAGGAATGGTGATGGTGTTCGTGATGGCGATGACGCTGAGCTTATTGATATCTTCGATTCGCGTGACGATGCTGCTTGTTTACCACGCACAGTTTCTTTGAAAATCATTTTCTGTTCTGTTATCTTTACTTGATACATTCGTTTCTTCTCATAGTCAACATCGTTGCTCGATCGTTGTTTAGATTTTCCATCATCACCAGTCACATTCTTCTTAGCAGTCTTTTCATCAAACTTTTTCGGTGCTTCTTTGTCATTGTCTTTATCGTTCCCTGGTTTAAGCTTTTCACGACTTTTTTCACTTGCTCGTGATGAATTCTTTTCATTTTTATCATTCCGATCAAAGCGATCAACTTTCCTTGGACTCTCGTCACGTCGTGAATCTCTTTGGCGGTAATTTCGTGGTGATCTGTTGTTTCTTGAATGATTATTTCTTGGAGATCTTGAATGACGTTTATGATGTGAGCTTGATCTTGATCTAGAACTATTTATTGAAATTATTTCATTAATAAATTAATTATTGTTAATTAAACTTACAGTTTCTTATAAGTCTTTGGAGATCTGCTTCTTCGACGATTTCTGGCCTGAACTCTGTCGATAAAGAAATTTAAAATTGTCAAAAAGATCGTAAAATTAAAGACAATAAATTCTTACCTTCGTCTTGATGAGGATCTTGAATAACGTCGTCTTGAATATGATCTTGATCGTCTTCGTCTTACATCTCTTGAGTCATCATTACGACGACCTTTGTCACGTATACGACCGCCGTCGTCAGAGTCAGTCTCAGAATCCTTTTTTGAGCGATATTGTCGCTTCTTCTGTACAACACTTGATTTCTTTTCTGTCTCTTTAGGATGTGAGTCACGATCTGATGACGAATCGCTGCTGTTGCTGCTACTCGAGCTGTGACGTTTTTTGGCAGGTGAAGGACTTCGTGACGGCGATTTCTTCTTCGGCAATCTAAATAAATGACAAAGAATTAGAAAACAATAAATTTTGGTTGTTAGTTAAACTTACTCAACAGCTTTTAATGGTAATTCCTGTTTATTCTTTGCCATGTCGAGTAATTTTGACTGCAACTTTGATAAGCTTGGCTTCTCCTCTTGTGATAAAGAGCGGCTTTTAGAAACTGAACGATTCTTTCGAGATGGTGAATGTTTGTTTCTATTACGAGATCGACTTCGATCCCTTCTAGGTGGAGATCTTCTGCCTCGATTTCTTGAATTTGAACGGTCTCGTCGAGGTGGTGAACGTTTGTCACGACTGCGAGATCGATTACGTCGAATTGGAGATTTTTTCTCTCTGTTTCGCGACACTGAACGATCTCTTCGTGAATGTGGTTGTGATTTTCTTGAACGACTGTTATCACGTCTAATTGGTGATTTTCGAACTTTTCTGTCCTTGGAACGATCTCTTCGATCTCTTGATCTTTTGACTCTATCACGGGATCGGCTTCTTTTATCACGTGAACGGCTTCGTTGTTTATCTCTTGATCTACTTCGTTTATCTTTATCGTCTTTAGCAATATCATTTGATCTTCCACGAGAACGTCGAGCCGGCTTCGAATTGTTTTCCTCTTTTGACTTTTCTTTAGCTTCGTTCTTTAATTGATATCGTTCTCTTATTTCAATTGCCTTCTTAAGTGCTTCTTCCGGAGGTTTAATTGATTTTTCTTGTACCTGTTCACGGTCCTTTGAATTACTTCGTTTTATTGGACTTGCTGACCTTTTTCTATCTCTGTCGTTTCTTTTCATGATTTCTTCTTTCTTTAATTCGATGAGTTCTGCGGGAATTCCAGTATCTGACTCTTGAGCTGACAACAATAATGCCCATAGCTCTTCCATGAATATTTTAGCATTTTTTCCATTTAGAAATCCGGTGAGGTAAATCCTACGAAGAAAGATTTTCATATTTCCTGTTAACTAAATTAAACGTTTACAACTTACTGCATTTTCTTGGGATTTGGATATTTTTCATCTTCTAATTGATTCACAACATATTCTTCTATAACATCATCTTCCAAATTCAGAAGTTGAGTTATTTTTGCGCTTATCCATGGTCTCAAAACATCAAGTTTGACTTTTGACATGTCAACTTTCTTTGACAAAACATCCGAAAATTTCATTTGTTTCATCAACTTCTTCTCTTTATCGCAGAACCGAGTGTCTTGGTTCAGATTTGTTCCCTGATCAAAATAAATAAAATATTTGTTTAGCTATCTCACAAAATTGCATTTAAATATATTTGAGAAAATCGATAACGTTTCTAACCAAGCCAGAAATATAGAAATTCATTTTGTAAAGTAAATTCAGCTTAAAGAACAAAGCGAATAACTTTTACTTACAGAAAACATCATTTTGACTGGAATAAGTTATATATTATCACTAAATAATCCGTATTACATTGGCTTTAATAAGTTTTATGTCGACGTTTTTTTTGCTTGACTTTTTTTACTATTGATCTATTCAAAAGTTAGGTCACAACATGTTTTTATAAACTTCTGTCTTTTCTCACTAGGTGGCGTATATATTGTAAACAGAATTTTGAATTCTCTAGAAGATGTTCAATGATATCGATGGCTTCTTCAATGTCAGTTAATTCGCAGAATCATCAAGGATATTCATTCCATCATCAATCATTAATAATTCTTCCGAAATCTTCTTGACAGTCAGACAAAAAATGTTCAAAACTTTGTTAATCCGCTCACCCACTCACACATCCAAACTTTGTTTTCATTTCTTTGGCAGAAAATATTCAGAAAAGAAATTTTACTTAAAAAATGTTAATTCAACTGTGCCGCAAAGTTCTTACAGATCAAGTTAATAATGTAAGAGCTCTTAGAACCATCCACACGACAGTTGTCAACAAAACATTTTGGGAGAAGGAAAAGAAATCAGGATATGCACAAAAATATCCACTGACCAGTAAAAAAATGATTCTTGATGGATTGAAGGAATTTAAGAGTGAATTAAATCTTTGGAAAGAGGAAATGAAAGAAAAATTTGAGTCTGATCCTATTTTGGTGTTTCGACCAGGTGAAATTGATGTTATTTGGAAGTTTTCCGGTGAGTTTTGAATGACTTGAAAATGAAGAAAATTTCTAATTAATGAATATCACTTTAGAGGAACAAGATCTTGACAAATGGGTTGTTACATCAGATAAAGATCATAATCAAGGATTGAGTGTTGCTTCGTTTGAAAGAAGTCCTGCAGGTTTTGGACTTTTCAGCGGAAATCTTTCATCTGAGTTACCGATTGATGGTCGTATAAAGAAGGCTGGATATTGTAACATTAAATCGATGCGACAAAGAAAATCATTTAAGAGAGAAACGTCTTTCGACTGGTCAACATACAATACTTTAGTAATGCGAGTACGTGGTGATGGTCGTCCTTATTTAATTAACTTATCATGTGAAGCATATCACGATATGACATGGAATGACATTTATCATTACATTCTTTACACTCGTGGAGGTCCCCATTGGCAAGTCACCAAAATACCATTCTCAAAATTTTTCTATGCTTCCAAAGGACGTGTACAAGACAAACAAGTTGCCTTTCCTGTAGATCGTGTGACAAGTGTAGGATTTTCAGTGTCTGGAAGAGCTGGTTATGATGGTAACTTCAGTTTGGAAGTCGACTACATTGGCTTGGAATTTGATCCACATGAAACTGAAGATTTTGCTTATGAAACTTATAAAGTTGATAAATATATTGTACAAACTTAGATAGTTAATTGTAGATTACATTTTAATTGATAAATAAATTTATCGAAATAAACTTGTTTGCTTTTATTCAATCAAAATATTTAAATTTATAATATTTTCGACGAAGATAAAAAATTAACTATCTTATCATAAAGTCAATAATCTTCAAACACTTTCTCAATCAAAAGAAAACCTGTGAAGCTTGCTGTGAAGCGACGTAAAAAACTTGTAGAAGAAGAAAACATAAAAACGAAAGAATGAAGAAAAAGAAATTGTAAAACGACTCAACCAATCAGAAAGCGAGGGTTTCTCTTATTTTCTCATTTTATCCAATCCCACGTCGAACACAAGTCGAAGGAAGGCGCTCTTCTTAATAACATTTCATTTTTCATGCGGAAAACTATTAAGTTTCCCATTGCTCTCTCGCATTTTTTGTTTCACTCTCATACCGTTAAGACGTTTCACTTCATCGACTAAGCACCCAATTTGCGGTAGCTTCATTTATTGTTATAAGGAAAATTGTCTACAATTAAATTATAACGAAATCCTACGTCATCGTGAGATGATGTAAATCATTTTCTTTCTTTCTTGAAATCTAAGTTAACAACGTTTTAAGAGCTCGTTCGGATCGGATGTATTTTCATTTTTTTCTCGTAATTTAAAAAGTGTTAACTTTAAAGTGGATTAAAAGAGATTCAGTTGTGTTTCAATATCAAGAATAAAAAATATCACAAAAAAATGGATTTTACTGAATCAAACATGAAACTGTCAACGACACCTTTCTCAATCAACGATATTTTAACCAGCAATAATCAACAAAATTTATCGAAGAAAATAAAGCAATTTTGTCGATTTCGTCGGAGTTCCTTGGATTGTTTTATTGTCTCAAAAGATGATCAAGCATCTCATATCAATGAGTCAAGTGATAAAAGTTACGTGCAATTATTTAACAACAATAATCCATTGGATATGCGATGTCGTCATAGTGATATTAATGTATCAGGTAATTGATTAAGTGTTGATATTTCCGATTGTGAAGAAGTTTAACCTTTTGTTGTGCCATGGAAATGGGTGGCAATTAACTTAATGACTTTGTAATGGGTCGTTGCGATGCAAAAATAAATAGAATTCATATTTTCTAAAGGATGTTATTTTGTGTCGCACGTGTGATCTTTTGTGTCACGTTAATAAGCGGTTCCAACGGTGTCACCTGACACTGTTCCGCATTTAAGAAGTTTTCATCGTAATTGTTAGTCATGCATAAGTTTAAAACTCAATTTCCCTTCCATTCAGACTGCGAAAGCCCACCCGCAAGTCACCCGTCAAACTTTCAAATGAGCGGCAAGCAAACTGAGGATGGGACGTGTAATCGAAAGAAGCGTAGTCGGGCTGCCTTTAGTCACGCTCAAGTATTCGAGCTTGAAAGAAGATTTTCGGTTCAAAGATATTTGTCGGGACCTGAAAGAACGGAACTTGCGAAATCATTAAGATTGACTGAGACTCAAATCAAAATTTGGTTTCAGGTGAGTTAAATTATAAAATTAAGCGACTGATTTTTTGAATCAATTGAAATATTCAATTAGAATCGTCGTTATAAAACAAAACGAAAGCAAATTCAGCAACATGAAGCAGCATTAATAGCAGCATCAAAAAGAGTTGTTCCCGTACAAGTTTTGGTTCGTGACGATGGAAGTTATTGTCGAATGATGAATTCTTCAGCTCCAGGATATTCACCAAATGCAATTGACCCAGCGTTATTCAACAAACTTAATTTAACTGATATTTATAGACAACAGGTGAGTTGAAATTTTCTTTTTCTAATGTCTAAAATTTATTTTTAATCTTCAAACAGTTTCAAATGGCTTATGGTTTACATCCGCAACTTTATCCTTATCTTTATGCACCCAAAAACACTCTGACACTTCCTTCATCTTATGATCTATCAGAAAATGTTCATAATCAACGTCAAAAATCAAATCCAAAAGAAAGAGACGATGTCGATGACAGAAATAATCGCGATGACACTTCGATTGAAAAAGGCGACGATGATTGTACAATCGATGAAAATGAAAATGTGGAAATTGATTAAAAAAGATATCAACGATCATATCTAATGTTCACATGGTGTGTAAAAACAAGTTTAAATAATTTTCAATAAATGTACATCAATGGATAAAGAGTTAAAACAAAACAGTGTTTAATGAAATTGCATTTAGCTTTTCTGTTTCTAAGAATAAACCACTCAAGAGCTTTTAAAGAATGAGATTTTGCAATTTATTGAGAATATCGATTGGAATGTTTTCAAGTTTTCCAGAGCGTTAATTCTTGTTTACTTAGTCAGACAACAAGGAAGGAAAAACTTCTAATGGAAGTCGGCAATTATCGATCGGTGGAATAAAATTAGAACAACCAATTAAAGATGAAAATTGATTCGATTTCGCAAGGAATCTTCAATCTACTTTACCAGTTAAGTTGCATCTTTAAACTCGTCTAAGCTCATGGGAAAATCTCATAAATTTCATCGTCTTAAAGGAAAAATAAGAAAATTCCACTCACTATCTTAACGATTATAGATTGGCCACTTAAGATCCATTAACTAATTAAAATGTTAAGTGTTTAACAAGATAAAGTATGTTGATGATAAATTCTTGTTGTGTTTGTGTAAACTCTCATAAACTTCCATCAGGTTCTAGGCCAAGATTTTTGAAACACTTGAGAAATGCCAAACACTTCTAGACATCAATGGAGAGTTTGATAAATTGGGTCATTCGCTTCGATGGAAAATGTTCAGACTTTTGTTATTATTCTTAAGAAATAATCCTCCGATAGCATAAAAGTGACATTTTATCTAAACATTTCTTTTGTTTCTCACTCTCAAAATAAGCTGTAAAAGTCTTCTTATGTTTCATGATCGACCTTAATGGGAAGCAAATTGATTTCATCTTTCACTGTTCTCAAATGTGATAATTGAAATGCTTTAAGTTAACTTCCACTTGAGCTGATTTTTCTTTTCTTGCTGAATATAATTGAATTAAATGGAAAGTCAATTGTTAAAAAGAGAATCTTCAATTTCTTCCAGATTCAGACATAAATTTTTTTATGATGAGTTTGTGAGTTCCATGCACAAGTTCATAAAGTAGTCGCAGACATTGTTAAGAAAACAAATTATCAAGAAGCTTCAAACAAGCGACTTTTAGTGATGTAAACAAACCATTATGACTCCCCTAATCACTCGATCATAAACAAAACTCTCTCACAGTTCATAGGAAAGCAAAATGAATGTAAAGATCACTCGAGACAAACGATAAAGGCCCACTCTCAAGTCAGACACAGGCACCCATAAAATCCATTCAGATTCTTCAATTGGCTTCTGAAATATGACTCCGAGTTCATCATGTACGAGCGACTTTTAAAATATTAAATTCACAAGACATGAACAACAATTTTATAATCGTTGATGAGTGGAAGTCAAGTTATTGTTTATTTGTAATTTGATCTGTTCTACTAAGCGTTATTTGTTTTCTTTCTTTTTTTTCATGTTCATTTTCAGGAATTTAGACACTTTATTGTAGTTTCTAAAATATCTTTTATCATGTTGATTATTAATTTAGGGAGAGAAGTAATAAAGATCGTTGTGATTTATTTAAAATAAATCATTTAAGCTTAAAAGCCCATCTCAATTTCACGCCACCGCGAATTTTAAACTCTTCTCAATTTCCGAAAGGAAATTTAAAGCGAAAAAGAATTTCCACTGTTTGGATGACTCTCAGCACATGGCTTTTCTGTCTTCCTTCTTCAATTCCGTGCTGCTTCGCTCGTCAATTGGAAACAATAACAAGTCGGTTTTCAATCCATTAAAAATGAATTGTAAGATTTTAATTGTTCATCATCTGTGAGTTTCACTCCTAAGCTAAACACAAACATTCGACGTCAATATTTCTTTTTTCTTTTGAAATAGTGAATAAATTTTAGAGGCAATTTCATGGATTTTTAGTGTGTGTAGTTGGAAAGGTTTACATAGGAATTCGAGTATTTCAAGGAAACGATTCAGTTACAAATTTCAATATTTTGGCTTTTAACTTTCTTTGGAAACTCCCACAACAATTCCCGATTGATTGCGGTGAAAGAAGTTTTTCTCTTTTCGTTGTTTTTTCGATAGAAAATGAGGAAATCGCGGTGTGGAAAGTTTATTTGATGTATTCAGGAGATTTTCATGTTCGTAAATTGAAGACAATAATTTGTTCCAATTCATCACTCGTCACTTTACGTCAGCCATTTAAAGTTTAGTGAATTAATGCATTCAATGTTTACATAGAAATTAAAAAGTCTCGTAATGTTTAGTAGAAGCAAAAAAAATGAAAAGACTTAAAGACGATTTTTTTATCTTCATGGACCGTAGCCGAATTGTATACAATCCGAACAACAGAAGAAAAACTTCTTTTTTTATTATTTCAAAGAGGATAGCATTGAAACATGTGTTGAGCAGATTCCCAACTGCCTCTTTCCACATCTATTTTCGAGTGAATGATATTGTTATTGAAAATTGTGTTTATTCGATAATTTCCACCATCTCTCATCGCACTTGTCTCATCTACAACTCGTTGGTGCTACTGAACGTCTTAAATGAAAATTTAAACGCTCTTACATCTCATTACTCGATGCATTTTTAAACATTGCAATTCTTCACGGTAAATGTTAAAACAATTGAAAGTCTCGCTCAAGTTTCAATGTAAATATTTACATTTCCGAGTTAATAGTTCGTAATAGTTTTTAATTGAAAATTCCCAATGCACTTCTTGTTTGAGACTGCCGCTTATAAAATAAGTTTTTCTTCCACTTCGCTTGTTGCAAAGCATGTAATTTTATTGTGAACGTACTTGCACACTTTTTACGATTGAGGGTAGAAAATTAGCTCTAATGACAAGCAATTGTGGATGATGAGGTATGAAAGAAACACATTCGAATAAATTTAAATTCAATTTTCATCTATTGTTGCAATATCCTGTTCACCTTTCTTCAATAACTTCGACGATGTTCATCAGAAATGTGACAACATTAAAATCTTCACATTCATGGGAATTGCTTATTTAATGAAGATTTAACTTCTTTTCGATTTTCACAGTAAATGAATAAGAAGAATCGAACGCTCAATTGAACCCTCAAGCTAAAAACGTGTCGATTTATGCTTTCCATAGTAATTTTTGACACCGGTGTACAAATCCTTTTTTCTGTCAATATTATTAGTGAGAAATAAAATGGCACAATTTAATTCTCATTCATTTTTTTCTTGACAATCAATTTTGTGCTTGGAATTTTTAATTCAATTTCCAAGACCGTCTTAAGGATAAAAGGTTTGGCATGCTTCGCTTGACTTTTTTCTCTTCTTCTTCTTCTTAAACATTGATTGAACTTCAACAAGATTTTCCACGAACATGACAAATTTAATGATAATAAGACGATAAGTCAAATGATTTCTCTCGATTATAATGTCATACCTTTTACAAAAAAGAAGAAAGTTGAGAAGAAAAGGATGAAAATTAGGGATAATTGCTTCAACGACTCACAATAAGCAGCAATTGTATGGGCGTGCTGTTAAGAAATATTTCAAGAAAGCGTAAAAAAGTTGCTAAAACAGGATTTCAAATGTTAAGAACTCTTGAATCTCAATGATGATGATGACGATTGAAACATTCAACTTCCTTTTGCTGCCAATCACACTTGAGCATTGTGCACGTAATCAGTTCAGAGACCACCCCATTTGATACCAAATTATAATTAAAATCTTTTTATCTTCTTCGTTTAATGATCGTATAATAAAAAAAAGAAAGAAAGTTGAGGGATTAATTATAGCTCATTCACCATAGTTGTGAATAAACAGCGGGAACAGTTTAGCAGGTACATGAACAACAAATTTACTTTCGATTTGAAACATTCCTGGTGAACAAAACTATTGAATAAGCTCTTCTATATTAAGTAGACTAAAAGTTCATTGAAATGGAAAAAGAATTCTTTTATTACTCCGCAATCTAATAGTGGCTATAGTTAGCTATGAATGACTAACGTATGTTTATATAATGTCTCGTAATTGACATATTGTTCTCTACTACTCGTTTTTCAATTTCGTCTTTTCCACATTGAAGTACGTCGTTCTCTAAACAGTAATTTTCATCAGAAGTTTCGCTATCGTCGACGAGAGAAAAATGCTTTCTTATGACTCGTTAGGATGACAAGAAATATTTTCTTTTACTGATCTCGTCAGAGATTTATTTTCCTATCCAAACTCCAATCATCCTTTTCATTTTTATCATTCTATAGACGATGAAAACCTCCTGAATAGATTTCTATCGTTAAACCACAAAATGTAAAAACAAGAAGAAGGTCACGTGTGTGTAAGTGAAGAGTTCGGGGGCGTAAAGATGGAAAGTGTGGTTAGTGAAACGGAAATTATTCTAATAATATTGTGACGATACGTGTTGTCACAGAATTACTTACTGATCTCTGATGGAAAATGATTTTCTATTACATATTTAAAGCTTCGTAAGCATCGACACTGTTACACCATTGAAAAAGCCTCCAACAATCTTTTAATTTCTTGGATTAAACGATTCGCTTTCAAAATGTTTAAAAACACATTATTAGTAAAAGTCAGTCTTAACTCTGTTTAAATTACAATGAAATGATACCGCATAATTGAAATTAGTCGAAGCACATGTTGAGGATGTTTACAAAGTAATTTTATTTTTAGGTAAATTTATAGTTTGAATTGAGTAATGTAAAATATATCGTGACTAACATGATGTTTGAAATGACTCGGTTTTAAATCTGTTTTGGCAGTCGTTTGTCAATGAAGTGTGCATTGGCAGGAAAATCTAGAAAATAAATAATATTTAGGATAACATGAACAATTGCTTCTACGATCCTATTCAGCACGCTTTGGCGATTGTTTTGTGAATATTTTATGCTGATATTGTTACTTAAATTTTAAGCCCTTTTGCCAAAAAAAGGAAAATATTTTTTCTTTTCTTATTTAAATAACTTTAACTTTTTTATATTTATTAGCGAACTGGGATGAGATTTCAATAAAACATGAAAATATTTAAAAATTATATGTTTCTAATAATTGTTGGGAAATAAAATCAGGCAACACTAGTGCTTGAAAAAATACATTTTGTACTGCTTCAATTTCTCTAAACTCTACAACAGTTTCGAAACATTTAAATGGTTTAGATCTTTTTCCCCACACATGGTTTCACAAATAACGTTTCTGTTACAAAAATACTTTTCTATTCTTTAAGTCTTCAATTTACAACTCTCCACTCAACGTAAGATTTTGTTTACACGTTTTCATTGTCACTTACCAATGTTCTCAATTGCTGCTCTTCATAGACTGATGATCTCAATGATGCAATCGAAATTCCACTTAATGGAATTCCCTTTTCAAAAGCACTTTACCGATTGTTTACATAGGACCATTAAATAAAGTTTAAATATAAGTCAATCACCCTGCTGATGATCCTTGAACTTTTTTCTCTTTACTCTTGATTTGTGGACATTTTTGCTATTCATAAATCATGAAATTCAATATCTTCATCGATGCAGAAAAATGATGTCAAACAACAGCAAGGATATCTAGATAAATGGATCACCCTGAAATTATGTACTTTCAGGGATGCAAGAGAATATAAAAAACGAGGGAACAGAGATCATATTAACAAACATGTAAGAGCAAAGTTATTGACTAAGGGCAAACAACGAAATCAATTTATTATTTAAAAGCATGTCACTTATGATATAATTTAATCTCTTTTAAATAAACATTGAGAACCATATAAACGGTCTGGGGGGAATGCAGCAGTAATGACAAATGATGGAAATTTATGAAAAATATAGAATATGACTGCGAAACTAAGCCTGATTGAATGAAAAGCCAGAAATGACGTTCTCTATTTCATTTGAATGCCAGTTTAACTTCAATCAAACGTTGATATTAATTTCCAGAGTCAAACTTCATAGGAAACAACATGACTTGTCTGACTTGTCGGGGGATTTCTAAGTGAAAGAAAAGCAGAGAAACTTTCATGTCTAAGATAAAAAAAAATTGGATGAATAAGAAGTTATGTGAATTTAATATATTGCTCGGGTTATCGCATTTCGAGATTCGAAGTCAGTCGGCGCGGGAGCAAAATAAAAGAAAAAGGCAGCCGAGAGGAATTCTTTTAACACAAAATAAACCAGATGCCCTTTTGAACAGCAGAATGAGATACTGACGAAGTTTATTTCTTTTCATTTAATTTTGTTTTCTTTCATAATTTTTCTTTTCGTTTATTTTTCACATTTTCAAAAAAAGGCAACAATTTCGTATTTCTCATGTTTTAAAAAAAATTGTACGAATTTTAAGGATTCAATTGAGTCTTCCTGTTACCAAAAAATATTGTTGTATGTTGAGTACGATGGCGGTTGAATTGAAGACTGAAGTGTTGCAATGTTAACATTCGATGGCGCCGATGAATAGTTTGACTTTGAAGTTCCTTTCATTGGATCTTTTGCTTTTAAAGATGATGACGATCCTTGCATCCCGCATTCAATTTGCAATCGTTTTGATTTGTATCGACGATTCTGTGGAAAACATAAACGAAATTTAAAAGCTCGTAAAATAAAAAGAAGCACTAAAGTAGTTTATGACTCACTTGAAACCAAATTTTTATTTGAGTTGGGGTAAGACTCAAACTACCAGCTAAAGTCTCTCGTTCAGGTGCTGAGAGATATTTTTGAAGCTTAAATCTTCTTTCAAGCTCAACAACTTGGGATTGTGAAAAGAGAATTCTTGGTTTCCTTTTTGTTTTAGTTTTTCCTGATTTTCCAATTGATGATGATGATGATGTCACGATATGATTTGAATCTTCTAAATAACTTAATTAATTAAACAATTTTCTTGATTAATAATCAACATTTAAACTCACTAGGCAAACTTTTCTCAAACTCTTTTGTATCTTTTATTTGACACATTTGATTTAACTCTTGAACATGTTCAGAGGTATTGTGAACAATTGAAAACTTTTCCATCGAATCAGTTTTCATATTTTGTGATGATTCAATTTTCATTTGTTGAGAAAATTTATCATTTTCTGGTAATGTTGTCATGTTCGAGTGACGATAATTTGATCCAAAAATTGGCGAAGAATTTGATGAAAAATGATTGTAACTTGGAAGTGAATTAAAATCGTGATAATTTGGTGGATTTCCTTGTGAATATTCGTAGCCGTTGTAAGTCGAAGGTGGATTTTGAAAAAGCAAATAATTGTTGTTGAATGAATAATCATAAAATCCCATTTGATCATTTGTTGATCCACGAAAGCTGAATTTTGTATGATTTAAATTAAAAACTGAACTGAACATTTATTTAACTCTTTTTACCTTTTATATTGTTGCAAATTATTCCCAAATTGTGGAACATTGTTGCCATAAAACTTTTGTGAAAATTGATCGTTTCCATTCATAACTTGATAAGAATTTTCTTCGTTATTCTGATCGACAATGTTTAAAATATCGCGCACTGAAAATGGCGTGGTGTTTAATACATCAACTTCACTTGAATTGTCACCAATCACCATATTATTATCCATGTCATAATATCCAACTTGTGATGAATTATTAATCATCATTTTCGGCTTTCATACAATTAAAGCTTTGATCTTTTCGAACGTTTCACATGATTAATCATTTTCATATCTTTCAGTTTTAAAATCAATTAACTTTGGCACTTCATATTAACGACACTAGAAGAGTTCCACTAATTGGTCGACTAATTGTAACAACGTGAAGTTTTCAACTGAACCAATTTAAGATCGACAAATTTGTTTTCTCGAAAACATTAAATTTTCATTCTGTTTTCTTTCTTCTTTCGTTTTTTCTTTCTTTTCTCAGCGATGGAGGCGGAGATGTGTGCGATACTCGAACTTCTTTCTCATTATATGGACCGACACTGAGACGTCTGTTGGTGGCTAGTTTCTCTTATGTTTAGCGTCATATTACAATGTCGTAAAATAACTTTAATGCTCCCTTCATGGTACTTTTAAAATGTCATAACTTGTAAAATATTTACATGCGACATATGACTCTGGAGACGTTTTATCTTTTTCTACAATGTTTCGGCATTTTGCTTTTACTATGTTTATATGAAGAATTAATTGAATCATCCCCACCCAATCAAAACACTTGCTTGATCCAATCGTGGCGCAGGCGTTTCACAAATTTAATATTGAGAGAGGGGAAATGTAGAAAGCATGAAAAATTTCCATTGAGGAAAATTTATTGCAATGTTTTTCCAAATGTTTTCATGAAAATTCATACAAATTTTTAAAATTAATATTATTGAAGAATTTTTTAAAATTTTTTAGAAACATTTTACACTCCACACTTGTTAGTGATTTTAAATTGCAACATGTGACTTAACTTACAATCGTCCAATAAAAACATGAATTCAAGAATGCATAAAATTTCTAGCCACATGTTTCAAATATATCTTCCTTTTTTTAGTAAAACATACGTAAGCACTTTGTCGCAAAGTTGATAACTCAAAGGCGAAATTCTACTTCTGTTGACGCCACTTCATTAATTTTTTTTAACTTGTTTCTCTTGTTAATTTTTTTTAAAAATTATTGCCTAAAATTGGTTTTTCTTTATAATATTTCGTAAGACTTTTGTTTGAATTCTTAAGACTTTATCAAGAAAACTCGTAGTAAAATCTTAAGACACTCAAGATCATTGTCGAAATCAAACAAACAATGCTTACTTTATGTTCTTTGCAAAACTAAACTTTCACACTATCGGCAACAATTTTGAATAGAAATTGAAACTAAAACCTTTCAAATGTTTCAACATAAAAATAAGCCTTTGTACAGCTCTAGATATGAGAATGAAGTTTTATGTTTTAATAATAAAATCTCCTTGATATCTGCACCATCATCATACAAAACGTCTTAAATAAATTAAAATAACAACTTTTTCATGAGCAGAGACTTTTATTAATTTTCTTTCTTGATATAAATTACGACCAATTACATTTTTAAGAAATATTCTCTTCATGAAAGAACGAAAATATGTCATTTATTTAAAATTATCAATCTATTTATGAGACATAAGTTGATTTTCCGTTGAGTTACAGTTTATTTACTTAGCAATCTAAGCTAACTATCAATGAATACGTCATTTTTCTGAAATTATTGTTATTTTAAAAACATTTTGAATCATAACATGAAAGCCTACATTCAAATGTTTTCAATTATTTAATGTAATTATGTTGAAGCGCCATGGCAAACAAAATTAAAATAATAATAATATTACACAAACTTAAATTCGTTTTCTGAAGCTTAAAGTGGTACAGATGAAACCACTGAATTATTTATGTGAAATTTTAACCCAAAACATTTGATTTACATATTTACATTTAAGCATTGTTAGCTGTCAAGTGAAGTCAAGAGTCAGCTTGAAAAAATAATTAGAAAGTTCATTTGTTATGTATCAATTAATTTAAAATTCAGTTATTGACTAACTCAATTGATAATATTCCGGTGCAAAATCATTTAAATTACTCAGAAAATTGAAATCGGATGAACTGTTGCTATTTTCAGTAAGATTTGCGTTTGCGTGAATCTGTGGATTTGTGTTGTTAAAATTCTGTTGCTGAACATAGCCAGAAGGAACATTTTGCGGTAAGTGATGATAATGTGGATGTGCTTGAGGATGCAAATTTTGCTGTTGGGGTGGTGCTTGCTGCTGCTGCTGCTGTTGCTGTTGCTGCTGTTGATGTTCATAATATTGTTGGAATGACGCAAAGTTTTCACAATTTTCATTCATTACAGCATTCGGTCCATACATTTCGGGATATTCATTTCCGCCATGTTGATGATGATAGTTCATATCATAATAATGCGCTTGAGACTTCGGATCAAAATATCCACCAGAATTTGCACCATCACTTCCAACGTCAAACTCATTCGGATAATATTGATTATGTGGATTTTGAGCAGCATTCTCATTGTAATAAATTTGATTTTGTGGGAAATCTATCGGCCTCGCGTGAAGATTATTAACAGGGATTTTATGATTCATATCACTCTTTATCATGTTGTGATGTTCATAATCATGTGCTTCATATTTCTGTCCATGAAACTGCGCAAATTGTTGTGGCGCATTGATCATACCCTTCTGATGAAACTCAATTTCATGCTTGGTAAATAACGTTTCATTCGTCTGATGGGGAATGTTTGGCGGTGGAATTGCATGCTTCGGATAGAATCCCTGGAAATAACCATCTTGAATCGTTGCTGGTTGTCCCTTTATCTTCAATTGATTTTGATATTGATTGTTATTATTACGACCATAAGCAGTGCCTGCTTTTGTTCCAATCAGATGCGGTGACTGAACATTTTCTTTACGATAAATTTCGTTATTTGGAAAGACGTTTGCAGCTTTTGCTAATTCCTTCTTCGTCTAAAAGTAAAAATGAAACTTTCCAGACTTTTCCTTCATAAATCTCTTAAAATCTTACCTTTCGACTGTGACTTTCTTCCTTCTTTTTAATCTTCACCGGACTTTCTTCTTCTTCTTCTAAACTAACCGTCGACGCCACACTCGAGTCGGCATTTGAAATGACATTTGCATTTGGCACCACTGCCACTTCAATTGAGGAATTCGGTGTTGCACGCGACAATGCACCATTTGATCTCTCATTTGGATTTGATTGATTATTGTTAGTAGCACTCGGAGTGTTGTTGTTTTGACCACGTGAGTTTGACGTTGAATCGGGAACATCATCAGATGGGAGTTCGCATCCTTGACAAGACTTTTTCGAATTAGAATCTAGAAAAAGAAAAAAGAAATTCAATGTTAATGATCGAAGGGAAGTCAAAGGAAAAAAGGGTGAATAAGCTTGATTATACTCACTGCAAGATTGCGTGTCATCGTCACCTTTGAAGTCGTCTTTACTTGAATCTTCGTCATCAGTTTTCGATAATGTCTGTCTTTTATGCTTCATTCGTCTATTTTGAAACCAGACTTTGACCTTTGATAATGTAATTATGGTTAATGTGAACGTTCACTTTAAATTTGCGACGTGATTTTTACCTGTCGTTCCGTTAAATCAAGACTAGCAGCGATCTCGATGCGACGAGGGCGACACAAATACTTATTAAAGTGAAATTCTTTCTCAAGCTCAAGCAGCTGAGTGTTTGTGTATGCCGTTCGTAGACGTCGGGGCAGACCATTTTCAGCCACAAACTCATCTGGAAAAGTAGGAGAAGAAAAGAAAAAAACGAATTAATCGATCGGTCTCACGGCACACAGTCAATCGCAAATGCCGACGGAGAAAAAGTCATCGTTCAACAATCGTTCGTCGAAATAACAGAACCGAGCAAACGTGGCTATTAATCGAATGTTTGCGGCAAGACAAATTCATCCCTTCGTCAGTGTTATATTTAATACCATAAAGGCAGAGGAGTTATGACCTAATTCCATGTCATGTCTGTAAGTAATCAATCATTGAGGTCTATCGATTTTTCCCTCTCAAAGAACAAAAAGTTTTCCTTCTGTTTTTCTCTTTTCCACGCCGATTCTTCCCGTTGAATGCCAGCAAAAGGGATAACATCCTTATTATAATTTTCTTTTATTATTACAAAAGCCCTCATTCTTATTTTTGATCGCGAAATAATGCTTTAAAGAAAATCCTTAAATCAGATTTTCCATTTTTTCTTTCGCCTTCGTCTTGTTTTTTTATTTTACTTTTGTTGTCTGTTTCGTTCGTGTTTATCACGAGTGAGTAGAATTGAGAACAAGAAGAATTTAAATTTAAATACATAGAACGATTTTTTTTATATATTTTGAACGCTGCACTTCTAAAAATGATTAATGACTGTTTGTTGAATTTTTTTTTGTCAGAATTCTCTTTTTTCCACTTGAAGGGAAAATGTAAAGTGTGTTGACGGACGTAACAATTCCTACAATTTTTTATTTTGTCGTCAAACAGAGACAGAGAATAAATATAAAAGTGCCAAAAGTTGACGGGAATATTTCGTTGGAATTGACATAACAGTTTTATGAAATGATTGTAGCTTAGGAGGAAAAAAAATAAAGGAAATATCTTGAAAGATGTTGGAAGATGAAAGTGATTGCCATAACTTAGTTACACTCACTCAATGTTTCTTTAAATTTTGCTACATAAAATGGTTTTATGTAGACTTAAATGTTTCAAACTCAAAACTCAACCATAGAAACTTAAAGCTTAACAAGCACTTTCACATAAACTTAATTAAGTTCATTGATCTGAGTTTGGGAAAGAAGAAGAAATTATCACATAAAAATAACATTAAACATCTCATTTCACTTTAATATAAAATCATTTCTCCTCTTGTCTGTTTAAAGCTGCTTTAAATTCAATTTCCTGCTTTTTGAAGTCAAACAAAGCATTTACAGTCGCTCAAAAAAAGAAACTTTTATGACGTGTTAAAGAAGATCAAAATCGCAGATTCTTCAATATGGTTTCGCTTTAAAAACGTCGAAGAGTGAAAGAAACAATTTATCATCGTTCCTGTCTTTCACCCTCGATAACATAAACAATTGTGAGACTGAGACTGTGAGGGTCTCTCCAACAACATAAACTTTAAAGCAGAATTTTTATGAGAAAAGAAAAATTCTCATCGCTTTATGATTTCATTTATTTAGGTAATCGCTTTATCCACGGTAAAATTAATTCTTCAAAATTCTTCTTTATCCAAAAGCGGTAATTAATTTACATTCGAATTGGTGTTCAAGATAACTGGAAAACGAAAGGAAAAGAATGAAAAGTTTTAAAACATTTTTTAATTATTGAAAGGTTTATGACAAACTTTTCTTTTACGTTTTTGTCTGAAAAGCGAAGCATGCACCTGAAAAACTGGGATTCGATGTTACGTTATAGCGAAGGAGGCACACTGGTGAGAGTGTTTGTTCTAAATGTGATTTTGATAGCCTCATTTGCATACTGTTTGTCTGTAGATTGCTCACTTTTTTCCATTACACTGAAACGCGAATGTTTAACAAGCCTCGAAAAAAAAATTCGAACGATAGGAACAAAAAAGATCTAAAATTCATCTCGTGTGGAAATTTATTTAAAAGTAGCTCAGTAATCTCAATTTCCATCAACATTTTAATTGGAAAATAATTTTTCAGTTATGGCCGGTAGACATGATGAACTTTAGATTAAAATTTTCGAATCGTACAACATTTCGATCCCGTTTGCATGATGCTTTTGCGTGTTTTTATCTTTTACATAAAATTTTTAATTCTGATGAAAATATTAATGTGTAAAATGTAGGTTGATGGAAGAAGCAACAGATTTGGAGTATTTCGTGTTTTGTTTTTTATTCAATCTTAAAGAGATGAAAATAAAAATTAGATTTTAATGCACATAGACGAGATTTATGTTACTTCATAGATATTCACAACAGAAACCTTTTCCGGTGTTGTTCAATCTCAATTAAATTTCTCTCTGTAATGTTTTGAGATATTTCAAGTTTGAACATGTAAATTGAAAGTTCTCACTTATCGTTCATACATTTTTACATGCACACATCGATTCAACTTCCTTAACGCAAATATTTTGATAAAGTTCCAAGTAAAATTTCGGGAAATTCGATATTTCTAATCGTAAACATTCACATTTACCGTCTCATTGAATTGTAAAGCAATGCAAACCATGAGTATTCATATGTTACGAGTTATTTAACGATGACATAGCAGGAGATGTAGTTCCGGAGCTTCCTTTTCTACAAAAAGCATAGATTTTGAAATGTCATGATGAAGAATATAAAAGAGTTATCGCATTAGAATTGTCAGTTCTTCTGATAAAGCTTGAAGAAGGAAACGCTTTGCTCCACAATCGGCTTAATACAGAAAAGACGAACGCGTGCACCATCCATTTGATATGCTGTCGATAATTTATTTATTACTTGCTTTTAAAATTTTCCTTCCAAAAGTATAAACAGAGAACGTAAGAAATGATAAATGATATGTTTCCTAAACACTCTCTTCTCGCTCGTATAACTTTGCTATGTACCGGAAAATCGATTCGATTACAATAATTTTTATGATTATTCTCGCACGGTTAGACTGTAAGAGAATCTTTATTTCATTTTTTTTGTAGATATCCAAGAAACGTCAAAATAGCGTGTAATTGAAGTCTTTATTTGACATTGAAACTGAGGTACGAGACCATAATTGAATTAAATCCAATAAATCTAATTTGTGTATTAATGATGGCAACAGTGAATGAGTCTTACAACACAAACAGGTGGTTTTATGGCTTTTTCTACTCGCACAGCGGAGTCAATTTCTTAATAGACGTAAACAATGAACATTTGAGATCACAGCAGGAGTTGAGCGCCGCCATAAAATTCTTCGCCATCACAACACTTTGCCGAAATTGAAAAATTACTTATCAGTATCATTGAGAATGTTTAAATAGAAACATAAAAAAGGGTGATATGATGGCTGGCATGGAATGTTGTCAATCAAAATCAACTTTAAAATAAACTACACACACACGCATATTGTTGAACAACATGAAACTACGAAGGGTGACGTAAAAACATGAAAAAGAATTTTTTTGCGAGGTAGAAGTAGGAATTTTATGCCGCTATTTAATAGAATTTATATTTGTATTCTTTGTGTGTTCAGCTCTTGAGTTTCTTGAGTGGTTTCCATACAACTCATGTACGTATTTATTATTTAATGTATGCATGTAATTTGGTGATTGACGTGAAATTGATAGTAAGATGGTGAACGGATTGTTGATTTTCATAAAAGCAAATAGGAAGAGGGAGTGTTTTGATGTTGCTACGTTGCTGAAATTATTCCGATGAATTCTTTTTTTTATTATTAAAAACCAACCCCGGAAAGTCTTTTATTCATGCCACATCAGTCTTTAAAATTTCATCGCAACTTTTGTTTCAACATGTGAGTTTTCATTATATTTCGTTCTTTTTGAAAATTTTGATTGGCTTGGATGATTAATTAGAGTTTAATTTATGATGGAAATGAGAGGGTGGAGGACAACATTGTTCCGTGAGTTGAAATTTCAGCTTTTCCTTTATTTTTCAATATGCAAAACGTGTGCTGTCGATGAAACAGCGAGAATGTTGATTATGTTTGTTATATAAAAAATTTCTCCAGCTTGATTTTGTTTTTCTTTTCGTCTTTAAATTACGAACCAATAAAAATCAATAAGCTGATGCTTGTGTTAGCTGTTTAGCATAGAAATCTATTTTTCAAGAGCACTTTAAAAATTTAATATCAATTCTGAGATTATGAGCAAAACTGCATTTGAAGTGAGGTAACAGCAGGTTTTCATCTTTCTTGAAGAACAACAATAAATCCGAACGACCTGCAGGAGCTTTAACTCTCTTTCAACAAAAACTTTTTTCTAAGAAATGCGAAAGAAAAAAGCAAAAAATTCTCCTAACTTTTGTCAATACATTATGTTGAAACATATGGCAACATCAGCTACTAAGACACATCATTTATTTATTCAAACTGTATGATATTTATTTAGAAAACTCCCAGTTAGCAACTGCAATTTATTCAAAACTTTTACTCCAAGTTGACTTTGTGAATATCGAGGAGAACATTGCAACATATTTCGACTTCAACGTGAACTTTATCTTAAGATCAGAAAAAGTACGTGAATGTCAGTAATTTTGACAATATTTATGAAAAAGTTGATTCAATGATGGAACAAAATTATCATTTCTAATTCATTCGATTTGCAAAGTGTGAAAAAAATCACAACATGTGAAATTTCATTTCCTAGACGCGCATTGAATTCATATGATGCTCATTCATGCCATCACACGACGTAGAACAAGAAGAATCTTATTAGATATTCTTAGGGAGAACAACATACTTTTCATTATAGACAGTTGAAATTGATTCTGAATTGATTGATTGGATTTTTTCCTCTTTTACTTTAACTTAGCTAAATAAGAATTTAAAGCTTCAGTTCTTTCAAAAGAGTTCAATCTTAAAGAAGAAACTTTTCATCTACACATCAATTTAAAAGCAATAATTTAAAAGGTGTCAATTTTCCCTCAATAGACATGAAAATTTCATGTTCGCACATTATTTACTTCAGATCTCCATCTACATGAACGAAAAAATTTATCTGGCAAAGTGTTCTTGGTTTTTCGTTTTTCCTAACGAAAAGAATTGAAGAGGAAAACTCAAAGTGAGCAAAAATGAACGACCCTTCGTGTTTTTACATGTTACAAAGATAAATTTTGTACAATGACTGGAAAAGATTCTTGAATATCGACACTTAAACTTTCAAAAACTTCAACACTGAATTGTTGAAGAGCACAAAACGTTGTTGACAATCTCAGCACGATAAAGTCATTGATTCTTCGATGTTTTTTATTCCGCAACTTAAAATAATAATAAAAAGACAAAATTACATTTTCGATGTACATTTCAAACAGCGGTAATGTTTGGGTGAGAAATTTTTCGGGGAAAAAAGTGTTTAAATTTATTTTCCAAGATAAGAAAATGCAAAGGAAAAGTTATTGAAATAATTTATAGGATTTTTTCTCTGTCGTTGAGAACACGACATTGTTTTGCCATTGGGTTTCAAATTTATGTACTTTTATTGGCAACTTTATCGACGAGATATTTTATGAAGTGCATGAGAACGTGGTTTGAGAGACTCAATAAATTATGTTAGAAACATTGCATAACATTCAAGCATTTAATTTATACAAAGTCACCTTGCAAAAGTTATTTAGTTAGTTCCCCGAAAAGTATTTATTGTTATGCTGCCTTCCTTTCTCTGATGACTTATGATTAATGAACCCTTTTCATCTTTTAAATAATAATAATAACAAACATTGAATAGAAGCTGAAATGAGATGAAAAGATTCAACAGCGAACAACTTTAAAGCTAGTGCTGCACCCGTCAATTCAATCATCATGTTTGAGTATAATTTTTCTATTTAAATAATTTACAAGGTCTATTTGAATAATTTTCTATGAATAAAACGAAAACCACAGTAAAAACAGCAAATTTTACGAATAAAGCGAGTTTAAACCGAGATATTTTGACGGAACATAAAATAAAATATGGTTATGGGGTGGAAGTTGACTTTTGTACGGTTGACACACTGATTTTATAGCTATTATAAATTATAAATAATCTTAAAGAAGCGATGCAGACATATGTAAAATCCACAACCCCCGACATAGCATGAGAGATAAGTGTAGTAAGATATGCGGAAAATGTGATGACATTGTTTATATTTTATGTGTTCAAGGTTTATGTTGCGTGGCTTTTTAGCGTTGGCTGTTCACCATGGAAATCTTTAGAAAGATGTTAGCGGCTTTGTGAATGAAGATGTTTAAGATACGTTTCATTGAATGCATAATGTTGGTGAATATTTCATAGCTTCAACTTATGAAGCTCAGGCATGATCAAAATTGATGAATAATTTTTGTGCAATAATGCTTAGACTTCACTTTTATCGCCGCTTCATTCAGATCTATTCAGATGCCGACGAAAAGTTATGACGAGAGTAGACGTGGAAGAGGAAGTTTACTAACAAAGCCCTCGTCGTTTCATCCTCTGAGCTCTGACCTGAAAGAAGATTTTTTCTCCAACCCGAAAAAATGGACAACAATGAATCATTCGTTTCATTTTATTCAGAAAAGGAGATACTGGGAGGAATCTGTAACTTTTATAAAGCGAGGAGAGAAAAATCATTTCCATGGAAGTATAAAAATGTAAAAACATATTTTTATGTTTGTTTGTTCGAATGAAAAACTTGAGAATCATCAGCGAACAATAAATTGTGATGATTCCAAAATGACTCCACAGATTTTTCACGGCTTTTTCCGTTTCTCCTCTCCCTTCATCTGAGACCACAACGAATGAGGGACGCAAAACCAAAACAAACCTTTTTCGCTTTTTTTTTCTGATCAGGGGAAAAATCTTTACCACGGGAAATTAATAAAAATTGTTTTGTTGAAATTTTTTTCCACTACGCGATGAATGCGAATTTTTTTCCTTCTTTTGACTAACAATTGCGAGAGTCATTCAACGATGATGATGATGGTGTGGGAAGGTTGAGAGACAAGAGGGAAATTGGAGATTAATTGTTTGGAATTCATCATGGGATTTTTCATAGAAAAATGTTTTCATCTCGATATGGAAGTTGAACATGAAACTAAATGCATCTTGTGAAGAAGTCATTTAAAAAATTAGCTACAAACATTTTTTTTCTCCTTCTTGTCTTTATCTCTCACTTCACTTTTAAATAAACCACAAATTAAATTTTGAATGAGTCTCTAAAGCTTGTCCAACAAATTCCTCGGCGAGGGAAAAGAGATTAAAAAGTTTAAATGATTATTCAACATAGGTCTGTTGTGATATTCATTCAACTTTTTCAAGCTTCTTATCTTCGATCTTGGACATTCCTGTTTTTACGACATTTAAAATGCAGTAAAAATTAAGACGACAAAAAGCAGCTTGAAAATGTTTTTCACTCGTTGTTAAAAAGATAAACTCAAAAATGAAGTTAAAGAAAATCTTTTGGGAGAAAAGCAAAGAAGGGAAAAAAGGTCTCGAAGCGAATCTCTTGCATCTTTCTTAGGTGTTCAAGACGTAAAAATAAATAGGAAAACTTTTACCCAAGAGATTATGCAATTTGTCCTCGAGGAATGAAATTGCGACAAGAGATCAATTGACATTTCATTAAAGAAGTTTTTTTCGTGGGAGTGTTTTCTGTTATTTCGGTTTCTGTCTTTAAAGAAGAAAACTTTTATGTGTCTTTAATGATTTTTCTCACATAACTTTAAGCAGACTTAATAAGTATTAAATTTGTTTAGATCTCTAATGTCAGAACATGTTGAAACTTATCTAACAATTTATTTAATTTCCTGGCAATACGATGAAAGGGATGAAAAACATTTCCAAAACCTTATCAAACTCTTCATCACGTTTTACACAACCTGAAGCACATGAAATTATTTATTGCACGAAATCCCTTTATTTTCAACGGAAATTTTGTTGTCTAAACAGATAGTCAACGAAAACTGAAACCTTATTAAAGTTTTCCATGGTTGTATGTATGCTATATGTTCATATATTATTTATATCTAATGTCTAATGATGGCCATATGTTTGGATCTCAAAGCAGAAACTTTAAGCAAAGGGAAAATATTCATACAAGTTCCAGCTTTAAGTTATGCTTCATCCCTTTCGGTGTTTTTGAAGTAGAACTTCCGAAGCATTAAAACAAAATAGAATGGAAGAAAGCGGCATCTGAAGACACCTCCTCCTGTCAATCATTTTCACCCTCTTAAAGTATCGGTCTGGGACATAAAGTTCTTACATAAAATGTCATTTTTTCTCAACTTCTTTATCTCTTATTTTCCACCTCGAAATGAAGGTAATTTACTAAACTCTTTAATCCAACAAAGAAAGCATTAATTGAAGTGAATTCTTTTTTATAATTTCTTGAAGCGGAATATCATTTATTACCTGTCCATGCACTTTGAAAATATTTTTGAACATACAAAAACGAGAATGAGTTTGAAATAATTAAAAATGAATTTATTCGAGTTGGAAGAAGCAAGATGAATTCATAACTTAGAAAAGAAGCTTAAGCACGGTGAACAGGATGAAGAGAAATCCTTCAAATTAAAGATTTTAATGTCTCAACATCATCAATTGTTAGAAAGGAATGTCAAAGTTTTAATAATTTTTTAGAAAGTTTTCTCTTCTTAGCATTGAAATTCAATGAAAAGATGAGAAAAGAATTTTTATTTCTGACTTTCTTTCTTTCTTTCTTGTTGAAAAGGAAATTTCATTGTTTCACATCTTTTGTCACTCGATGTCACGAAAGACAGCGACACGAACTTTAATTTTTCACCGCGTGACGAGATGGAAAAGAGAAAAAAAGTGAAAAATGAAAATCGTTTAAAGCTTTTTAATTCAGACATAACAAGTCAAACAATATTTTAGGATAATTAATCATTCTGATGTGGAATGGCAACGCAGCATTTTTTGTTCTTCTTCTTTCTTTTTTTTTCACTTGAGGATTACACACGATACGAAATCAAATTCTGCTCAAGCAGTGACTCGAGCACATGGAAGAGAAATAAAGTTATTACTGTTTCATTGTGGGATTGTGATGAATCTAGAAGAAGAATATCATTATCATTACATTGTTATCATACACATCGACTTGAACACATAAAATGTTTCGTTCTTTTTTTTTCTCCCCACGATTTTTCCTTTTCAAGCGCCTCATAAAACTTCTTGAAGTAAAAAAAAATATTTCATGTTTGGGTGGTTGTGGAATTCTTTTTTTTCCTCTTCTTCATTTCACCTCCCGCTTCTCTTCACCATTTATCTCTTAATCATTGAATAGATTTATATATTACAAATTAGGGGTTGAAAGAACGGAAATAAAACGTTTTCATTGTAAGAATGCGAGTGTTTTCGGCTAAGGCAGTGAAAATCTGTGGTGGAAGATTAATAATGTTGAAGTGAGACGATGTTGGTGTTTAAAATATTATGTTTTCTTTTTTTCCGGCTCCTTCATCGACAATTTTTTATTTTATTTTGAAACCATTAAAAACTGGGTCTAATGATTATGTTCTTCTCTATTAAGTCAGCTGATTTTCAGCTGAATTTGTGACGTTGTTGTTATGAGAAGGTCAACATTAAAGCATAATTAGAGCGACTTCCAAAAATGTTTCTTCAGTAACAATCCAAAGCAGACATTTTGCGATTCACGTCACATGTTCAACGAGTGGAAAACATTTCTCAACTTCACTTTGTGAATAAGTTTTCTTAATATTTATTTCATGAATTTTGAATTTTTTCATTTCTAGTGAGAAACGTGGATGGGCAGAAAACGATGAAAAGAAAAAGAAAAAGAAAGAAAAACGCACGAAACTGTATTAAAAATGGTAAGTTTGTTTCAAGGCGTGTCAGCCATTTCAGCCTCAAGATAAAATTACGTTATTATTATTTCTTTAAAAACGTTTTTTTCTCTCTCTCATGAAGTACTACGAGGGCATAAAACAAGTAATAACTTGTGTTATTCTTTCATTATTTATGTATAAGAAACTCTTCTTGCGAGTCGAGCATAAATGTTTGAAATTGAAATAAAAAAGAAGAAAGATGTTCATTCGTGGATAGTACTTGAGGAAATTATATTAAATTATAAAATTGAACATAATGTTAAGTTATACATTTTGATGAAACCCGCGCCATATTTTCATTTCATTTTTCATGTTTTTTCTCTTCTTTTTTTTAAAAATAAAATAATAACATGCTTGAAATGGATCGTATAATTATTTCTTTGAATTGTATTTGTGGAGTGACTGTGGATGGAAACAACGAACACAATTGAAGAGCTATGGTGGATTTGATGCCTGACTTTTTCGTTTCGAGGTCAAGGAGATTTCATGGGAGTTGATTTTTTAGATTTTTTTTCTATTTCTCTCTTTCACATCGATCAAATAAATAATTTTCATGATTATGTTAATTGGTTGATAATAGGGACGTTTGGGATTCCATAATTGTTACACGGGTCTTTGAATAACAATTTTGGGTAATGATAGCTTGTGATTATTTCTTTTTATTCACTTCAAATGGCGACCAAGCGACATTTTCAACTTTTTTTTTTCGTTTTTCGATATTTTGTTTTGGCTAAATTGGTTGTTGTGGCAATAAAAAAATGTATAATTTTATATTCGTGCTAGATTTGCTGGTTTTCTGCGCCAGCCTTTCACAAAATGCCGTGAAAGTCCGCAATGAGATTAATTTATAAATTTATTTAATTTCTTTTCTGTTCTCGTCGCTCTAAATCTACTCAATGGCACTTTCCTTGTTGCCAGTCAAACCGCAGAATAAAACAGAAAAAAAATCTGTTAAATTGGGCATAATAAAAGCAGTTATTTGTTGAGCCATTTCAAGTCCATAATTTTTAACTTCGCATATTTTTAACAAAGAAACAAGAGGAAAATCCAAGCATCCAGTTGAACGATGAAAACACTCTGTTTATTCCTTATTAAACGTTATTTATGTTCGGCAACCCCAGTTTCGTTTGCATAAGATGGCACATAAAAAATCACTAGACGAGATTTAAATAAAGTTTGAGGGTGACTTTTTTTATTTTTATTTCGCGAAACACGCGCAATGCACAATCTAAGACAGTGAAGAGTAAAAAAAATATGAAAAGAAGAAAAATGGGAAATTCGCGTTGTTTGTTGCCGTTGAAAGAATTAATTTCCTGAAAATCTACATATTTTATGGTTCAAAATTTGCATTACGGTGGCTTTTAAAATGTTACATACACACAAAACAGTTTAAAATAAATTGCTGTTTGAAACAGCTTCCGAATGAAAGCAGGAACTTCTACTGTTTAAAGTCTTTATCAACAACGAGAAAAAATATTGCAGCACAGTGAAATTTCTCCTCCGGCATTTTCAAGCAACTTTAAACATTAACATGAAATATGTTAACAGAACAAAGAATTTACTGTGGAAGGAAAGGAAAGCTTCATGAGAAATTATTATGTGCAGAAATATGTAAAAGATTCTAATTTGCGATTTTTCACTGCAATGCTAGCTAACTAATAGCAAATATATCATGTCAGACTCAGAATAGCATGAAAATTTGTATATTTTTAAACTTTACATTTGTTAACCATTACTTGAATTTGCACATCGCGATTTCATCTTATGTTGCTACTAAATCAAATCAGTCATGCAACTAATTCGATTAAAACTTTAATTCTGTTGATTGGTAACAATAAGTGATTAATTGATTTTCATGTTTTAACCTTGAAGAAATCGTCTTAACTTGATCTTGAATGAACTTATAGATAGTTAAAGAAGATTATTAAGTTTAAATACTTTAAAAGTTTTAAACAACTGGTCAAGACACTAAATAACAAAGTACAAAGGAAAAAACATTCCCCCGAAAATTCTGTTAAAAGGATCACCACATGATGACCGCATAATTTACAAGATGACCATTCTATAAATTATTTCAACACTTTCTCTGTAAAGAATTTGCAAAATGTGTTGTTTTTGTTCTCCTCCCTAACATCTACTCGCATACTGTTAAAATTATCTCTTTCGTTTCCTTGCATATTTACATAACCCTTTGGAATGTAATGCTGCTGTTGCCTTTTTTCTCTTTTAACCTAATGCCATTAAAAAAGATTAAGTGTCATTGTAAAACTAATAAGACACATAAATCATTACAGATATGCAGAAATGTGAATAAATTTGTTGGAGTTGATTTCCAACCTTACTTATCTTCATTCTTGTCTGCAAATAATTTCACAAACTTGTAACATTTGTTTTGAAACTTGTCAATTGAATGAATTTAATCGTCTTAAATTGTAACTTGATTCTAATTTTATTTCATTTTTTCATTCAAGAAATTAAAACTCGCGATGCAATCAAACTCGACACTCCTTTGTATGTTTTCTCGGAAGTAACCGAATATTCTCAACACTTAAAACTGCGATAATGCGTGTTCTTGTGATATCTAATTATGTTAAAATATCTACATAATCATAAAAAGTTTCTTTTAATACCAAGTAAGGTAAATATTGATGTTTTTTTATTGTTCATCATCACTTAATTTAATGAAACAATGAAGATAAATAAAGAATCCACCAAACCCATTAAACGCGGCGTTCTCTATCGCGGTTTTTTCTCCCTCCAGCAGTAAACAATTTTTTTCGTAGCTTTATTATTGAAAAAATTCTTCACCCTTATTAAATTCCTTTAAGATATAAAAAATCCGGCTTAATTTTTTTTCCGTTTCACTGAAAAAATCGAATACGAGATTCAACTAAAGCAATTTAAATAAAGAAAGAAAGCAATCGAGTTCAATGGTTTTTCTTTTCATTAAAAGAAGGCGGAATAACTTTTCTTTCCTGCTTTCATCGAAGACGAATAAAAAATCAATAGTGAACAGAAAGGCAAGCAGTTGAATTTAATTTCAATTAATGGTTGAAGTCTTGCAGAGTGTTTAGAAAATATATTTTAATTTCATAGATTTCTTCTTTTAAATTTACTAACTTAAATCCCTAATTGAATTTCATAAATGATGTCATAAATTGATGAATCAAATAAAAATTATTAACCTTCAGCTGACAACAAGTTTCAAGAACAGCAATAATAATTCATGATCAAAATAATCACTGACAATGATACATACGATAAATAATTATTTGTTACAAATTACTGTCGGTTATTATCGTAGCAAAATTATTGCTATCATTTTCCAAACACAAACACAGGAAAACGGATTTGAAATTCATCGACGCATTGAATTTTGATAATTGAAAATAGCAATAATCATGTGACTGCAATTATCTAGTTTATCATGCATAATAGAACATCGTTAATGGACAAGATAATAAAATTGAAATGAATCGTTTCTTGTCCACTGACAACTTGGACGTGTCACTCGCACGTACTCATGTAAAAGAAATTTTTACTCGACCAAGGTGATGAAGAAATCTTCAATTATTTTTAAGTTTTATTTTTAGTAAAGTATTTTTAAACATGTAAAAGTGTTTTAGTCTTCATGAAAATCTCCTTTAGAATGGATAATAAAGTGACTCTTGGGTTCAATAACTAAATGAAGTATTTATCGTCAATGTAACGCCTACGAGGGTGAAATAATACTTGTAGGGATTAAACATACACACAAAGGTTATCTAATTTCTGTCAAGATTTTCTGTTAAAGCTATTTCAAGATCATTATTTATCCTCAAGCACCACACATTGTAAATGTTTCTCCTATGGTGATTGATGTGGTCACTTATCATTCCAATGTTTTCTCGACAAATTGCATTTGTTGAGTTCATAATTGTGGCATTTTTCATACAGAGCTGAGGTTTAAATCCTCTCGTTCTCTCAACAATACATCATAAATATTAAACAGCATTTATCTCAATTTTATTAAGCCACTGAATGAAAGACTTCGCTTGCGAATCCCCTTTCTAATCCAACCTAATAAATGAACATAATTTTCATTCTCTTTTAATTTTTAAATGCGTGCGAGCGAACAATAACAATTGAACTGAATCACTTTTCCTACCGACCGTCTGTTCGTAATAAAATTTTAAGACAGTTCCTTGTTGCTTTCAAAAAGTTGATTCGAGAAAGATTCGCTGGCATTTCCATTAAATTAAATTAACTTAATATGCTAATTATGAGATGAGCCTTTCGTAAGTAAACTTTTTCCTTTCCAAAGATAGAAATTCTGAAGAGAGTCGTGAAACAATGAGTCACATTATTTTTAATTTAATTATGCCTCTTAAAAATTATTTATTTTACAGTCTCTCAGTGGGAAATCATGATAAAGATTGAGTGGTTGATTTTTCACGGTGGGTTAAAAAAAAGGATTTTTCCTTCTTCTTTACCATTTGTGTTCGTTTAAAAATGTCATTGAAATTTCTACATGAAAAGAGTTTTTCTTTTCTTCTTTTAAATGCTTGAGAAAGTTTATTTTTACATTCCCCAAAGTCATCCGATATTCTGCTCTCGCACAAATATTTCACACAACATCCAAGACGTCTTTTCAACTCGAGTGACTTGAGCGATAAGATAAAAACACCCCTTTTTCGTCTCGCATGCATGAGAAGGATGGTGACATCAACATTGAAATGAAGACAGTAACTTTGATTGATCAACTGTCACAGTGAGTCACCATGAGAAAAAAAAAACAGGAGTGAAGAGAAATTCGATGTTTGATTTCTTTTAGCGTTGAGAAGCGACACACATCAAGCGTATATAATGAATTACTACGCAGCATTGCTGAAGATTGTTGATTAGATTTAAGTCATTTTTTAAAGCAAGCTTGAAACTTTAACATTTCCATTGATCACATCGAATGTTTTCGATAACGATTTACTAAGTAAGTTACAAGTAAGCGAGCAAGTCTTTTGAACAAACCACGAATTTATTTTTACACAACATCAAAAAAGATTAAAAAGAATTTTCTCTCGGTTGTGTTCGTGGAGGAAAAACAATTAATCAAGGAGAAAAGAAACTTTAGTCTTGCCCAAGTCGTGTATCTTTTCAGTCAAACATCATCATTAAAACAATATCATTAAGAAAATTTATCCGAGAAATTTTGGGGCGCTCTAGTGAAAGATCTTTTTCTTCTTTCCTCTCGTACATGAGTCTATTGTTATCTGCAATTATACAATTTTGTTTTGAGGTTTTTTTTTCTCTTGCTTCGGCTTTGAGAAGTAAAAGAACAAAAGAAAAGAAAAACGAGACTCTTAGCGCCAGACTGAAAAATGAATCTATCATGTCGTGAAATGAAATCGAACAATACGTAATAATTGTAACAGCAAAAGCTTCTATGTAACAACAACAATTATAGTGTGTGAACTGTACAGCATACTTATGGCTTTTGTGTTTTAATTGAACTTCTCAAAACTTTAATTACGTGCTTTAAAAACTTTAGTTGAATGGCTTGTTATGAATAATTTGAATCTGTTTATTCGTTCTTCATTCGTTCAACATCCAATGGAACGACCACATACTGAGATACAAACGAAACAAGTGTATCAGTGACAAATTATAAATAATAGATTTAACCTTACAAATGGCAAATTACAACACTTAAAGCTATGAATGACAATAAGCAATTTTCCTTCTCACACTTAATATTTGTAGCGCAAATACTTTATTTGTATGTTCAGTTAGATGGATAAAGTTTCGACACTGATTATTAGTAATATAGTAAATTGAATTCAAGACGATTTAGATAACAAACGTAGAAACCTAATGGAAGCATAATTTATGAGCTTCCCTCTTGTCTAGTCTGAAATCGACATGTGAGAAAAAAAGGTGCTTGACCAAGAGTTATAAAAAGGGATAAAAATTTGCTGATAAAATAATTTATGCAGTGGTGTAAGGAAACCACATCATATCAAAGAGATAAATTGCTTGCAAATATCTAACATTTCACTCCTTGTTATGTCCTCAATTGCCCATAAAAGTATTTTGTTCCTAGTCGTTTTATGATGGTGAAAAAATTTTCACACACAATTATTGTTGTTCTCACATAGCATCAGACGATGCTGAGAGCAGCAAACGATTCAACAGGCAATGAAGATTTATTACAATCTCCTTGTAATACAATGAAAATAACCCTTAAACATTCGACTGTTTCTGTGCTGTGTTGTGTATTTGTTGGCTTTTGTAATCTAACGCACAATTTATCTTCAAGAAGCACATCATCACATACATGTAGTTACATTATTCGCTTTTAGTTTGCTTTTGGAGAATGAAAACGAGAAGGAGTAAATAAAGTGAAATTTTATCGTGGAAAATTATTGTTTTTCAGACTTTTCTTCATGCTTTTGGGGGAGAACGGGAAAAGGATTTTCTTAACTTCAACATAAGTGTTTTATGCTTTGCTACTTGTTTATGTTCTTGTTGAATGGTGTCGTAAAGTTTTATGACTTCTTAGTTGCAAAAGGGCTGGAATTTGTTGTAATCTGATTGGTTTTGTTCCTTTTCTTGAAGCTTTGATATTGTTAATTGAAATTGTCTGTTTGAGGTCTTAAGGCCACTCATTGGTTTTCTCACATCATCATAAAAGAAGCGTGAACTTTTCTCAAGAACAATGAAACAAAATGTCGTGTCGGTAGACGATAAAGAGGGCTAAAAAAACTTCTAAAATAATATAATTTGCGGCTTCCAACAAACAGTCGCCACAAGTCAATCAAAGTAATTTTAAACGGATGTAGTGAGGCACACACAATAATGGTGGAAAATAAAACAACTGACTGTTGTTTCGTACGTTAATAAAAATATTTATAAGCAAGCCACGAAACAAAAATTAATATTTCATAATAAAACAAAAAAGTTATATGAGCGAGCGCACTTGGAAGACGAAACTATTAAAAAAATCACCTTTCACATTGATTAATTGTATAAAATTATTCATTTTTGCCTTTGGCTCTACACGACGAAGTACGGCTTTTGAAGAATAATAAAGAATCAAGTGGAAAAAAGCATAGAAAAGATGGTCAAAGCATGGTGAAATATAAATGGATTTTTTCTAGTACTTATGGCTTATGTTATGCTCGTATGGTAAAAGGATGAATGTAGAAAAAAATCTCAAGACATTTGATGCTTCATCTTAGTGTCCGCAAATCAAATTAGTGGAACAAAAAATTAATGTAACAACTGAGAACCTACTGTGAAGACCACAACGACAAGAGAACAAAAAAAATGTTTCTTTCATGAAAGTTTCCGTCTCTCATTTTGCGGTTTCCTCTAGTCAGCGCCTCAATAAACGATCTAATATTGGAAAGACAAAAGGCTAAATACACAACAGCGAAAAAAACTTAAAATAGTCTACCGTCGAGTGAGCATGAGCTGATAGAAGAAGAAATGAAGTTGAAGTCTAGGAAAGTAAAAAAAAAAATCATTAATTTGTCCGGAGCTAGGCGAGATCACTCAACAAACATTTCGTTTCTTTTCTTCTTCCAACTTTTTGTTTTTCTTCTTTCGTCTTCACTTTGAGTTTAGTTTTTTTTTGCGTTTGACAAATGAACGTAAATAACAGGTTTATGATTAGAATTTTGACGGATTCCCGTCGAATGTTTGATCCTTTTACTGAAGGTAGATGAAATAATTTATCAAAACAAAAAAACAAAAATAATTTTTCCTCTCATTGGTTTGGTCGAAAGGCAAAAGAAATAAAATGACGCGATCAGCTTGGGCACCGGCAACAATGAATAATTGCATCACATAAATTCACATTGTGGCGTTGAAAAAATTAAGTTTTAGTCAAGGATATACAAAATTTATTCTTGACATTTGAAGGATGAATGTGATCATTAGTGTTTAAGCGGAAATGATATTGCGGATGAATTTGACGAGACGAAAGTAGGGAGAATTTTGATTAGATCGATAATTGTGCTAATCGATAAATTAGTGAACTAATGGCTTCCTTCTTTAAGGTCAATTTATCAAAAACTCACTTTGAGTGTTGTTCTTTCGTGCAGTTTTCTTTTCTTTCATCCAAGGATATTCTGGCACTGGATCTTCTGATGAATTTCCGTAAGGCGTTTGATCCATTTTTGGACTTGAATCTGGTCCCAAATGAGTTAAGAACTCGGCCATCGAAGGCTGGGAATTTATAAATCCAGTTTCAGTAGGCATCCAATAAGCATTTTCTGCAGCCCTCGACTTATCACAGTTTGTGCCCATTTTGGGCTGAGTTGGTGGCTGATTAAGAACCGGATGTTGTTGTTGTTGTTGACCATTTTGTTGCGGCGGTGCATTGTTTGTATTCATTTGTTGATTCCCAAGTATCACTGTCTGGAGGGGAATCAATGATTCTGTCTTGATTTGTGGATCAATACAAACTTCTTGCATCTTCAAACGACACAATTTCAATCTTTACACAACAAGAATTTCTTTCAGTTACTTTTTTAATTAATTTCAAGATGACAACAACGAAAATATTTTCATTATGGCACAAACTAATAATCAAACATTTTTAAAAATTAATTATCGTAACTTTGATGATGTTTCTCAATAATGAAAATTTAAATTTTCAATTCTAAAAAAATAAAACTATTGCACTTTTAAATCACAATTTAATTAAAAAAATATGCTCAATAAGAATCCAAACGGAAGCGTCGTGTTCAATTTGTCATGCAAAATTTGATTAACTAATTTCTCATGCATACAATAATTAAATTGCTGCTTTATCAAATATCCATTGTTATAATCTTTTATGGTTTTTCTTGTTTCTAATGATTTTTCTTTTATACTTTTCACTGAATTGCGTTCGCTTAAGTAAATTATTTTATGTAGACACGTTTGTTGATTAATTTAAGACACAAAAACAATTTTTTTCACTGTGTTTAAATTTTGCAACCTCCAGGGAACAAAAAATCGTTTCAATTCAATTTACGACACTTTATAGTTTCGTCTTTAAATTTCTCTAATAAAGTCTCGCGCAATATCGCGAAAAATTCCGTCACAACCGCGATCACGACAGAACATCTATTTGAGTGAACTGACAAACGTATATTGAAGCATGAACGAGAAGAAAAAAATTTCATTGAAATTTTCTTTTTTCGCTGCTTTTGGAGGCGTTGCCCAAATGTTTCTCTGCGTTGGTATTGGTTTGCGTTGAATGTTTACTTTGCTGTTGCGGCTTTTTTCCCGTTCACAGAGCTTTTCTCACATGCTTTTCTGCTTCGGACACAAAGCATAGAATACTAATGTGGCGTTTGCGCGTTCGTGGAGAAGGTGGAGCATCATTTGATAAAGGTACTTTAAGCATAAAAGTCAGTTCTTTGGACCCGTGCTGGAAAATGTTTCGTTAAGCATGATTTTGTGGATAACTCAAACTTACAGATTTAAGAATCGGTGACTAGTAAAGCATGAAATGTAGAGCCACCGAAGAATTACAACATTATCTAAGAAGTGATAGAACCTGTATTAGAGTTAGAGACGCCCAAACGTTCTCTTCGAAGTATTGAAGCACCTTCAGGCTGCAATTCCAATAAAAATATTCAGCTCCGCTGCTTTTGCCTGCTTGCACAATAACATCAAGAATTTTCTTCGATCGGTAAACTTTTTATTCTGGTAAATTATTTTTCCTTTCTCTCTCTCTCCCTTCATAAAAATTCTCTTATCAGTTTCAAATGGGGGGAAATGTTTCGGGTAAGAAAATGAATCTCGATAGGAAACGATCTGAAGCGAGAGATGTAAAGAAAATTTTGTTTTGGCGAAAATCGTAAATTTCTACGAAAGAGAAGATGTGAATGGAACAGTAAAAATACTATCATGGTTACGACTGACGAGCGAAGAAGTTCATTGACGCCCAGCTAGAAATATTCTAGTTCAGAGAGTGCTCCACAATATCAATTTGAAGAATCTTCTGATAACTTATTGGGACTTCCTTCTATAGTTATGACAACGAGATTTAACTGTAGACATCTAGAAGCAAACTAAAAGCATAAATGAATACAAAAATGGTGGCCAATGAAATAAAAAATCTGCCTTTTTTGCTATCCTCAACAACCGCAAATTAAAAATAAAGGAAAGAATTTTTTATTAAATTTATGTATGAGTTCCAAAAGAACTTTTTTTTCTTCAAACCTTTTCGTCGTTCTGCTTGCTGAATTTTTTTATGTTGCAGGAAAAGTATTTAAATTGCTTGTACATGTTTCTTCAATATTTAATTTAATGAAGTAAAATCACGCAACAGCCATGCGATGGAACACATTTCTGCTTCGAATATAATCACTGATTTATCTCGCTCTTGTTTCTTTTTTTCCTTTGATTATAAATAATTCGTCTGTTGATGTATGTACAGCAGGAAAATTTGTGATTGACATCGCTGTGTGATTTTTGTCGACTCATTTTGTGGACGGTTTATGAACTTCCCCTTAATTGAAGTTGCATATTAAAGTAATTTGGTAGGGAAAAAAATTGATTTGACCAAAAATGTGAGCACAAAAAGTTTGACTTATCAGACAGTTAAAGAAGATGAAATGATCTCCAGAGGCTTCTTTTTACTTGACCTTTTAGTGTCATTCATTCCAATTCTGTCTTAACCCTTTCATGGATATTTCTTTTGTCTAACTCTTTATATCAGATATCTATGTTGAGTGAGAGAAATGAGGGAAAAAATTGGAATGAACTTCAGATAATTACATGTGACCAACATTTTGAGGGAGCAGAAATCAATTGAGAATCTGTGCAATTTTCAATCATCATCATAAATATAAAAGATTTGATTAAATATGAGCTGACGACCACAAACAAATACATTAAACATTTTCAACCATTTAAAAGAAATGCGACAAAAAGAAATGTTGATCTGGTGAAAAAGGGTTTTACAAATGAGCAACCGAATGTGAAAAAAATATCATTAAAAATTATTCAAGCAGGGAAAAGCTGTGTTCTGCTAAGCAGGCACATTTTCTAGATTATAATTATATGCACATTTCTCAGTGATATTTTTGTGGTTATTGCTGCATGTGGAAGCGAACGAGAAAGCATTGTCTTCCTTGTTTTCTGTCCTTCATCCATGGGGTTTTCCTCGAGACGACTTTTTTTCTTGTTCCTTAAACACATTTTTTTAATGTTGGCGAATGACTTGGAATTCAAATAAATTTTGTACTATGCGGTTTAAAGGTCTCTTTTATGTATCCATGGGGTGGCTTTGGCGGCAGTTGAGAAATGTTGGGAAGAGAGAAACATTTGTCATCAAAATGACCGTAAAAAATTTTGTATATAACCAGAAGTCTGGGTCAATTGTCCAAAAAGCAGAAAATGTTCCTTTCTCGACTGCTGCTATCAACTCATAATTATTTTATGTATACACAAAACACACAAGTTTAATAAATGACCTTTTCCTCCTCCACTTCGTTCAACAGATTATGCCCCGAAGAGGAAATCTTCTCCTTCTTCATTTCTTTCTTCAGGAATTGTGCTTGAATTCTGTTTTTTCCTTCGTTTCTCTACTCGAAAAGAAAGAATAAGTTTTCTGCTTTATTAAAGTACCATTAAAGATTTTTTTGAATACACTTTAAGTCTGGTGAGAGATAAAACCACAAACATAAAATGAAGTAAACTCAAGAAAAGTTTTCATGCTTGGAAATTTAGCTCCACATCACATCGGAAAGGGTAAACAACGGGTTAATCTTTTCTCATGCTCTTTAAATTGGCCTAAGATTTTACAGATTCAATTTCAAACTAAACAATTCAAATTAATCTACCTTTTTATAGAAAATTAAATGTGCTTCACATAGATGTTATTATTTGCGCATTCAAAACAATAAAATTGTTTAATTCGCAAGGTTGCTTTTGTTAATGTTTGAGTTTTAGACAGTGCATGAAACGATATATCAGACTTAATATGAATATCAATTCATTGTATGATTATCATCATTTTTCATAAGTCAAGCTATGATGAGATTGAAGTGTGATGAAGGAAGAGAATCAAAAACCCGACGTGTGAGGTGTTTATAGCTTTAATCCCCCTTTTATGAACACTTCATATGCTCATGAATATAAGTTTCGTTTCACAAACAATTGAGAATTCAATTGAATATATGAGCGAAGCAACAAAAGAAAATTCGGTAGAGAATATCTTCTTTCGTATTTAGATATTCACAACGAATGTTTTGTTGTTGATGGTCTTACGAATAGGTTCGTTGTTGTTGGAGCTCTTACTGGTAATACATAATTAATTGTATGATTAATTTGGAATTGTGTGAAGCGAGTTGGAAGCATCAATAGTCACGCCAAGCCAAGAAAGTGTTTCATAACATTGAACTCACCTGAAATGAAAACTTTACTTTGATATTTCAACGTTCGATGGTCTTTTGTTAAGCAGAATTTCCCATCGAAATCCATATGGTTCAATCACTTTCATTAATATTCCATATCGCAGATTATCTTTGAGTGTTCAATAAAATTTGTATTAAAACATTTTCATTCTATGTTCATTCTAATTTTCTATGGAAAAAGTCTTTTGATAATGATTGACATTTGTTAATTATGTGAAGAAAGTTGAGCACAAAACGTGTTCTTATTAAAATATCTCCAGATTTTCTTTCATTTCAAGCATTTTCAATTTTCGTTAGTTTTATTTTATTTATTTTTTTTTACTCAATTTCAAAATATCATACGGCACTTACTCACACATAAAATAATTTCCTTTTATTAAAAATTCACATAGAAAAGTCGAGAGAGATTTTCAGTGCAGTAGATGAAATTGTGAATGGTTTAGAAATTCTACCTGAAGTTTTTATTGAGAAACATTTAGTAAAATATGAACCCTTATGTGTGCGTCGACTCTGACCTGTCATTCAAAATGTAGAAGAAGATTGATGATCGCCATGAGTTTTTTTTT